CCTTGATTCATTCGTTTTGTTCCTTTTGATATTAAATGTATATTTTAGATTATTAAAGAAATTTCAATAGTCGAAATAATTAGATTTAAATGGTCAAATTAATTTTTTAATCAACTTTTCGTATTACAACAAAATAAAATATTAACTGAAAAAAGGCTGGAGTCAGTGCTTTAAATAATCGTAAAGTCTGTGTAAAGAAAAATAATGGAATTGATTATCGATTTTCGAGAAGTAAGTCTGAAAAGTTTGTGGTTAATTTGTTTCAAATTAATATTGAATAGATTTTTTTGATTTGGATCTTGACTAGTAATTCCAAGTTTTTGATTTTGTTTTGAAATTCCACAGTAGTATCTTTTACTGGAAAAATTCGTGATGGCTCTGGAACCTACTAAATAAAGTCGTAATATTTGTAATATTCTTCTTGGTTTCACCAAATTAAAATAAAATGATGAAACAGAATTTTTCAAAAATAGGCTTGGTTAAGTTCTTCCGTCATTTTCCTAAATGTATTTGGATAGCGATTTTTTTTATATTATTCCAAGCCATGAACTGAATTGCTGAATATAATTTAATAAGTTTAATTCAATTTTTTATGCTAAAAGTGTTCATCTGTGATGTCTCATATTGAGTAGATAATTTTAAAATTTATTGAACGGCATCAAACATTAGCATTCCCTGGAGCATACAAAACAAAATCATCCAGTTATTTTATACTCATCTCTGCTTTTGAGTTTAAAAAATAACATAATTTGCAATAAAAATGTTTAAAATGATTAAAAAGTGCTGTTAAAAAATCTTCAAAGTGAAATACATTATTCATAAGCAAAACTACCCTCAACTGCCCAATAACGCATAAATTAGAGCGAGACACTTTCGTGACTACAACTTAACTTTTGCGCGATTCGTTTTAATAAAATTATTATAAACGAAATTCTTAAAACAAAACATAAAATAAAAATATGTTTTTTAAAAAAAGATATGGGCAATAATTTATAAAGCTTAGAGTGAGGAGCTACATCCATTTGATAAATTTTTGCAATGTGCAAAAAACTAGAACCAATTAAAATCTCAATAGACCCGACTATTAGACAAATTAAGAATCATCATAAATTGCAGACTTCAATTAACTCTTAAGCATTGAAAAAAATGTTCATTTTTGTTCTTACATTTTCTCAGAAATGTATTCTTCAAACATGGCTGGTTTTTAATACTATCCATTCCCTTATTAATTTTTGAGAAGTAAATAACTTTTGGGTTTTTTAATATGAATTGATGTTATGTATATTTAATAGAAATTCTTTAGCCTTTTGTCTGTCTGTCAAACATTTACAGCATCAAAAAAAAAAATGAACAAAAAAATAATGATAGATGATTACACAGACCTTTGAATAATATTATTAACTTTTCGATATTATGAACAATTTTCAAAATTATTATCACAGCAATTTTTAATTTTTTCCCATTGGCCAGTCCCAAGAAACAAAAAATGTATACATAAAGATTATTTCCAAGTATTTTGAGCAATTTGTGGATATGCTGGTGATGGTTGCTGCGTTGCGTGTGACCCACAAAAAAAATTAAACTTGATTGTTATCCAATTTAGTTAAAAATGATGCTGTATGATGCTGTTCTAATAAAGAACTAACGCTTTCAATGCCGCAATAGCTATTTGAGGTTTTAAGAATTTTATATATCTCGAATAATATGTGATACTAATTATGAGAAATAATCTTCTGTTTAATCGTTTATGTTCCTTTGAGACTCAATAAGCCAAGAATAATAAATGAATAATAGACACAAAATTTCCTTCATTATAATTTCATTTTTTGTTTTATTTCGGATACGTTAAAAGCTTCATACAACAATAGGCAATGGCAATAAAAATAATGTGGTTTGTACATACACAAATCATGATGAAAATACATAACATAACGTATATTCTTTATCTTTTATCTTACAGTAAATTTCAATATAAAATGGACACTAATGATTATCAATGCAAATATCAGTGTTGTTTGGAAAAATTACAATAAAAAAACATTTTAAATATTTAGTACAACACGAAATTTCTTTTTATCAAATCAAACCGTCGCCATGAATCCATGTATGCGGCATTGTATGACTAGTAATTAAAGTAATATTTTTAGTAATATTTTCTACATATTTTCTCTTTTTCAGTTTTTTATTACACGGCGACAAAAAAATGAGGATTCATTTTGAAACTGGTGTTAAATTGCTTTGTTATTTTGAGTATTGAGATATCTCCTCAATCTATCTGGTTGCTTATGATTGCTTATAATTGCTGAAAAGTGTGTTAGAAAAATTACTGGAAATGAGATTTAATTTAAACTTTTCAGACTATTTTTTAAAATTTTTGTGCATGCCTTTAAATTTTTAAAACAAGAACTGTTTCTTGTGAATCATTGCGTCCTTCGAAGACTTTCTTTATATAAATGAACAATGTCATCTAGTGTTCCAACTAGCTATTTGATATCTTATATGGTTTCTTCATTTCAATAGTTTGAAGAAATCGAAGACATTTCTTTAAAAATTATCATTTTCAGACTTAATTGAAATTAAGAAAAATATTAAAAAGTGTTATCAGCATCTCCTAAGGATCACCATATCCTGCTTAATCTTAAGCATCACACAATAACCTATTCCAAACTCATACGATCAAAGATCTTAAAAGTTTTGAATTGTAGTTTAGATTCGTTACTTCATTCAAGTTTTAAGAAATTACACATGTTTAAACTAGTTCATTTTGCTGATGAAAATAATGTTTTTGTCTATTAAATTAACATCATCGTCATCAATATTAATTTTTTTAGTTGAAACTTTAATCTATAGTCTGCTATAGTTCCATTACTATTAATCTATTACCAAGTATCGCCTGTACAACTTTTTGTATGATAAAACCAAATAGATAAACTTGATTGACAAACAAAACCATTTTGTCGGAGCCCTAATTCATATTGCGATCATTACGATATTTTGTCACTATAGCCACAACAGTACACAAAGTGTTGGAATTATTTCGAATTATTAATAATAATAGAGATTTAGATGAAGGGTGAAAATCAATATGAGTGAGTTTATAATGTAAAAAAAAAATATGTTTTATAAAATAATGGAAATTATAATAAAAATAGAGTGAAAAAATAACGATATTTTTTTTGTTTATTAGACTCAAAGAGTATAGACCTTCCTTAGACACCCATCAAAACACCCAATGAATTAGAAGAGACGACGTCGTCGACACGCAATCAAACGAACTCATTCATTTCTCTGTTCTGTATCAATAAACTTGATATGCACTAATAACAACGGCCGAAAACAATTGTAGCTCGACCCCATTTTGAATTTAATGATTTGATGCAAATAAAGGGTGTTTTATATACTTATTATTATTATGCTGTTACTATTCTCCAACTCGATTTCTACTCAATTCACTATTGTTCATTTCTTTGTTCTTTCAAAAACAAAAAACAGATAGGTACCTATAGTAAAATAAAAATTAAATGGGGTTCATTCGATTCATGAAAAATAAAAAGAGTGAAATAATGTGAAAATTCAATTGATGTTTGAAATAATGAAACAATTTCGGATACATAAAATGTTTGCATATTTCTCGAGTTTGTTCAACATTAGAAACTTTAAGAGATATACATGGGAAGCTTTTTGACTGCACCGAACAAGTATATTTCTCTCATTCTATACAATACATGAAGAGTACGGCTATATTTTGATATTACAGTCGACTCACTCACTCTTACAGCATTGAATGTAAGCTCCGTACAACAACAATAAAGGAAGAGAAGGTATAGCGAGAATATACACCTTTTATATTTTATTCAGAAAAACTTTTGTTTTTATTTCGGGTTGAAAATTAGTCGCGTTCGTTCGTAAAAGTGCTTGACGGAGAATAAAAAAGAATACATGTATATTATTCTGATTATTCATAGTCATTTTACGGACATTTAAACTTATTATTAAAAGTAGTTTATGTAGTGATGTTATAAATTTAAGTTTAGTTTTTTAAATAAAATATTAAAAAAATAACAAAATAATCACAATACTTACCAAACAATTAATAATACATCACAATTGTGCTAAAAGGAAATTTAATAAAATAAAATAGTATAAATTCAAATGAGTAAATGAGATGAGAAATTGAGTGTAGCTACCGGCGGAGTGTCATGCTATGTTAATAATATGATGATCACGATGATGCAACTTATCATAATAAAAGAATAATAATAAGAGAGAATGCATGAGTGAATGTATGACAAAATAGAATGTGAAAAATGATCAGTGCTCAAATGTTTTTACTTCCGATCGTAACAATTACAAAAAGAAAAATTATTGAATTTGTGCGTGACTACATCAGTTAATAGGAAAAACAAAACGCATTTGTGAGTGATGAAACTTTCTTGTCACGAACCGCTAAAGCAGTCAAGGTCGCGTTTTGCTTTAATTTTACACAAAAGTGTATCGATTGAATATTTAAAGCTCTTGATACATTTTTAATATTGATTTAAAAAGGAATTCAAAAAAAAAAAATTGTTCAATCCAACTACGGCTACATATTGTATTACCTGCTATATGTATAAATGAAAATGTCACACGCTATCAAGAGATGTATATTGCTAATAAGAAAATTATGACAAATTGAATTATTCTGAAGACTTCAATAATTGTGCATATCGATTCCAAATGATAATCAATCGCTCTCTATATATCAAATGAATAGTGGTGTGTTACAAAGTGAAAATGAATGTTTAATGAGAAATAAATAGTTACATTATAAATATAATGATGACAAATATTGGTGGCTATTAATACAGAAACAAAGTATAGAAAAATTATTAAAAGTAATTACATTTCACATCGGTATCGAGTCATAATTGTCAATAGATATGAAATACAATTGATTAAATTTGTATATCAATCATGCAACTCAAACAATTAATTATATAAATATCATTTCCTATTTTATTGTTTAATAATTATGTAATTAAAATAAAGGAAAAAAAAATTATTTGGAAGACGATCGAACAAAATTAAATTCAAGAAGCCAGTACGAGAACAACAGGACAGAAAAAATTATTAATAAAAAAGGAAAACAACAAATTTTTGATATCAATTCTTATACAATGAGTCAATTGGGCACAGTTTATGCTACAAAGCGAAGAAGAAGGAATGGGAAAAGGTAAGCAATAATTTTCAGTCTGATATACCGGGAATTCGAAGAGACTTGTAAATATACACAAAAAAGGTTAATCTTTTTATAATAAGTCTTGATCACTTTGTTCAAAAATAAAGAGAATAATGTTTGTGTGCTACAAAATGTCAATCAAATCAAGACAAGACTTGAAAATTATACTGTATTATGGTGCGGTATGTTATTTGTTTCTTTTCTTTCTATCTATCCTTCTCTCTTCCTCTTTCTTCCTTTATTAACTTGATTTTCAATTAATTTTTACATCAGCAAGATCAAAGTAATAGTAATAGTATAATAGACATAAAAGTTTACCATTTTTTTCGGGAGAAAGAAACATATGAAATCATGAGTAACACTTGTAGGAAAAAATTTGACAACCTGATGTCAGTTAAAAGTCATTACTTTTGTTATTTTCTCTTGATTTTTTTTTTTTTTTTTTTGAAAAACGTCAATAAGAATGTAGGTAATACCTCATTTTCTCATCATATACTTCTCAGCTTTCGGTTCCCCACGATTATTAAATAAAAATAATAATAAAATAGTCAAAAACGGACGCTATAGTTTCTGCTATTTTCTATTATTTTTTTTTTAAAATTCTTTTGAATTTAATTTCATTTGGTCTGTCAGTTGTGGGATCAAAAATATCAAAAAGTAAAGAAGGACAATGAATTTTATTTTCTTTTATCATTTCATGTTTTATTTCGTTGGTTAATTAAAAACTAGAGAATTTTTTATATTTGAAAAAACTAATTTATGGTTGATGTATTTAAACACTAAAATGATTTTTAATCCGAATACTTTTACTGGAAAATTAAAATTGAAATTTTCGCAAAAAAAACGGGAAAATTGCGATTATTTTTATTCTGTTTTAAGAAATTTCAACTTTATAGTTTGCGTTCAAATAAAAAGCCATAACAGATTTATAAATGCAATATTTTGGAAGTAAAAAGATTTAAAAAAATTTTAAAATTACCATTGTTAAGTTTTAAGTTAAAACTTAAAATATTTTCACTATAAGAAATCTCTCGATTTCATCATTACCGAAACCAAAAATTCAAATTCTTGTATTGTGAAGATTCCAAGTTTTTAAAGGAGAACCTACTTATTTTTTAAATTGTTAACAATTTAATTACCCTGTTTTTTTCGTTATGAGCTAGTAGCTTAGAAGAATAAAAAAGTGATTTTTTGGCTCACTAGTAGCTTAGTAACGAGTAGTAGCTTATAACGAAAAAACAGGGTAATTTAATTTAATCAATCATTAGTTCACAGGATATTCAAGTTATAACTTTGGTCCCGGTCTGGAAATTTTTACAAAACAAAGAAATCTAATAAGCCGACTCAAAACCAAGTTTGAGAAAAACTCATATAAAATAACTTGAAATGTAAAAAAATAAAGCAAATAAGCTCATTAATTTTGTTAACAGTTCTGTATCATTGCCAAAAAAAAAAAAATAAATAGTTTAAATTCAAAAATCTAGGTTTCAATAAAATTTAATAACTGAAACCTTAGGGCTTTTAAGGACTCAAAACGATTGAACATTTTTATTTATTTTTAAACTTTGTAAAAAGAATCAAAAAATAAAAATCATTTCATTTTAACAAAGGTCTTTAACAAAGAACATAAATAAAAATGCAAATGAACAGTAAAATGTGAATAACAAATTGATTTTCAACTGGTTATTGATTATTCAATAATATTCTCATAAATAACTTAATATTTACATCGTAAACAGTAGCTTAATAAGGCGCTTCTACTATCTTAATAGAACCACTTCCATACTTGTTTCATAACAAGAAATAATGATCCTTCTATGGTGACATATTTAGTCCATAGTAACTTAACAAGAACGAATGTAAAAAGAAGTTGAACTATTCAATGACTGACTGATAATTGATAATATTTCATGAGCCATAATTAAAGCATGTAGATACTAAAAAGGTTAATTTATTCATTTAAATTTTTAATTCAAGAGATTTTGGAATTAACAGCGAAAATAATAAATAAAATAAATAAATAAATAAAGTAATGTATTTGGTTACAAAGTTTTAAAAAATTTGATCATAAAAAACAAAAATGCCAACTAAACAAAAAATTTATAGCTATTTTTTTGCATGTACAATATACTCAGTATGAATATTCAAGAAATATTAATAAAATATACAAGAGAAAAACACATAAATAAATTAAAGGGAGAGACGTCTTGATATTTTACCAAAATCGGCATTTTTCTGCAAATTTTTTAGTTATGTCTTGTAGAGAATGCTACTATGCAGAGCAAAGAAAAACATATAAACGGTCAACAATAAAGATTTTAAAAAAATGTATATATACATATACTATATATGCATACATGGTTAAAATATTATTAATATGTTTTCATTCCTCATATATTGTAATTCTTATTTCTTCATGCACCAGGTTTCGTTGCTGCTGCTGCTGCTAGGGTTCGTTTTCAGTTCTTCTTTATATTTTTTTATCGTATGAAATGAAATATCACGAAAAAGGGCAATAACAAATTATCAAATACGAATCGAAATGAAATATGAAATGAACAAGAGTATAACACAAAAAATACATTCTTATAGTGTAATTCAGTAGCTCAGGGGGGTATGCATGGCTCTTAATATTTTTTCTTCTTTCCTTCTTTTCTTTTCATTTCTGCATCATTCTTATTATTATTTTTTTTCTGCAATTTTCTAAATGTTTTCTGTGCAAAGTCTATATGAGACCCGACGAAATGCTCATTTTTCCCCAAATAGTTACAAATTCCTCCTCATTAAAATGTTATTTAGCTCATTTTTCATTTTCAAAAAAGTATCATCAACAGAAAGCAATAAAGCTACTATAACTTTTGTGAATCCATGCCAAAAAATTCTTTTCAAGACTTTTTCTGATTTGGGGAACAACCGAGACATATTTTTGATTAGGAAGCACATTATCTTTCCTGCAAAAAATAAAGCGTAGAAAACGAAGAAGAACGAAAAGAAATTTAAGCTGCAGAAGAGATATTCAACAACACATGTGCATGCATTAACAATGCAGTAAAATAACCTAATTAAATTTTTTTTCATCATGTATAAGTACATAATAATTATTTTATAATTATTTTCCATAAAAAATGGTTCTGCTCTAGAGCATATAGAAATTAAGCACATATGCTTGATGAATTAAATTCAATGTTTACCCTTACAGGTAATGGCAAAGAACTGAAAGTTGCACAGCAACTTATTTTTCTCCCAATATACAATATTTATTCCTTTTCATTATTATTTATATATGTTATTGTACACATATTAAATATGAAAATTTTCTCTTATAAAATTTATTCCTCAAAAAATTATAAATGCATACCAGTGCGAATTCTTTCACATTTTTTTCGCCCAAAAAAGATAAAATTTATAATTTCAATATTTTCTTTATAATTCTGAATTTTTTTAAAAAAATAAATACCAATTTAATGGTGAGAAGTTTAATATTTAACATTCATTATTTTTGAAGCTTAAGGCGCCTTTTTGATTTATTGCTTTCATATCATTTTATATTAACTTAAGGATTATTTCAATTTAAATCAATTCATGCTGAAACATCATTTATTGTTACCATCTTCATTATTGTGGTACTCGAGACTCAAGTAGAATGAAGCCTAATGAAGACTGTCATTAGCGAGCTCAAGATTTTTGTAGTTCTACTCTGTGTTAATTTAAATTGAAAAACTTTTCGAACTGATCATATATTCATGATCAATTAAACAGAATTGTTAAGTCAATATTCATAACTAGAGCATTCTCCCATCAAGCATAACACGATAATGCTAATTATTTGAGTTTCTATGGGAATGAAAAGAAAATAATTTACTTTACAATTTAATCTTCAACAACTGCACATGCTTGGACGAACTTAGATTTTTATACAAAATATTATGGCTTATCTTTTTTTTTGGAAATCTCAGAAATTTACCTAGATTTAGCAATATACAAAATAATATGAATCTGATCATGTTAAATTTCAAATTTATCAGCTCCAGAATGAATGATAAATTAAGGTTGCTGAATCAGCTTAAAGGAGCTTTCTTGAAAATGCACCCTTGAACCCAACGTTGAAATCATTCATTCGTCTCGAAGAACTGGCTACACCACTGGTCAGCACTTGAAGAAATTATTAAAAAATTAAATATACTTCTTTTTTTTCGAACTATCATTCCAATTCCGAAATTATAAATGCAATGATATCAACAAAAATCAAAAAAAAAACAAGATAACAAGCATTTTCAAGCATAATTATGTTGGTCATTGATATGATTCGATCATTTAAATTTTTCATTACTCCCCATTATTGCATTAAATCAAGGAAATTGAGTAAATAAAAAGTAGCATTTGTTTTTAAAAAAGCGCTAAAAATCAAGCGATAAATGCAATCAATATTCAGTGCGAAACTCATCATATTAATTATCGTACCAATGATTTTTAACTCTTACTTCTTTGATTTTCATTCGTGTGTTCGTTTAAAAGAGAGAAGAAATATTGATAATGCCTTAAAAATTATACCCTTTAAAATGAAATTACCTAAAAGTATCATAATTTTTTGTAATAAAATTTATCTAAATGACATTTTTCTGATTTCAAATTTACATAAAATATTATTGAGTCATTCGATAAAGAGAGCACCGATCTGGTTTTCAGTATTCTGCTATTGGATCGGAAGTTATTTATAAAGAAATTATAAATTTAACAATGAAGAAGCAAAAGCCTCATTATAAATGATTTTGATTAATTTCAAGAGCCCCTAATTGCATTATCTATGATTAGTATAGAATAATTGCATTAAAAATGACTAATTTGAATTTTTATAATCATATTTTCATGCATTGATGATGATTACATGATTTATAAATTAGCTGCATTCACAGAATTTTTCTGTTCATTTCATACGTACATACTGACATATCAAGACAGTGTTGAGGTAATGTTGAAAAAAAGTTCGTTTGTATGTCTTTTGGAAACATAGAAACAAAATGAAAAAAAAGCAAGGGCAATAACGCATTATATACTATAGAACTGCGCTAAAATTTTTGTATAGATACCATTCCAAGTAAAATGACCTTGATTCGGTCTAAAATGATTTTTTAGATACTGTTATATGAGAGAACCACAAAGTATAATTTCAGTTAATTATATGAAATCAAATATCTTTTAATCATACATAAAATTTTGTTTTCTACTGTTGTGAATGCTAGAATTTCGTAATCATCAATGTGATTATGTTTTTATAAAAATACAGTTATCAGCCATCCAAAAAAAACTATCGTTCAAAATTCTTGTTGAAATCCCAGTCACATGGTAATTTTTGCTAGCTTCATAATTATCATTTTTTACTTGTCTGGAATTTCTTTTTCAAATTATCTCCTGTGACGTCAAATTTTTGGGTAAATGTGGAGAAATTCAAAGGAATTTTGGTAGGCATTCACGATTTCCCGGTCCCGCAAAATTATCGAGAATGGGACAAAAATTTAAACTCAAATATCAAGTATTATCCTGGATTTTTTAAGATTTTTTGTGTTTAAATGATGACACATTTCAATTAAGATAATTTGACATTAAAATTTTAGAATAATTATTTTTATTCATCGAGATAATTCAGTTTAAAACAAGGCGTGGAAACTCAGGATTGATCCTGAAAAATCCCAAAAATCCTAAAAAATCCCTGAGCCAATAAACATGAAAATGTGAAATCTCTTTTAAATCCCGGAATTATTCATCAAATGCATCAGAGATTTCACAATTTCATGTTTATTGGCTCAGGGATTTTTTAGGATTTTTGGGATTTCTCAGGATTAATCCTGAGTTTCCACGCCTTTGTTTGAAAATTTGCTTTTGTGTAAAATGCAGGTTTTATGTTTACAGAATTGAATTAATCATGTTTCGAAAAATCTTTTAATTAGTCTAATCCGTTAAATCTACAAACTTAAAGTCATCAACAAATTGCAACAATGTAGGAAAAGAATTCAACTGGAATTCCTTTTAAGTTTGTTATTGATCAACTTGGATTTGTAAATCAGCTGTTCTCAAATTAAGCGTTACATTATTTTCAAGTTCCCTTTTTTCTACATCACGTTCAGTTTCTTTTGTAAAATCTTCAATAATTCAAAAAAAAAATGTAAAATCGATCTTTAAAAACCCAATGCGGATTATATTCACACCGTACTATCAAAAGTCTTATGGATAGATCAAGATTTGCCCATCCTAAGTATGAAGGTATGAAGCTTGATAAGTCAACTTAGCTTCGCTCAGCATACGTTTAAAGATATAAAGCTAGAGAGTCAGCTGAGCTTTGCTCAGCATAAGTTTGAAGGTATAAAGCTTGACAAATATGCCAAACATTCTTTAAAAGTTTTTTAAAAAGAATTTTCATCCAAAGTTGAATTTAATAAAAATCACAGTCAACTTTTGTTTTAAAAAATTCGTAAGAAAGGAAAGTTTTTTGCTTTTTCTGAAGCACCGGCTGTTCCTACCTTGCCCAAAAACAATACAGCTCTTCTATAGAGCAGCACGGATCAAATGTAAAAAACTAGAAGTCTCTACGATGTCTCGTTATTGAGATTTCTTGCTGATTAACTTGCTTGCTTGCTTACAGAAAGCGTATTTTGCGATTTTCTCAGCAATGCCACAACCAATTTGAAATCTGTTTTTTGAAAATGATGTAAAATTTCAGGCACAAACTTTTCTTCTTGCCCTTTTATAACCAATTTTGCTTTGTTTTCTCACAAAATGCGAAAAACTGATTTTTCAATCTGAACAAAACCAATAGATTCACACGTGAAAACGGTGTGAATATAAAAAATTCAGGATGTGATAGCAAAAAATAAAATAAAGAAGTTCAAAAATAGCGCGCAACGCATGGTTTTCATGAAAATATTTATACTTCAATTTTGTTTTATACGACAATTTTTCTATTCTTTATTGCCACATACTTATGGCACAAACGAAAGTTATTCTATAAAAAAATGTGATCTAATCTACTTTTTAGCTTAACTAATGTAGACTGTCTATTGTATGTAGCGCTATAAAAATAAAACTCCAGATGATTTTAGTAAAAGTTAAAACCTAGCATATTTCAATTTTTATGATATTTTTAAAAATGTAACATCTACGTAAACATATTCTTTTTCCTTTAAAACCATATGTGCTTTTTTTTCTTACTTTTTTGTGTGAAATACTGGAAATACTGCTTATTATTGTGGTTGTATATGTAATCCACCCTAGACTTTTACAATTAGGATACATATTATAGCGGGTGAGTTGCTATATAATAAATAGCATATTCAGTTATGTATTTTAATTATTATTGTATTAATAAGAAACTCGCATTAAGCATTAGAAGTAAATAATTATAAATTATAATAGAAAATGTTATTCAGTCTAAGTAGAAAGATGGAATTGTATTTAGTATTTTCGTCAGGATTGTTTGTAGGTTTGATATCATGTTTTTGGATAGAACATAGGATTACTACATGTAGTTTAAATATAACATTCTGTTATATTATTGATTAAATGTGACGTCATTAATACAGTAGAAAAAGAGGCCAAGATCGATTTTTGTATGCAAATTTATTTAAATACAACCTCCTACAAACCACTGTTTTTATTATGTATAAAAATATAAATGTATATTTGTACATAAATGAATGCTAAAGTAACTATGTGTAGATCCAAAAGTTCGTCAAAATGTACGAAATATTTAAAATTTAAAGGGTGTACAATTTGTTGAATTACCGAATAAAAGGAAAAATCATTAATATAGTTCCTCTGCGTCGACTGTCTAGCCTAGCTTGATAGACTACACATTTGTCTAGATAGTGTTTGTTGAATGCAAAATTTCCCATATCCTTTTCCATTTAATTTCGTTCGTGGAATTTTCATTCTTTTATTCGTAGTCTTTACCTTTGTTTTTGTTTCATATTCACAAATAAAAGGGAGAATGAAATTCGATTATTACTTGATAGTATGCTGCTTGTTTTCGCAATATTATATGACCTACATTTAACTGTCAAAAGTTTAATTATATTAAAGCAATTTCTTTTTTTTGTGCTGCTTCGTTAAAAACAAAAACAAAAGGAAAACTTTTAATGGTTGGAAAAGTAATAAGGGATTAATATCCAACAAAGTTATCATCAATAGAAGCTAAATTCCATAAAATACAACTCAAATCGTTTTCGGATATATCTTAATATTTTAATGCCAAATATAGAACGACAACAATAAAAAAAATACGCTACGAATTTACATTTAAATAATAGATTCTCTTGGACTTGTTGTTACTCATGATTTAATCCTGACATTTTTTATACTCTTTTTTTTGTGTAAAAGCTATGAACGATATTGCTTGTTACGAAGTTGAACCAACTTATTTGAAGTAAACAAAATAGATAATACATAAATATTATCCAGGATGATAGCTTTACTTTAAAGCCACAGTATTCTTCCTTTGCTGTCAAATATAAATTCATTCCATTTCTAGAATATAAAGCATTTTAATTTAGTACACAAACTTCTTTATGATGTATCTAAGCATATATTTTAGCTACAATATATTCTCAGTAATATTGCAGATTGTATTAAATTTTAAAAGCTTACTTGAAGCAATTTGCCAGTCATTCATGACTTTGCTTTATGAAATATTGACAGGAGCATACGATAAATATTATGATTATTGTGCTACCACTGTTACTGATTTTTATCACTGCAATTGAAGATACGCTTTTTACATTACGAATTGTTTATTCTGAGTTGCACATTTTAAAGGATAAAAACGAGATTTTGAAACTAATAATAAGATTTTCTTTTTGTAGTTCCATATATGGAGAAGATTTTTTTTTAAAACAGTGTAATAAGATCTTGACCCCTGTTAAGTTTGGATATCAGTTTCTGGTTAATTTCTATTTTATTGGACAATTTTGAGTAATGTGTAGCTCACAATTCACTTACAGCTCTTCAATAAATTTCAAAAAGACTAAAATCTGCATATTTTGATCAAGCTGCAAAAGTAAAAGTTCATGAAGAAACCTGATCTTTTTGATGGCAAGTTAATTTACTTAACACAAAATTTGTCAAAATTAATTGTATTGCCCCTGCAAGACGCAGCTAAATATGTTATAAAAATCTATATGTATATCAATTTTTGTCCTTGAGCACGGTCATTGACATTTGATTATCTTAAGTATGCATCGCTTTACCATTTCATGTTAATTATGTTGAATTAATTGCGTTGAATAATTCTTTCACATAATGTTTTAATTTTTATGATTTTAAAACTTTTTTTCTTCATATTTATGCCATGACAGGCTGAATAATTCCACATAATCGTATTTTCTGATGATTTTTGATTACATATCATTTTCTTCTTCTACTTGCAGTTTGAAACCACCTCCAAAGGATGGAGTCACCAAAAGCAATCCCTCAAAACGTCATCGAGAAAGACTTAATGCAGAATTAGATTTATTAGCATCGCTTTTGCCATTTGAACAGAATATTCTTAGTAAACTTGATAGACTGAGCATTCTTCGTCTCTCAGTTAGTTATTTAAGAACCAAAAGTTATTTCCAAGGTAAGAAAATGTCAATTTTATGGGTATTAAAGATTTCCAGATTTTCGAATCGACTTCGAGCTCTGAAAATTTCATAAAAATACAATTTATTTTGGGAAACACAATTTAAAAGGCTGTGCTTTAAATTTCCACATGATCAACACAAAAAGGCTAGCTTGAATGAAGGGCTTAAATCTCATGAATAAAATCAAAGGGAAATAAATTTCTAGAACATATTATCGTGTAAATTTTGTCAAAACTCTCATAGCATTGGTATGCTTTGGGATTACTGAAAAGGATATTTCTCTAAAGGTTGACATTCAAAATTGTTTATTTTTTTTGATGTCGTTATGCTCAGTAATAATAATGCTATTCATTAAAATGAACAAAATATTATATGAAATAATAATATGTGGGTGTATGTGAGTATAAGCGTTAATAAATTTTTAGCGGATAAGAAAAAGAGAATTTATTAGTTGCTGATAACATCATTAACAAATCTAGAACATTTTTATGTTAATTGAAACGAAAAAATGAAGGAGAATTTTCAGCTTTCACAGTCTAAATTATTTGAAATGTTTACATATCGCACACAAAATCTCCCTAGGCTAAGCTCATGCGAGGAGAACTCACGCAGAATAATTTTTTGGGTATGATAAAGCGCGGAAAATGATTTATTTAATGTAAATAGTACGAATTTTAATATACTAATTTACGTAATAAAAAAAGTACGTCAACTATATTACTGCCATAGTTTTATTAAAAGCTATGATAAAAGTACTCATTCAAAAAAATGTCAGCATAAAAAAAATCCAGCTGCGAGTTTAAGCTTTAATATGGTCTTTTTTTTATATATAAAATATTTCTCGAGGAGTCTGCGTATAAAAATAGTTTTGGAATATGAAGAACAAGTAAAAGAACAAAAAATTCTTTAAACATTAGAAAAGGTCGAGGTATAAAATAGGCTTGAAAGCATAAACAAAACACCATAAATTTTAATAACAAGCGAACATTTTCGTCTTTGATTTGAGCAAAACATGCTATTACCGCACGCCGGTTTATTATTGTTTATCAGCTGATTTAGGTTGATTCGATCACGACTGACTGTAGAATTAACGTGTTATGAATGCTTACAATTGAATGTCTGGAATCACGCTTCTGTTTCTCTTTACATATCACAAAACAAAAATGCGACATTTAATTTCAAATTCATCATTAATCAAAAACTCTTTAAATAAATTGTACATGAAATTATTGCTTCAATGAATTTTGTAAACGACAGGAGGGCATGCGCAGCTAAATCCTTATAGTCATTCTGATAAGAAATGAAAAGTTTGCGAGAGAAATAGAGAAAACTTCTTCAGAAGAAAGAAAAATAAACTTCAGGAAAACAAAATGGATGATACTAAAATAATTTTCTAAGAAATTCAATACCGAGAATATTGGATATCCTTTCTGATTTTTTTTTTATAGTCTAAAAATCCAGCAACGATTTGCATATTTATAGCTATGAATAAAAAATAAATTGGAAGTTTCCTTTCTGTTTCCTTATATATTTGACTTATACAGTCATAATGCTCACCACATGTAAATCAGCTTCTTACATTAGATAGAAATTGATTTTCTCAGTCTTTTCGTTTCCCTTCAAAATTTTATTTGCATTCATGTAATTTTCCAATAAAGTTCAATAGACAAATAGAAGGAACAACAAATGTTTTTCGAGTTTTTGATTCTTTTCATTTTTTGATATCGATAAAATGAATTGTTGTTACTGACTCATTTCAGTCTTATTCAGCTTAAATTCAGCATTTGACAAGTATTGTAAAATTAATGCAAAAATGCAGTTTTTGGCATGCTGGGCGTTTTTTGGGGATGCACAATCTTAGGATTGATTTTGAAAGATTCTTGTAATTCACATGTGGGAGTAGATCCAGAAATAAAGAAATTCTTTATTGCATTATGCTTCCATGTTCGACTTTTTTATTAGGTTTTTTTTGGATTAATCATAATTGTGAATGCCTTGTTTTTTGAGTGTCTTCTTTGTAATTAGGAAAATTTCATGACTAGCCTTGAGGCCAAAAAATGGTTATTGTTGTAATGAAAAAACGCAGGCTGTTGATAAAAATTATTTTCAACAATTTCAGTTAAAGGCAGTTCCAATTAATCAATCAAAAGATAAAGACATTTTAAATTTCACAAAATTAATAATTCAAACACCCTCATAATGCATAGTAAGGAAGTAAAATTAAATTAATTCGAAATCATCGATCAACTTTGATAAAACAAAATGATTAGGCACTGAGAGCTCCTCAAAAAGGAAAAAATAAATAAATTTTTATTTCACCAGAAAAAGGAATAACAAAAAAAAATATTTCAGTGCACTTTCCATAACACACATACTGTTTATTTGGGTTAACCCATAACGTAATCTATACATAGAGTAATGTATAGTCTTTTAAAATTCATCAACGGACTGCAGAACCAACTTTTTTCGGGGGAGTAGAATATAATGTATATCTAAGGGTGAAAACGTCTGTTATAATCAACAACGAAAAAAAAGAATATAAACTTTTTATACATTACAGGTATACTGCGTTATGTAAAAATTTTATATACTGAAACATATGTTGTTTTGGATTTTATAAAATTACAGTTAAAACTTTAGCATTGGATATATGTTAAATAAAAAGTATAATGCATAATAGAGATAGAGAGAACAAAAAAAGGTTAAAGAGATGGAATTATATATCTTGAAAACAGAACTAATGATTTTTTTCCGTCATATCTTTTCAATATGGGAAGTTAAAAGGATATTCTATTAATCATATTTAAGATTGGCCCACAACTAATGCCTACTGCATGGTTTAATCACAATTTACTTGATGCTACACTTCAATATCATTATTCCTTTTGTGATGAAATGAACAAAGAAATGAAACAGGCTGATGTCAATATTCGACTAAATAAATTTATTATGTTAGCACGTGATCAACATATGTTGACTGTTGGTATGGTTAATACAATAAATAAAATACCAAATTGAGGAAAATCAAAAACCGATTAACATATTATTGTCAAAATATTTGTTGGTTTTATTGATAGACTATTGGCATTGCATTATTATCCTCTTTCTTATTTTTCATCAAACCAACTAAAATAGATAGAAATTGATAGGAATGTTAAGCTATTGTAAAGCAAAAAAAAATGTACATTGCAATGAGGGGGGTTAGAAAATGTTTATTGATTAATCAAACTAATTGATTTGCAATAGAAAATTTCAACATTGAGCATTGCACAATCATCATGACTTTCAAAATTTTTATTTCATTCCTTTTCAGTTATAAACGAGAGATAAATATTTTATTTAGCATGCATTTGTTGCTTTCTACTTAAAAACAATGAAGAAAGAGGAGAAAAGAAAGAAGAAGAGGAAAAATTCTACACCTAAATTTTCATATGCCACAAAAACCCTTGTTCAGTTTTTATTCGGATTAAGCATGCATTGTTACAAGCATTAGTTTAACAACAATACAGCAAGCAACCTCAAGGGTCATTAAATTTTATTTTGAACATCGATTTCCTTTGAAACTTCGAAGTATATAAAGTTAAATTGAAGGAAAAAAACGATTATACATTTGAAATAAAATAATGCGCCGAAAAGGGAAATTTATTAGACTTTGTCGGGCAGGTTTTATTGTTGTTAGTTGTGTTTATATGGGAATATTGATTAGAGATTGTGCGTTGAAAGATGGCAAAAGTTTTTTTTTCCTACCTTCTACTTCTACATAGTTACGCATTTTTCTTATATCTACGTTCCTTTCCTTTCAATATATGTATAAAACTGAACAGTAAAGTACGGTACATAATCTATTAAAATAATTTTTTTTGTAGGAAAAAGGAAAAGGTATAAGGAAGAAAATTAATTACTTTTTTTCTTTTATTTCTTGTTAATATCCATTTCAGTAGTCATGCATAAGGAAAAGGAGGAAAATGGAATGATTCATATACATCATTCACATTCACATCCATCAGACACAGCATACAGGGCGAGAGAGCTTGGTATCTTTGAAAATGGATTACAGGATTCTGATGTTTTTCTTCAGGTAAATAATTTCCTCATTTATTTATGGCTGGTCAATTCTATAAACAGACGAATTGTTTTTTAATTTCATGTTTTTTTTTTAAAAATTAAAAATCTTGCTTTAATAAGGAATTGATTAAAGCTAAATGTAGATTGGACTTAAAGTTCAATCCGAGATTATCAAGACATAAATCTCAGAATCATATTAAAAGAGTACTCAATGTGTGGAAATTAATTTAAAACTTGATAAAATCCTTAATCCCAAGGTTCTTATCTAGTATTCAAAACATAATGACGGATCTGGTTTAAAATTTAACTTAATAAGAAATACTCAAACTTAAATTTTGAAATTATGAACCTTCGGCTTGATTCAGCATTACGTTAATCCTTATGACAAAAAAGTTCAAGATTAGAAGAAAAAAATTAGTAAAGCATTCTCAGAATTGACCAACTATGTCATGAAAAATCTTAGAAATATAGCAGACATACAGTAAATTATGAAGCATATTTTGATACTAACAAATTAAATAACCATTCACATATTTTTTTGGTATCAAAATAAATCTTACATAAAGAATCTATTTTTTGATTAAAACATTTGTAACAGAAAAAAAGCTCATGGAAACCATTTAAAATTCTCATCAAAAACTCATTAGATTGCAAACGAAACTCATGCAATTTTTCCTCTTTTTGTATAAAATTATTTTCTGAATGCATTCTGAATATTTCCCGTTATGTACTCTATATGTATGTGTTTCAAAATGCTTTTTAAGCTAAGAATATATTCTTTTATCAGATTTCGAATTATAGTGTATAAAAATGATAATATTAAAATCATATTAAGGCTTGAATCAATTTCTTCTTTCAGGCACTGAATGGATTTTTAATGATACTAACATGTGAAGGAGAAGTATTTTTTGCAACACATAGCATTGAAAGCTATTTAGGATTTCATCAGGTACGTTTTCATCTCTCGTATTTTTTAGAAATAATGAAAAGAGCTCATTTCTCATTATGTTCAGCACAGAATTGTCCAAACTTTTTTTTTATTACTGGTGTTTTATAAAGCATTAGTGGTGGATTTCCATTGAATTTATAAGAAGGGTCAACTTTGAATTAAATTTATAAATTCTTGGTAAACCTCAAAAATTTTAAAGATTGATTTTTAATATTCAGAGCACTTTTTGAAAAGGCTAAGTTCTTTGGTACAGTATTTATCTTTGTCATATCCACAAAATTTAGAGTAATAAAATAAAGACCAACATTTAGTGAAAATTGAATTCACTTACTCTCAATTGAGAGAATTTTAAATTTTGATGCCTATTCACTGTGTAAAAGAACTTAATTTTGCAAATGCGGACTCGCTTGCTAATGACTTAACACTCCAGATTCCAATCTGCTCCGACACTAAACAAAGAGAAGTGGATAAAGTAAAAATAAAGAAGTTTCATCTTAAAATAAAGACATAAAGATCTTTAATAGCTTGTCGCTTGATGTGTTTTGGATTACAATCGAATAAGTTGTATTGGAATGATAAATCGAAAATGTAAAATTTAAATCACATTAATTGAACCATGTCGCAAAGTTTGAACAATACTGCACCTGCAACATGATGTTAGGAATGAGAAATTTCAATTGCTTATGATTATGATAAATAATGAGAAAGTAAATTTACCATTTTGCAAATTGTTAAAGTAAGCAAGTTAGCAGTTATAAATTATTTTTCGAATGATTTTTAATTTGCCGTGCTTATAAAGTTCAAAAATCGAACGTGATTCATTTCCATTATTAAAACAAACATCTTTATAAAAAAAAAATTTATAATATATTTCTCTATACATTCATTTTTTTATTTTATTCTTTTCTCGCAATTTTTCTTCTTAAAACACATTTATGATTTATTTACGGTGTAGGGAACGGAACCTGAAATAATCCCGATTGAATTTTTGTAATATTACTTTTATAAATATCTAGATGCAACTCTTCATGCGCTTTTTTTATGCTATAGGTTCTGTGAGATTTCAAAAATTTGAAAGCATTCTGCCTTTGAATGGAATTATTTTATTAAATACTATAATATAGTATTTACTTTTTCATAACAGTTTGTATTGTTAATGCAAGAATGATTTTTGATAAGGCTCGATTTATTTTTATTATTATTTTCATTTGTTTTTAATTTTTTTTCTTCTCTCCTTTCTTCTTGTTTTTCACACAGTCAGATATTGTTCATCAGTCAGTATATGAACTTGTGCACTCAGAGGATCGAGAAGAACTTCAACGTCAGCTTTTATGGAATTCATTTTTACCCCCAGATCTATCAGGAATGTCGCTATCGGAAGCGTTTACATCGGATAGAATTCAATACTTAGAGAGGAGTTTTACGGTTCGGTTTCGTTGCTTACTAGACAATACTTCAGGATTTTTGGTAATTTAAAAAAAATATAACTTGTTTCTTCCATGCTTTGATTGTTAATCCGACTGTTTATTTTAAAAAATAGCGTTTGGATATTCGAGGGAGAATCAAAATTTTACATGGGCAAAATAGAAAAACCGAGGAACCTCCATTAGCACTCTTCGCTTATTGCACGCCATTTGGACCACCAAGTTTACTTGAAATACCTCAAAAAGAAAATATGTTTAAGTCAAAACATAAACTTGATTTATCTTTAGTATCAATGGACCAAAGGTATTTCTTGATTTATTCGCATAGCACCAAAATATTTATTGATCATGTTAATTCGTGTATTCACAGAGGAAAGATGACGTTGGGTTATTCAGACTCGGAATTGGCAACTTTAGGAGGCTATGATTTAGTACATTATGATGATTTGTCATATATTGCATCTGCTCACCAAGAATGTAAGAATATTCAGATCCAATCTCTTAGATTTCATTATTTTTTTTAATACTATTCTTCAAATAGTGCTTAAAACAGGAGCTTCAGGAATGATAGCTTATAGGTTTCAAAAAAAAGATGGAGACTGGCAATGGCTTCAAACAAGCTCAAGATTAGTATATAAAAACTCTAAACCAGACTTTGTGATATGCACCCATCGGCAACTTATGGAAGAAGAGGGTAGAGATCTTTTAGGAAAAAGAACTATGGATTTTAAAGTAAGTCAAGGTTTAACAACTTATAAATACTTAACAATTTATACATTACGTTTGTCGTCTATAGGTTAGTTATTTAGATACGGGTTTTTCATCAAATTATTTTACTGACGCTGATCAACTTATCATACCTCCAAACAATTCACCTTCTTCTACATCAAATCCGTCAACGGGAACGCAAAGAACAAATCGTCGCTACAAGACACAGCTGAGAGATTTTTTATCAACTTGCAGATCAAAGCGTAAAGTGTCACAGGCAACGAATGCACAGCAGCCTATAACTGGTACGCAATTAGCGAGCCCACCCGCGGGATCAGCCGTAGTCGATTATATATCTGATCCAGTAGCAGTAGCTTACACCAATCTAAATCCAATGTATTCTTCATCGCCAGTTCCATATGCAGCATCAACGGAAAATCTTTACATGACACATTCTAGTTCATTTTATCCCTCGCCAGAAAATTTATTTCATCAATATAGAATTCAAAGTGGATATTATCATCCATCGGAGTATCATCATCATCATCACCACCCTTCTCCCTACGTATCTAATGGTTTTTTATCATATGATGGCTACGGTCTTGCGTCTGTGAATCCTAAAGAAGAAAAGTGGCATGAAGAAAAATATTATAATAGTGACTTGGCACATGTTAATAATGGAAGAAATATGTACGAATCATCCTCTCATCAGCCAGTATGTTAAGATTATTGAGTAGTTTAATTTGTGATGCAAATTTTCTTCTTCCTCTTTCTTTTGCTCTTCAATACGTTCTCGTGATACAGGTGATTCAACATCACAATAAGCATAAGACACCTAAAAGCTCTCCTGTAAACACAATCACCACATCACCATCGCCAAATGATAATTTAATTAATAATGTAAGATCGAATCCAACGACGCCGGATATAATGCAACCAAAAATAGAAAATTCTCCATCACCAAGTCGACCATATGATCAAGTGCTACATCGACAGACAGTTCTAATGTGGGGAGCAAATCATCATAATGATGCGAATGCTTCTCCATCAAATACTCGCTCACCCTGCCAAACACCTTCAAAATCTTTTGGAACATATAATTCTAATGCAAGCATAAACACTCCTTTAACGCATCCTGATAAAAGTAATAAGAATATAGAAACTCAACAAAATTCAAATCATCTAAAGTGGAATGGTAATTCGTCGACTGGAAATGGTAAAGACGTAATATCTATTTTCCCATTACACCATGGGAATGATGTTTCATCTGCATATTCTCCATCGGCTTCTTCAAATTCTATACATTCTATTGACTCACGATATTCAAACCATAATAGACACGGCGAAATGACCAATTGCGAGGTATGGCCTTCATCTTCATACTCGCAATATCAATATTTTCCATATCACCATGTATCTAATGCACATCACCAGCACCCAACAAGCACCCAGTGAGTTTTAATTTTTTGATTTATGTATTCCCTTTTTTTCTTTGTTTTTCTTTTATAATTTTTTATGTTTTTTTTTACATAAATCTAATTCTTTATTATGTTAGGTTCTCGTTTTTTTCTAAGATTTATCTGACTTATTTATTATTCTTGTATTATTATTAAAGCAAATCAATTTCATTTATATTTTCAATACACCTTCACAATTAGCTTAACTCAGTACAATAATGAAATAAAAAAGTAAATAAAAATGAGTTTGGATAGTGTATAAGAAGCTCATTACGATATTTATTCTTTTCTTTAAACATATAGGTAGCGAATCGAAGAAGTACTGAAAATTTAAATGATTCGGCACCGATAGTAATTTATTCGCCTGTTAACAGACTTTCTGTTTTGCATCAACAAACATCTGCTCCAACAGCAGCGTGTGTAACATCAACAGTCTACTCTATTAGTAGTAATCCCATTACATCTTTAGCTGCGCAAAACATCAATAATAATCAAGAAGATAATAGTCCACTTTTATCATTTTGCTCGGTTACGAACACCTTATTAAATCAGTAATGATAATAACAACAATATGTATACGATATACTCGAAATAATCTGATATTTATAACATCTCTTTATCTTTCACACTCTCAATGCAATAACAAAATTTCTTTTCAATTTTTCTTTTCTCCTTTTTCATTCATGTTCACACCGATTCATATGATACACGTATAGATTGTTTTGAATCTTACAAAAATTTTTGAAATGTGAAATGAAATTTAAGAAACTTTTTGAGAGTTTTTTTAAAACTTTTTTTTCCTCATCAGCTCAATGAGTCGATAGATACATTTATTTCTCGTAGAAAGTTGATTCAAACATCATCATTCGGAGTTATAATGACTTAATTGTGTTTAATTTCTTTCACATAATGTGAAATTTTTAATCAAAGCTAACATCAGAAATAATAAAACTATTAAAGTTTTTAAATTTGTCATGATCTTTTAAATGCTTCGAGGGGATATGTTCATTTTAGTTTTTTTTTGCAATAAAAAACCTATAATTATGATCGTTCACAAATAATTTTTTGCTGCTTAAGTTTGAGCATTTATAATTTAAAAAAAAACTTTTTTCACTTTTAAGAAAATTGTTTAAATTTTAATTGTAAGTTTTATTCTTATTTCTTTAAAATTTCAAAATTCAAAAGATGTTAATTTTTTTAAAATTTAAATTTACTAGTTCCCAGTCAGGAATCTTCAGGATTATCCTAGGATAATCTAAGGATAATCCATATACTAAAATTATATATTCACTATACAAGAAAAATGATTTTTCTCAAACTAGCTTGATTATTATTTACCAATTAATTCTACATCAGAAAGAAATTATTTGGATTTTCCTTGCATCGAAGAAATAGATAATCCTAAAATGAGGATAATCCACCTTAGTGAAAAAAGCCGATTAGTTTTTGACAACATTAAAATTAATAACCTGGCAAGGCACATACACTCGGGATTAATCCCAAAAAAAAACATAGAAATCCCAACATCTCCTGTCATAAAATATTGAATCCCACTTAAAAACCTCACTCCTTAGTGTATACGGTTTTTAACCTAGTTGTAATCAATTTCTTTACATAAACTTTTAACACAAGAAAGCCGAGTTGATGCGAATTTTTTTTTTTGCAAAATTCTAATTTAATAAAAAATAGAATTGCAGACAAGACCTTTACAATACTGCCAAATTGAAATTTCGCTTAATACTTGAAGGAAATTCAAAAATTTGAGTTTGCAGATTTATTTGAAATACCAAAAATAAATCGAATGAAAATTGAATTTCAAAGTCTGATAATTTTCATGTAGCCATGATGCTGAAAATGAATCTTTATCGCGCATGACTTTTTTTATACAATGAATTATCCCTTCAACATTTAAAAGATGCCCTAAAAATGAGAGCATGTACATATATAAGAGGGTTATTTCGACTCATTTGAGATTGTTATTCGATACAGTGTGAACTCCGACATTTTGTAGCTTAATTTTTTTATAAGTTCCTTTAAGAATAATTTAATGATCTGCAATATTGAAAATATAAAGTACTTTACTTGTTTTACCATGAATTTTGAACGATGTAAATCTACTCTGTCAAGTTGTGATTTACCTTTATTAAAATTTAAATTCTTACTGATCCTAATTCCGTTCAAAGACTATCTAGAATTGTTTAAATCTGCATAGAAATAAAATATATAGAACGAAGTATATGATTAATGAGAAATACCTAGTGCAACAGACTATTATGATAATTATTATTATTTTGATTTCTTATCTGAATGTGTACTTTTGATTTCAATATAAAGTGAATCTTTTGATTCTGTGATATTAAGAAATGCATTGCGTTAAATAAAAAAATGATTATAAAATGAAAATAAAAATAAAAGTCGAAGGAACTGCTTTAATTCCTCATGCAAAATCTCGTATTTTCGAGAGATAATAAATTATCATCATTTAAATTAAATTGAAAATATAAAAATATGAATAGAACGATGATGATAAAAAAAAGAAAAATAAATCGATACGTGTTAAGCATCCACTATTTTGCGCAAAGTTCAACGATAGCTTCCAAAAAATTTGTTCCGACTAATTCTGTAACAACTATTTAGCACAAAAGAACATGTTTGTAAAAAGCAATTAAGACATTCCTTTAATTCTAGTCTCTGAAATTTCTTAGAATTTATTAAATTATCAAAGTAATTTTTACCATCAATTTGTAAATTTTATTTATGAAAATGCTTGTAGAAAAAAAATACTAAATTTTTTCAACTATTGAAATTTTGAAATAAATTTTTTTTCTTAAACATATTTTTGGGTGTTTTTTATTTAAACTTGTTTTGTTATTTTTTAAGGTTCAACTCGTACTAAAATTATGAAAAACATTTATTTAAGTTTAAAGCTATGATTCAATTAAATTTGGTATGATTCTGAATTTATCAACTTTCTTCGCAAGCAAGTTAACATGACAGCAATAAAGACAAACAGCTACAAACAGTTAAATAAAGACGAATAGATCGAACATACATAGTTTGAATCTACAAGGAAACATTCGTCATAATGCTTGAAAAGCTACAAGTCGTGGAAATATGGAAATTGTTCTAAATCCTCTGAAAAACTTTTCAACTCACCGAATGAATAGAAATGTCTTCAATTTTATTTTATTAAATTTGATGATAATGGAAAATTTCTCTATTTTAGAATTTCTTTAGAAAAATCTCCATATAGCCAGTATTCAGCATTTTCAGTGTCATTCTATCTTTCTTATCAATAAAGACATTAAAAAATTATCTTCAAAGAAAAGAAAGGTAGTCAAAAGATTAAAAGGATATCATGAAGTAAATAAAAAATCATCAGATGTAAACCCTAACGACAGAGTGAGAATAATGTGGTTAGTTAAGTGATCCTATGCAAACAGAAACTTCTTCAATTTTTATGAATTAATTAAATTCTCTTATTTTTCTCCGTTTCAGAGTCAGTCCAATTTTCAGGCATATGTATATATTTTTTCATTAAATATAAGTTGTGTCACTTGTTCAGATATGAAGTGAACAAAGCCAGCAATACATTAAAAAGAGCATCCATTAAAATGCATATTTTTTTGTCTTTAAGTCTTCAATGACTCCACATCTGAATAAAGAGCAAAAGGAGAGAAAATATAAATATATATAACGCAAATGTGATTCACATTTGTCGCTTGATATGTTGGCCGATACTTTTTCACCTTTTTGTTAGCGCAAATTAACGTCTGTTTCTTTAAAGGAAAAAGAAACGAAGAATCTTTATCAATTCACAAATCCCACTCGTATTTTTCCTTTTATTCATTCTTTATAAAGAATTACAGTAGCTGCATTTTAGAGCGACACCGAAATGTCTAATGTAAAATTCATTCGTTTTCACCATATTACGATAATACGAATTTCAACTTAAGGAGTATGTGTCTCTCTTATTCTATTAGGAATTTTAAATTCCAAAGCAAGATTAAGAAATCGAAAAAAGCAATTTAAAGAGTATGTCGAATTTTAAAAACCGAAAACCTTTTAATTGATTTTTTTCACGAGATTATGGTAGCTGCATTTTTTTAATTATTTTTCTCTTTATTTTTATTTGTTTCTTTTGCTCTTTGCTGAAACTCGTGTCAGGTGTGTGAATCTTTTCATTTTTTTTTTCTTTCTTTTATAAATATTTAAATTGAATGGAGCTTGAAACAATATATTTAAATTAAGTAACTTAGGTGAATGAATAATAATGGAATGGAATGCATGAGATGAGGATTATCAGCATCATATGCACATATGCAAAAGGTCAAATATTCTTTCATGTGTTAATCAAGTTTATTATAAAAGCATGAGTTTCTGAACATCATTTTATTCTTCATCCAACAGCTTTGTTGTGGATTAAAAGGCATTTTTCTGATCTTATTAATCACCCGATTATTGTTTTATTTAAAAATATGAATTGTATTCAAAATGTAAGTTTCAAAAAGAATCCTTGATTATAAGTAATTAAATCGCAATGAATTTATGAAAATTCTTCAAAAAATCTAATATTCATTAAGAGTTGCATTTAATATAAAAAACTAATCGTTTGGATTGATTCCAATAACAATTTAAAAGATTCATAGAACCTCTTGTTTTAGTGTGGGGAACTGGATTAACTGACTTTGGATTTTTTTTGATCATTTTTATCACATGTTTGGTTTTGTTACATCCCTGCTATCGACTTTTCACTCATACCAAAATTATAGCTAATTATATTCAGCATATTACAATGCGAGAAATATTGAAATAATTCATAATAACTTTTAAATGACAGATTTTTTCAAAAAATACATAAAATTATTCTGAAATTGATCTAAGTCTCTTTGAAAGTTGTCATTTAAATCTCTATTTCCATTTTAACCTCTTTTTAGCTTAAATAAAACATAATCGAAGGATTAGTAAATTACTTCTTAACTTTCAATTTCCTTAATAATTATTTATGATAATCTTATTAAAATCAAATTGGAAGTGAGAAAATTGGTGAGTCATTTTAAAATTTATAAATTCAAAAATTTATTTGCCTATTTTGAATTTCAATCACTCAATGAAATTTATCTAGTATATTCCTCAAAAAAGGAACGGGTAGCTATCAATAAATTAATGGAATATCAAATACTAAGAAAAGAATTTCGTTTCAAAAGCGATTGCATATAAAAGCGATGTTTCATAGACATTTAAAGATTACACTAATGAAATTCATAGTAAAGTATTGTCGTAAATAGCTTTTTATGAAAACGGAAAAAAACAGTCAAGCGAACAGACGCTTTGACAAAATGTGTATAATTTTCGGTGAGCTATGTGAGGAAACTGAAAGCTCAGTTTAGAAAGAGAAAGAGAGCGAAAAAAATCAGACATATGTCTATCTCTTTTCAAGTTGTAAAAATGAAATAGAAATGTTTGGAAAGAGATAGCGAATAAGAAGGAGGGACGTGGAAAGATTAATTTAGAAGAGAACAGACTTTGGCAATCTAGGATTCTCTTGGATTTCTCAACATTTTTTGCTATTTTAAAATGAAGCATAAAGGATTTTTATAGGAGTTCTTTAATTACAAGAGATGTTGATCATGAATAACAGATAATCCACGAGAATAAATTACAAAACCTTGAGATCATGTAATTTAAAATCCATTTCACAATTTCCAGAGCCTGAGAATTAAATTTCTTTTTAAAAATGAATGCTTATTTTCCGAACTATTGCATCTCATAGAATTTTTGGTACAAGATGAAAATAAGCGGAAGTTTTAAATTTTTCTTTCCGACGTCTACTTCTACTTCCCTCTCAAGATTTAATTTTCTTGATTAGTTTTAGCGATTTTTATATTTATATTTTTTGCAATGAATCTTCTTAGTATACTTCTTAGAATTTAGACAATTATTCAATTAACCTTTAAGAATCTACTTCCTTTTCATTTAAGTGCAGTCGATATTGTATCGTAAAGAAATAACCCAGCAGAGATTGTAAATGATCAGAAGGTCGCCATTTTCAATCGATTATGTATTGAGAGATTTCTTCATGTTTCTCTTCATGTCTGTCTCACCATCTCACCAATTTTTATTTTATTTAAAGTTTCGGAAGAATCTTGCATTTTCAATAATTTAATATTTTTTATAAACATTCTAATATCCGACATACATACATACATGTACATGCAAACGTTACTCTTTGTAAGTTTCGTGATTTAAATTTGCATGCATGTTATGATATGAATAAGGTATGAGGGATAAGGCAGCAAATATATCAAAAAAATATTTTCAGATAAAAATCCTATCGTTAAACGATTAATTTATCGATTTTTATGATAATAAAGAATTCATTGGAGATAAAACAAAGAATAAATAATAATAAAATTAATGCACATTAGGGAACAAATATTTTTGGATGCTCGTAAAAAGGAATTTTTCTTCTTTCAGGTATTTTTAAATTGTATAATTTATAACAATTATTGCAAGGCAGGTTTTTTTTCGGTTGCTTCCGTTTGATAGTTGAGCACTTTACGTATATGCAAAATTGTATTGATACTGTCAGAAATTTTTCAAAAATAAGTAATAGCAACAACAACCACAGATACATTTTCTTCTTCATTTATAATCATTAACATTTAAGAATTCTTCGAAAGAAATTTTTTCAAACACATCTTGCCGATCCAATTATAAAGAGCGGAAGTGAATAATTCATTAAATTGCCACTGAATCGATCCGATAGCGTAATTTAAATTTCAATTAAAATGCACATTGGCTCTGCATACTCGAGCAAGTCACTGAGTTTATCGCAATCAATCTATAATTATAAGATGTATTTTTGGCATTTTTAAGAAGGTCTTTTTTGGGGTCTACTTCTCTTTCCTCTTTGAAACATATTAGCACTTTTAATGGCAGTGCAATTTTAAATGGAAATTAGACATTTCAAAATATGTATGTTTTTCGTTTTGCCTTCATAGGTAGCAGATGTAACCTTTCAGTTGTCAAAAAAATTTAGCTCTAACCGCTTAAACTCTCAAACAGATCATCATTTCCATCATATTTTTGCTTGCTTGTTCAGTTCTTCAATTCTTCAATTCATATTAAAATAATTTCTCTAATACACATTTTTAAAGTATATCTTCATCAAACATATGGAAATAATAATTGATGGATGATGTGTAATTGCATTTTTTGATGCCACAAATGTTTAAATTTGCATCTCATAGGAGTCATTCACAAATGACATTTTTGGAATTATTAAGCCTCTACACCCTGGACACAATACAGAAAGGTTCTCTCTTTGCATTATTGTTTGAGACCAAAGAATTTAATGCAAATCGAGGACCACCTGTATTTTTAAATTATGGATGCAATAAGCGAATGACCTCTAATTTGTATCAATAATTCGGGACATTGTTTGCAACATAACGAGCATAATATAGAGTGTGCATTTATAAGAATTTTATTGTTCTAAAATTATATGAAATTGTTGATTTTTGGAACGTTTTTAACAAATTTTTATAAATAATCCCTTTTTTGAAATTCCGTACATAAAAATAACTGCATTTTAAAATAGCTTAAAAGCTTTTTTGGAGTAAAATTTTGAAAATCTAGTGTCTCACATCTAATCTTTAAATTAAGGTCTTCATCGTTAAAGTTGAGATTTTGCAGATTTTAAACGTTTGCGATTCGCAAAAGTCTATGAGGAAAAGCATACAACTCGAATAAAAATTTAACTGTTCTGCTTTAAAAAGATAATCAATAAATGTTAAATAATAAAAGTTTAAAGAAGTATAAGAGTGAACCTTAAATTTTATTTGAGCACAAATCTATATTAATCTATTAAAAAGTGCCCTTAAAAGTAACGAATGTTAACGGTTGTGATATTTTCAAAAATATATATTTTTTTTCTGTGTCAGTTACTTTTCAAACCGCTAACCGTCATAATTACGAAGAAAATCATTTGAAGTGAAATTTTAATTAAGTTACGTACTATTTCATGCAAGAAAGTATCAGGAAAGAGTGATAAGAACATAATCTTTTAATAATTTTACAGTCAGCATAAATGGAGAACATTTTAAGGGATAAAAATGAAAATGTAAGTATTCGCAAAATTGCGTTCAAAGATTTTCTTTTATTATGCATTAATATTACTATAAATAAAGCATTGTAGTGAGAAACGAGAGATTAAACTAGAAAAGTGAAAGATGCATGCATAAATTATTTTCTTCTAAAACTTTAAATTGAGAAATAAGTGAATTGATCTGTATGTAGTTTATTTATAATCTTGTCGCGAGGAAATAAGAAGAAAATCTTTATTTTGCGTTTTATTAGGTTTATTTGATTGATGGGTACAGTAATTAGACGTGCAATTTACATTTTTTCTCAATAATAATTTCTATTTGATATAAATTAATTGGATCTGATGAAAATATATAATAATTCTCATAATTGTGTAAAGGGATCTTTTGTATAATTCATGCCAAGTTTTACACATTTGCGGATTCTATTTATATTTCCTTGCTATTCAATGACCATTTGTTTACTCACGATTTTCTCTTCTACAAACATCACTCTAATTTTTGTTCCTTCATAATGCTTTAATTTTGTTTATCGTCAATTTAAAGGTGTCAATTGGACAATTGTTGCTTCCTTCAAAGTCCGATATGGAGAATTCTTCAGCTCTGAATTTAAAAGGTAATTCAATCATTATAAGTTGTTGATCATGTCAATATCGTTGATTCTGTTAATATTTTTGTAGAAAATCACAATCCAAAATCACTATTAGAAATTGCCAGCGATACATCAAGTAAATTCCAATTAGATGCATCAACTCCGAAAAATTCCAAGAAAAGCTGTTCCTTTAAGGATACTTCCTTTAATATAGACAGTAATGAATCAATTTCATATCAAGAGAATATTCGGTTTAATGAATCATCTGGACTGAGCTTCCTGGCAAATGGATTTAATAAGCTCAAAATCAAAACAGGTATGAATACATAATTTAATTCAAAGATCCTTTTGCTAATGATCTCCTTCCATCAATAAATTCGATTCATTAGAAAATGTCATAACCAAATTCCTACATTTTTCTTCATTAACAGACGAAACAGGATCAGATGACGATGAAGATCAGTTTTTATCGTTTAATGATCAAACCAGATCAACTGAAAATCTAAATCAGAAGCATGATGATACGCTTATTCTTGAAAAAAATGCGTCTTATATTCAAAGTCCTGAAGATCATGCTTTTGCAAATGTTATTTTAGAACCTGTTAAGCAAACAGAAGATGAATTTATTGTTAATAAGGAACAGTTGGAGCCTGTTGATTTTTTTAAGGAACAGTCGGAGCTTGTTGAAACGATTAAGGAACAAATGGAACCAATTAATGAGATAACTGAACCTATTGAATTAATGAAACCTGTTGAATCTTGTAAGGAACAATCACAATTAATAGTTCAAGATCAAAGTACGGTTGAACATAATATTGATGACGTTGTTATTAAAGAATCTGAGCCGATTGAGAAATGTGAAGATCATGAAATTATATTCAATCAAATTGAAAAAGAAGTTAATGTATTTAAAGACTATGAACCAAATCCTCTTATTTCTGAGAAAGAAGTTTGTGAAGAAAAAATGGTGAGTGAGGAAATGATAGTTGAAGAAAATGCTGAATTTAAAGATGCAGAAGAAATGCCTCAACTGGACAGTCCAAATATCATTAATGATTCGCCTAGTAATGCATCTGCAAATATTACACAGATCTTGAATGATTTTAATTTATCGGAATCGATTAAGCAGTTGGAAAAATCGACAGATCAATTAGAAACCGAGCACAAAACAGCTATCGAAATTTGCCAAGCAACTGAAAATATCAACATTAATAAAACTCTAGATGAAATGGAACTTAAAGGACTTCCAATGAATACGACATTTGAAGAAATTGAATGCGGTGTTGAAAATACTTCTTATTCCATGCACACAACAATGCCTTTAAATGATATGGAGCAACATGATTCTCATTTTTCAGCTACATTCAATAAATCCAGTGATCATGTAGAAATAGCGGAAACAAGAAAAAGTATTGGCATGGAACAACTAACACAAATTATTGAAGAAACGCATCATAACAGTACTTTTGATAGATCAAGGCCTTGCGATGCTAATATGATGCATTCAACATTTAATGAGACAAAACCTGTTGATTCGCCAACATTTTCCAACATTGATGATTTAAGGATTAACAAGACACTTGACATGAATGAATGTGAACCTAATGTAAACATTACACACGATATGATTAATATTGATATGAGTTTAGCAAGACCTTACATCCAGAACGACACGGTCACTATGAATAATACATTTGAAGGAATAAAAAGTAATTGCATCAACAAAAATTTTATGGAATCTCTTCAGCCAAGCTTAGATATAGAATTTAAAATGCCAACCATGCCAGTATCAAGAAAATCGTCAGAAAGGAATCAAAATTATAACTTTGGTAACGAAGAATTTACAAGTGCAGTTTCATGTAAGTATATGGTGCTTCCAGTTGTTTTTAACGCATTTTTCAAATTTAAAAATGTACTAGAAAATGAATCAAACAATAGTGCAACAATTCAAATTGAAAAAAAAATTCGTTAAGAGAACTGCTTTAAAATCCAGAAAACCCACACAAATAAAGTGGGTGTTCCTTTAAGAAACTTAGTACAGAATAAACAACAAATAAATGACAAGTACTAAGAATGTAAGAAAATAATTAGTACAAGAAATAAGAAAAAAAAATTGAAAAGTGACGTATTAAGCTAAGTGACGATCTGAAATTGACGAATTTGTGCAAGTAAATATTAGTTTTGAGTTATTGTAAAATTTTGACAGTTATTTGGTATCAGAAAATTGATTTTTCAAGTGTATCTAATGAAAACATAGTTTTTCTTATGTTTTCATTTTGATTTTCATTCATTTTCGACCCAAACATGACTCATGTGGTGCTTAATAATTTATTTATGTATCTTACAGATAACTTTGGTGACTCGGATTTTGATTTTCTCCAGAATTTTGGATCGAATTCATCGGATCAAAATTTCGGGAGAGATTCTGTGTTATTAAAATTTGACCCATTATTGGCTAAGCCTATACCGCAAACAACATCAAATTTTGAGAAATTGGCAGAAGAGGACGAACTAGCTAGTGAGACTATTTCAAAAGATCCAATAATTGAGTGCCACTCGCAAGAGACAAGGAGTATTGAAAATTCATTTTCGTCTATAGCCGATGAATTTCCACAATTAATTCCTTTAGATACTAAAGATATGAGTGTGGAAATTATGAAGGATATTGCTTCCGAAAACGAAAAACAGATTAATAATCTCGATTGTGAAGAAATTAAACTAAGGTAATTTTTTTCTTATTTATTCTATCCCGATTTGTGCATATTAATGCTTGACGAATTATTAAAACCCTTTAGTTCTATTGATCATCACGAAAACCAGAATAATAAGCTTATGGAATTGGAAAACAAAATGAGAATGGAGGCAGAGCAAAGAGAAGAAGTATTACTTAAAAGGTAATTGCTTTCTAGCTTATTAAAATGTCAAACAATCATATTTATTATTATTTCCTTTTTAGGATCTCTGAAAAAGATAAACAGATATCCAAAATGAGGTAACGTCAACTGAATTTATGACGATTTATTCACACATGCTAACGACACTCTTAATTTATCATAATTTCAGCAACGTTGTAAAAGAGTATGAGAAGGCGATAGCTGAATTAATTGCAGAGAAGGAACAATTAGTACAAAGCTACGAGAAAAAGTGCGCTGACTTAAAGAACGATAGTGAGATGAATGCCCAACATTTAACGTCTTTGGAATCAACATTTTCAGACTTACATGCGTAAGAAAAATTACCTTCACTTATGAGCTTATTATGCTTAATTTAATGTACTTACTTGATAATTAGGAAATATGAGAGAACTAAACAGTTAGCATTAGATCTCAAGGAGCGAGAGGAGGGTACTTTACAAGACCGTAAATCACTTATGGATAACTTAAAAATGCAAGAGGCCAGATACGAAAAGATGAAGACACACGCAATGGCACAGTTGGAAATGTAAGTAATGTATGACTTCTTACACGACCAGATTATACTCAAAACATAAGTGGCTCATAATAGACATTTTATTGCAAATCGAAGAAATTTTTGTGACGTAAAAATTGATTTTTGTTTTAAACGTACAGACATTGGAAAAACACAACATAGTCGAGTCGATTTTACATTTATGTTTCTATTTTAGTGCAAACAACAAACTTGCGGAAATGCTTCGAAATCATCAGGCAGAAGTGACAAAATTAAAAGCACAACTGAAGAAAGAGGAAATTTCTCGTGCATCAATAAACGAACAGCTTATTCAGAAATCGAAAGAGAATGAAGAACTGGTTAAAATATGTGATGAACTTATTGGTAATCATGGAAATTCTCACGCCGTTTAATTTCTTAATTAACTCAATTATGTATTCTTTAATTTAGTCGTTAACTTTAAGTCCTTGCAATGTTACAACATTATTATATATTAATTTTCCTTTTGCTTTTGGCATAAAGCTATGATCTATAAAATTAATAAAACTCTCTTAGTAATACACACAAAATCACAGCATACATTTTGGTTTTCTTATTGGATTTTATGTTTTTTCAACGGAAAAATTTGAAAATTAAAGCTTTAAAACTTTCATAACGGATAAAATTCAAAAATAATTTCCGAACACAGTCGACAGGAGCAAATTTAATTAAAATACTTTTATATTAAATTTAATAGTAATTACAAGTTTTTAAAGTATTTAAACAATCTATTTATCATTATTGGCACATAATCAACGTTCTGCATTTGAAGAATATAGTTTAATAGACAATTAAGGAGGTAAAGATTGAAAAAATTTGGTAAGAAAAAAAAATTATGTGAATAAAATAAATTTTTCAGACTTAATAATAGCGTAAAGCTGTTCAATTGAATGTTATTCCCCCTTTATGACTGTTTATCTATCTAAAATACCAAAATTTACAAGCCTTATTTTTGAGTGGAGACTTTAAAAGAAAGAATTATGTACGCGAAAATATCGAAATTTGTAAATATTGAAGAATATTGTGCCAATTTTGAATCCGATTTGAACAAAGGTAAAATAGAAGTCATTAGAACATAGTTTTAATCATTAGAAAGGAATTATTAATTGTTACATCTAAATTTATGCATCGTTCAAGATGAAAAAGCTAAAAGTTTTTGGAGTAAACAAATTCTGATCTTAATTGATAATTTTGTAAAACAAATAAGGAGTATTGAGGAAGAAACGGACGACGACAATAAGGATAATAATAATCATGAGACGAAAGAAGAAAAGATTATCAAATTTAAGACTGAATATCAAGCGAAAGTAAATAAATTAATGGAAGAGTTAGGTGTCAAAGTATATCTTTTTGGAGATAAATAGAAAGAAAATAATGTTATCATTTTTTTCGACTTTAGTCCGACTAAATTCCTGAGCATTCGTCAGCTTTTACAATTAAATGAAGAATTATTAAAAAAGTATGAATTTGGAGATATTTGGCGATATCACAAACTTGAAGAAAACAGAAAAGCTTTATCATTGTTGGAAAATAGATTACAAGAAGTAGCGACGAACAATACTTATAGTAGATTCGAGACCCTATTTTATGGATTGTTATCAGCCAACATATTTGATTCTGGTATTATCTTGCTTCTTTATAATCTTGTAACCACATGACTATCATGAAAAATAATATTTACATTGAAATACAATTTATACAGGAGCAACGGCTGTTCAAAAAATATTAAAAGAGAACAAAAACTTTAATTTTGGAGATGCTATGCTCAAAGTTCAAAAACGACCATGGCTCGTAGATAATTTTGATAGCTTTATGGATGTCTTATTGCAGGTATGTAGTATAATTAAACTGAGAACTTGTAGATAATTTTTCATGATAAAATAAATTTTCAGGGAAAGATAAAATGTATTACTTTCTTTGCGGATAACTGTGGAATTGATTTATGTTTAGGAGTACTTCCTTTAATTGTTGAGTTTCTAAAATTAGACATTAAAGTTATATTATGTGCGAACTCTGGGCCAAGTCTTAACGATATTACAATAAATGAGCTGATCAATGTAATTGAAACGGCTGGAGAATTCTGTGACCTTATTAAGAGTAGCTACGAAAATAGAAACCTAATCCTTTGTGAGAATGGACAATACGGCTGTTGTCTCAACTTTTTGGAGATTAATGAGTAATAAACACAATGACAATTATCTAATAATAAGGATGAATAATTAATTAAAATAACTTTAAAAACATTTTAGGACACTACTTGATTTGATGATAAGCATGGAAGTTGATTTAATTGTGATTGAAGGAGTTGGACGAAGTATTCATTCAAATTTCAATGCTAAATTCAAATGTCAAAGCCTGAAACTAGCTGTAATTAAGGTGAGCTAAGATTTATCATGTTCAAAATACTGAGCAAAATTTTAACATCTTTAAATTTTTTGGAAGCAACATAAAATTCCAATTTTTGAAAACCGTTAAAAAAGCTCAAGTTTAAAATGCTGCATTTATGTTAATGAAATGCGAAGAAAATGATTTTTTAAAAAAAATATTTTTATATTATATTATTGCAGAACAATTTCTTAGCTGAAGGCCTAGGCGGTAAAATTTTTGATGCAATATGTAAATTTGAATGTTATAAATAATTAAAAGCTTTTCTTAGTTTGTTTCTTATATGATTTCTCATTGGAAGAAGTAAAATAATTTTAATATTTGACTTTTATTATTCTTAAAATATGATTTTACTATTAAATACATTCAACAATTGCGAATTAAATTCTTAAAAAAATATATATTTGAAAAACATACACATCCAAAATTGCTTTCTATTTTTCCGTTCTTTTGTTTTGTTTTATCTTTTTACCTTGATTCATTTTCTAATGAAAATATTTTTTGTAAAAATATTTCATTCGCACAGATGAGTGTAAAAACAAGTTTTATGACGTCATCGCTCTATGAGTCATCGGGAAAAAAAAATTATGGCAACAAACAGTTTTTAAGACTGAAGCTTTTTTTCAATTTGTAATCGAAATGTGACATCCACTATCATGATGATCAATTACTTGTTTCTTGAGGTCAAATACATGCTGTTTTAAATTTAATAACACTGAACCGAGTTCGCCGTTCTCAACTTTTAAGATTTTAACACGATCCTCCAATTTGGATATTCTTTCTGTAATGACGAAATATTTAAATGCTGTTCCGCAAACTTAACACACATTTACAACTTACCTAGTTTTCGTTTTCTGCATTTTGATGCTGCTACGCGATTTCTTTGTCTTTTTCGCTCAAGCTTTATCTTCTCTTGTGATTCCATGTCAATTGGATTAAGATGCTGTTGTGCAGGACTTGCAGGCTCGGGCTCCTCTTTAATCTGTTGAAGGAGCATATTTGAATTATCTGATTCTGAGTAATTAATTCCACCACCGCTCATGCTTGGCGCGTTTTGAACTACGGGTTTTACTTGATTTCCTGTCTCGCGAGTTTTTATTTTATTTAAAGCGTCTTCAAATCCTTTCGCGTAGTCCTCTTGCTCCGTTGTAATCTAAAATTGTAATATTAATTAATTTATCTATTTTTTTTTTGGCTCAAATCAGCTTATGAATAAGCATATCTATGTGCTATAAAACCACTTCCTTTCTACTATTATGTACTTACTTTTGAAGGCTGAAAGACAACTTGAGAATTTGACGGAGTTTGCATTGATGATGGTGTCTGTAGAGTTTCTGTATTCAAAATGAAATTCTCAAGCTCGGGACTTTTTATGATCATTTTCTCGACATCGGGAGTTGACAAGAGGAGCGCATTAGAATTAATTTTTCTATTTAAATCAAGTGTTAATGGTCTTTTCATTATTGGTTCACTAGATTTCTGCTCGTTATGCTTATTATCCTTATTATTACTACTATTCGGATTATTATTATTATAATTCCTCATTTCTTCTTAATTTTATTTTATAATAATTTAAGCACTTTAAAGTCCGTGTCTATCTGTAAATGTTTAAAAAATACTATTTCTGAATTGATGAATCATCCTTCTTATATATAAGACTGAAGCTACTGAAGCTTTAAATTTATGTTAGGCGTTATTTTATTTTAACAATGCAAATGCTCTGAAACACACAAAAACAGTTCAATTCCTTTTTAAATAATTTCAGTCTTTCGAACATCGAAAGCTCTTGAAAAAGTGTGAACAAAAATGTCAAAATATAAAAAGTCGTTGAAAGCCACGAACTTCCACGCTTGGCTAATGATGTCAATAAAAAAGAGCACAGCAATTGTTGACTCTTGACTGATTAACTTATATAAATTAAATTATGTTCGATAACATACTTGACAAACTTGATGGGAGATTTTTTATACATTGAAAAACTTTGAACCCATCAAAAACTGAATTTTTAAAAACAGTGTAAGGGCTATTGAAAAAGACGTCTTTTGAGCCTTTCGGAACTAAAAATGAAGCCAAATTGTAAAAAGTATTAAATCTTTTGAGATTTTTGGTGACCTTCGATAGTTAATATTTTCAAGTCAGTTTTATCAGAACTTTTTCTTGTCTCAACCAATTTTCTTGAAACTTTTTTTAAATGACAGATATACGCCAAAAACTTAATATAAATATCAGTCACATAAGTTTTACCTCATGGAAAGTGCTTAAAAATTGACGAAACCTCAAATATTAGTAATACGGCACACTTTTTTTGAGTATATGGATTTCTGATGCATTTAAATGTTTTTCCTTTTTCATTAAATTGTATTCCTGTACTAAATCTTCAAGAAAAATATCCCTTTCAAGGTTTAAAATTAGATGCTGGGTTATAAGTCCAGAAAATCAAAGTGACTACAGGTTTATAAGTCCAGATACAAATTGCACCTGGACTTAAAAACCTCACGTGCAGTTTATAAGTCCAGGTACAAAGTTGAGCTGGAATTATACACTGCACGAGAGGTTTTTAAGTACAGGTACATTTTATATCTGGACTTATAAACCTTACGTGTGGTTTATAATTCCAGAAATTTATAAATTTTACTAATAATCTCCCAGTGCGATTATAAGTCCAGATACATTTTTCTGGACTTATAATCTTTGAAAATTATTTGAAACTTATTTAAACTATTTTAAATTTTTTTTAAGGCAATTCTACACATGAATTTTTGAAAACTTCACACAAAGAATTCACATTTGATAATTTTTTTCCTCTAAAGTACCTTATATATGCTGCTGTATTTCATTATACCCCTTGATAATAACTTATTAAGGTTTTTCATGCCTTAATCAAGGATAAATTTCAATTCTTTGGAATAAAAAATTAAAAGTCAACTAGTGTATCGGGTAGAAACCAAATGCGGATTATATTCACACCGTACCATCAAAAGTCTTATGGATAGACCAAGATTTGCCCAGCATAAGTATGAAGGTATGAAGCTTGATAAGTCAGCTTTTCTTCGCTCAGCATAAGTTTGAAGGTATAAAACCAGCGAGTCAGCTGAGCTTGACTCATCATAAGTTTGAAGTTATAAAGCTAGCGAGTCAGCTGAGCTTCGCTAAGCATATGTTTGAAGGTTTAAAGCTTAACGAATATTCTTTAAAAGTTTTTTTAAAAAAAATTTTCATCCAAAGTTTAATTCTATAAAAATCACAGTAAACTTTTTTATTTGTAAAATTCGTAAGAAAGGAAAGTTTTTTTGCTTTTTCTGAAGCAACGACTGTTCCTACCTTGCCCAAAAACAATACAGCTCTTCTATAGAGTAGCACGGATCAAATGTAAAAAAACTAGAAGTCTCTACAATGTCTCGTTATTGAGATTTCTTGCTGATTAACTTGCATGCTTGCTTGCTTGCTTGCTTGCTTGTTTGCTTACAGAAAGCGTATTTGGCGATTTTCTCAGCAATGCCGCAACCAATTTGAAATCTGTTTTTTGCAGAAGTTGTGAAATTTTAGGCACAAACTTTTCATCTCTGAATATTTTAAGCTATCTTGCTCCATATCCTCACCAAATTTGAAAAACTGATAGATTCACACGTGAATACGGTGTGAACATACTTACATTTTTAACGAATCAAATTCTCAAATTATATGGATCAAAAAATTCACAAAAAATAAAGAAAAGTAAAAATGAAATGTTCATTACGTGCATACAGAAATGTAAGATTCGTCCTGCTCCTGATCTATTTTATTACTTTCTCATATACAGGGGCGTAGCCAGAAAATTTTTAAGGGGGGGGGCCCATTTTCGAAAATTAAAAAACCGTTATTTTGTATCCTTAAATCTATATTCATTCTTCATAAGTTTAAATATTTAATTCATTATTCATACATTAAATTTAATTTTGGCTGATTTTGACCTTTCTTTCACCACTTCCTCTACATTAACTGGTTCTTCTCTATAAATACTTAATAAAAAAATTATCAGATTTTCGTAAGGGGGGCCCGCCCCCCCCCCCCCCCCCCCCCCCTGGCTACGCCCTTGCTCATATACGTAAAAAAAGTAGCGTTGATCGAAACCCAACTGGTGCTAGAGTAAAATTGAGAATGTATGAAGTCGAAAAAACTTCAGTCATCTTGGATTTTCTGATTGATTTCTTTTAAATCGCTAATTTAAAATGCTTCTAAAAGTGCTAAAAACATCAGCTGCTACATTTAAGATTCAGTAAATATTTAGTGATAAAGATTTTTTATGATGTTCAACTTTAAGGCACTAAAGTTCAATAACAGAGATTTAATAAAGAAAAAAAAATTTGAAATAGTTTCAAATAATTTTCAAGGATTATAAGTCCAGAAAAATGTATCTGGACTTATAATCGCACTGGGAGATTATTAGTAAAATTTATAAATTTTCTGGAATTATAAACCACACGTAAGGTTTATAAGTCCAGATATAAAATGTACCTGGATTTAAAAACCTCTCGTGCAGTTTATAATTCCAGCTGTATTTGTACCTGGACTTATAAACTGCACGTGAGGTTTTGAGGTTTTTAAGTCCAGGTGCAATTTGTATCTGGACTTATAAACCTTTGGTCACTTTTATTTTCTGGACTTATAATTTTCTGTGCACGATTTTTGTATCTGGACTTATAAGCTCTGGACTTATAACCCAGCATCTTAAAATTATATTTATGCATCAAAAAATTGAGATTTTTTCAAAAAATATACGGTTTTAACTATGTTTTGACTTCAATTGACTATAACTGCATATTCAAAGTGAGTGGAGAGACAAGTTTTAACTGTTTTATATAGTCCTCACTTGTATTTTTCTAAAACGGTAAAAGCCTGGAAAAAAGTTCTGACAAATTTTCAACTTTGAACCATTTGAAACATGTCATCTGCATGCACCTCAAAAATATTTTTCAACTTTTTTCATCAAAATCATGTCCAAACTTGATAAATCTTTCAGGAATGTAAGAAAATAGTGTTTTTGATATTTTAAAATCAATTTGAGTTTTTGGCATGGACTTGGACCATTTTTATTTGAAATGTCATCATTTTCCATTTTCAATGAGAAGTAAATGACTTTAAATACACTATATGCTTTAAAAAAATATTTGTATTACCTTTTATGTTAAGCTGCTTAAATTACCTTTCCAACGATATATAATATGTCATATATGAGTACAATATCCCTGAATAATGTTGAAAAAACTGAAAAATTACTCAAAATTCGAGGTGCGTGAAGAACATACTTAACATTTTTGCTCAAAACTATATGAAATCTCAAGTATATATTATAAATTTGGTACTGTTGGAAAGATAAAAGTACTGAGATAAAATCAAATTTTGAGTTCAGAATTAACCCAGGGCACTGCTAGCGTATGAGAAACATTCAGGGATATTGTACTCATATATGACATATTATATAGCGTTAGAAAGCTAATTTAAGCAGCTTAACATAAAATGTAATACAAATATTTTTTTTAAGCATATAGTGTATTTAAAGTCATTTACTTCTCATTGAAAATGGAAAATGATGACATTTCAAATAAAAATGGTCCAAGTCCATGCCAAAAACTCAAATTGATTTTAAAACATCAAAAAAACTTTTTTCTAACATTCCTGAAAGTTTTATCAAGTTTGGGCATGATTTTGATGAAAAAAGTTGAAAAATATTTTTGAGGTGCATGCAGATGACATGTTTCAAATGGTTCAAAGTTGAAAATTTGGCAGAACTTTTTTCCAGGTTTTTACCGTTTTAGAAAGATACAAGTGAGGACTATATAAAACAGTTAAAACTTGTCTCTCCACTCACTTGGAGTATGCAGTTTGTAGCCGTGCCTATGACAAGGCGACGTCACACAAAAGAGGATAGGGGAAACGGAAGAGGGGAGTTTACTATCATCATTCAAAAAATATACATCGAATTTATTTTGTGAATTTATAATTCCAAATTAATGGCAATAAATAAATTGCAATAGTTCATATTTAGTTCATATATAGTAGATATATACATTTATTGTTTATTTAAATTAAAGGCATAGCCAAAGGTGCTGAAATTGGCACTAAAATTGAAAAATAAATGAAGACCACATGAGTTTTCAGACACATGATCTTTTTCATAGACATTTCACATATTTAGAACTAGACATTGGAAGAATTTCGAGTGAAAACCCTAGATTAGTGCAGTCATTGTCGGTTTATAGAGTTTTTGATTCATCTGTGAATGGCTTTCGACCTATTGTGATTCCATTAGTTCAAATTTTCGACCCATATAAAGAGCTAGACTTTCATACAGAACAACCAAGAGTTATAAATCCAGTTCCAATTACACCATTTTCCTTTATTGAACCCCCAACACCGCTACAAGTTATAGTCAATTAAAGTCAAAAAATAGTTAAAAACCGTATATTTTTTGAAAAAATCTCAATTTTTTGATGCATATATATAATTTTAAACCTTGAAAAGGATATTTTTCTTGTAGATTTAGTAAAGGAATACAATTTAATGAAAAAAGAAAAACATTTAAATGCATCAGAAATCCACATACTCAAAAAATGTGTGCCGTATTACTAATATTTGAAGTTTCGTCAATTTTTAAGCACTTTCCACGAGGTAAAACTTATGTGACTGATATTTATACTAAAGTTTCGGCGTATATCTGTCGTTTAAAAAAAGTTTCAAGAAAATTGGTTGAGACAAGAAAAAGTTCTGATAAAACTGACTTGAAAATATTAACTATCGAAGGTCATCAAAATACATTTCGGGCTATATCTCCAGCACTGGAGTAAGTAACAAATAAGTCAATAAAATAATTTTTGGAAAAAAATTTCGATTTTATCCCATAGTGTGATGATGGGTCCATAGTGTGATGATGGGGATTGCTCCACTATGAAGCGTAGGGCGTCCAAAAAGCATTTGAATCACACTCGATTCTGGGCCAATACTGCTATTTCCTGCAGCTTCTTGTTATGTTGTTCCGCCTAGTCCTATTTCGTTGGACATTCCAAGGGATGCGCTGTGTAAGAGCTAGACTGACCAATGCAGCTTTTGGCTCATTACGACATGCCTGGACCTCCCCTCGCCTTTTGAGACGATTGAAGCTGAAGATCTTCAACTCGAACGTCGAGCTTGTACTTCTTTACGCATTCGAGACTTCGAAAGTCACAAAAATCCTTCATACCGTAATAGAAAAAACGTGCGTTTTTCATGAAACTAGTAACTTACACTCTTTTGCGTTGAAGTTAAAAGTACTTGAAATAAACGGCTAAAAAATCTATTCAGTAAGTCTATGAATTATTAAAAAGAAAGGAGAGAAATAAAATAAAATAAAATGTTTCTAAGAGAAATAAAAATGCTAGGATTTATTATCTATGTTGCAAACAAATTTAAACGAATTTTATTCTAATATTTCAACATTATACTACATAACATCATAAAGAAAAAACATATATTCCTCATTATTTAAAACGAAAAAAAAAAAACTTAAAAAATTTGCCAACAAGTATGCTATAGCCAGTTTTTTTTTGTTTATTAACCAATGATAAAACTATTTACGTTTCCTTACTTTCGGTCAGAATTAATTTATAAAACTCAATTCAACTCGTCTTCGTTTTTTTTTTAAAGTTTTTAACCCGGTAACGGACTATCATTTTTCATTTTTTTTTTCTTCTTGTATCATTATATATAATTCAAAAATTTCATCTAAAATAGTTGTATTTAGTACGTAATGCGTGAATTCTATTATTATTTACTTTTCACCAAAAACATTCTATCACTACAGTTGCTTAACTCTGCTATGTATTTTTTTTTTTTATTATATTGTATGAGTAATGTTCAATCAAAATAATCAGACTCTCTATGATAAAACAAAGACCCTATCAATTATAAAACTGATAAACTACAATATTCTTTCATTTTTCTTCTTGTTTAATCTGTGAAAGTTTTCCATCCTTTTTCTCTTTCTTTGGTATCAAATTTTATAAATTTGATGATCAAAAGCTCTAATTAAAAAATGGATAAACTTTAGGCTACTTTTAATTTTCTTCACACAAATTAAAATCATAATATGCAAAAATGATTACTTGAAAATCTACTCTATCTTGAGTACGTTACTTTAAATAGGCATAATGAAAAAAATGAGAGAATAGAAAGAAGTAAAATATTTTAATAGAATCAGAGTTGTTAGGGTGGTTTTATCCTTTGGAATTTGATGCATAATTCCAGTGACCAAATTATTGACGAAATCAATTTTTTGGACTCTCGGGTAACTGCTCAATACATGATTCACAAAATACTTTTTAACAAGTCGTGGACACTTGGAGTTATCACTAGTGCCAACGTCTCGCATCTGAACCAGGATGCAATTCAGGAAGAATTCGCTCTAAAACTCGATTTTTGTCTAGAGAAAATTTAATCTAAATTAACATGTGACTTGAGCCTTAAATTTTATGTATCACATTCTATTTGTACTAACCTTTAGTAACTAGAAGAGTGTTTGTTGCAGCTGATTGCACTAAGTTAAGTCTATATGTACATATTTTTCCATATCAATAAACTTGACAATTTATCTCAATTTATGGATCTAATCTCTAATTATTTTATATCATATATATTTTTTTGTGTATAGTTTGCAAAAGTTTTAATTAAATAAATATCAAAAATTTTAGAATATTTTGCAAAAATACTTCTCTTGTAGGACCCAATAATATCCAATATGAAGGAATATGTACACAGGAACTTGCATTCATGCACTGCATCATTAGGAAGTAATTATTGTGTTTCCAAATTTCAGTCATCTAACAACTCTGATTAGATTTTCTTTTAAAATATTCAGACATATTGCCACTAAATGATATGAGACTCTATTATAATCAAATTATAATAAAAAAAATGAAGGAGGACAATCAACAATTTTTATTTTTTTTTCCTTTCGTGGCAGTAATGCAAAACTAATTTCAAACAATTAAAATTATTATTTTTAATTTTCTTCTTCTTTTTTTTTCGCAATAAATTTAAAATATTTCCGCATTGAAACAAATTTATACATTAATGCATAATAACTACAATATTATTTTTTGGATTTCACTGTATTTTTTTTTTCTTTTTGTTTAAATGACGTACAACTTAATTTCTCAAAAGATAATAAAACCTGAGCAGGACAAAACAAAAATTCCATAAAAGTCATGTGGTTGTCAGATCATAGGCATTCAACTGACTTTCAAGGAATTGTGCGCTACTCGGGAAATAAAATATTAGAAAATAAAAAAAAATATTAAACATTTGGAAGATTTTTGTTTTTTTATAAAAAATTGTTCAAAAAACAAATTAAAAACAATTTTTGTTTCTATGCACCCTTATGAAAAGATGTAAGCAAAACATATAGTGCTTCCAATATATATGTTGTCTACACCTACTTATTCAATAAATTTTGCAAAAATCGATAGATGTATAATAATTACAATTTGTTTTTGTAAAAGTGTTTGTAAAAGAAATTCTATAGTAGTATTCAACTAAAGAAAAGAAAAGAAAAAAAAAACATAACTATAAATTTAAATGGTGGTTCTTTAGAAAGGTTTTAAGCTCCCGAAGCTTTACGTCTTCATCTCATTTTTTTTTTGATTTTAACTGAAAGCTTTGTAGCAAATTAAGTCTTATAACATTCGACATATAACATTAATATTGATGTTTTTAATTATATTATTTCCTCATAAAATAACGTTTAATTACACCTCCTGATATTTAGATAGACGTGATCTTAGCTCCATATTCTCCTGTTTAAGCTGTTCTACTTCACGGTGTAAATTCATATTCTAAAATTAATCCAACAAAAAAAATCACACTTGAGTACCTTTGTTGATTAAATGATCTAGTAAAATATTTGTTCATACAAGTACACAACGTCTAATTGAATTTAGTTCCTTAATATTTAAATTTCAACTGATCTGAATTGGTTTAATGTGCTGGTAATTGATATGAACAAATAGAATAGTTTGGGAAAATGTAACAACTACCTCTTTTTCTAAGAAACCGGCTCGAAGAGCTATCTGATTTTCCTTCATCCGGCGTGCATCCCGTGAGCGTTTAGCAGCCATATTGTTCTTTCGTCGACGTGCCCAATATTTGTCGTCTTTCATCTCATCGGGCACAAACTGTTTGCGAGACTTTTTAATCATTGGTGATGGTTTTAATTCCTCATCGGAAAAAGCACGAGTACGAGGATCAAAGTCACGTGTTGAGGACATTGAAAATGCTGTAAGATTAAAAACTAACAGTTACTATTTAGAGGGACATGTCCTCAAATAATAAAAAAATTAATGGAGAAACGGAAAATTGACTTCCCAAAAAGTCAATAGACAGTAACTTGTATTTCTTTCTTTTATCAATGATAACAAAAATTATAGTTTGAGACAGAATGAAGCGTGTCGTGTGTTTTTCTATCAATACTTACTGGAGTCTGCAGGAGAAGGTGGATTATTAATTGTATCAGGACTCATACAATCTGAAGGAGACGGAGATCTTTCTCGTTTTGTGACAGGCCCCAATCCCAACGAGAGACCATGACCTAAGTTGTCATTGCGATTATTTGTACCTCCACCACCAATATTTGTTGAATGACCTAAGTGACTGCTCGGTAAACCATCAACCGGAATTCCATTCTCTGATAAAAATTCATCCAAATCGGCATACTGATATAAATTTCAATAAAATTGTATTAATTTTTGATGAGCAAAAAGAAGATTTAAAATTGGCATATATGAATATATGAAAAAGGTACAAGCGTTAATTTAAATTCACATTATTAAGGAACAACATAAATCAATTTGTCAAACTTTACGAGAAGTTTTGATGATCATTCGAATAATGAATGTTGAAACAATTAGAAATGATGAATATTTTAGAAAAGCATGGAAAGCATCGAAGAAGAAAAGCCTTAATTTCCACTAAGGTACACATTTTTATGACTTAAATAAAACATTATTCAAGTAGTGTTCTTCAAAACTCCATACACGAAACCACTTATTCTAAGTATACTAGTACTAGTATATTCTAGAGTAAAGTATAAGTGATACTGCTCTCATAGGATTTAATAAAAGAAAATAATGAATCCTTTCTTACTTTACTTTTAATCCAGGATTTCATAGTTTGTATGAATTTTTCAGAATTTTCTCTGTTCCTTAACAAAACAGTAAAGATTAAATTTATTTTATCACAAAGAACATGCTTTCAAGTTATAATTGAAAGTTTTTAAAGCTGATCAAACAAATTAGAAAAGGACGACGTCAACTTTTTAGCATGACAGAAGTGAAAGCTGCACTTTGTTGAAAACAGCACCCAAAATTCAACACCGCAGTATCATTTTTCATGTTTTTTGGATTTAGAAATTTTGAAGTCACATTTCTTCGACAGTAGTAAATTAATTTATGTTTCAAAAGAGTAAATTCATTAGGATTTTAGATAGGCTAGACTAAGAAAGTTTAAATATGTTAAGTTTGACAAAAAAAAAAATCAAAAATAAAAAATAATAAAGGAACAAAAACTACAATATGTTAGCATCGGTTAAATATTTTTCTTATTTATGTTTAAACTTGAAATTCTTTTGCATACTTTAGCTTCGTTATTAGTTTAATGCATTATTAATATTATTGCTATAAGGTCTTTAATGAGAAATAAAATAAAAACTTTGATAATTAATTAATTTAAGCAAAGATGAGATAGAAAGAGAGAGAGAGAAAAAAAATCATAAATTATGAAATAAGAAAGTTTTGGATCATTCACAAATGACGTCCGTCAGATTTTCGGGTAATGAAACCCTACAACCTAAGTCGATGATGGTCGAATTAATATTATTTACAACAAAAAACACTCACTTGATGTACTTTTAAGTCTGTATCGTATGGTAATGTTTTATCCCATAAATTTGGTCCTAAAAATGCAGCTTGTGCCTCTACGTTCCATGGGTCTCCATCCTCTTTGTGTTTATCATCACCACATATATCTTTATTATTTGTTTTGCCTGAAAATAGAAAGACTACTTTTAACTATAGATTTGTATGTTTAAAATTTTCACATCAGATTGGTTCACAGATTTTGCAGGTACATGAAATATTCATTTGTTAATTACAGCAAAATGATCATGATGTCGTTAATACCTTATAACTATTAAACAGACAATACAAAAGTTTCTAATCATTACATCATCAGAACACTAATTTGTGTATCAAACTTATGATTATTATTGCATAATTATTAATGGATTATTGCTTAACAAAACAGTGAAAAAAAAAGAAACAAAAAAGTAGAAAATTTTTTGGAAAATTTTTTCTTCATTTCTTTTACAATTTATGCTTAATTAAACAACTGTCTTCCGCAAAACTTACAAATACATTCAAATTTCAAGTCGAGTTTAAAAAAAAAATTAAATAGGAAGTAAAAAAATATTATAACATCTTATTTCCCAAATGAAAGTAAAAACCGAAGAAAAAGAAATAAAGAAACACGAATAACTAAATCGATTATATGTAAAAGAAAGCGAGAGTTTTTTTTTCTTCTCCGGTTTCACTACTTTTAACACTACTACACTATATATATATTAAGCTTTGCATAGAAAACACCATTAAATATATTTTGGAGCTTTTATACCAAATGAATGTGTTAAAAGTCGCTCTATAATTTGCGGAAGAAGCAATGCATTCACTATCATTATAAAGCAGCAATTCTTTACAGCTTACATAATTAAAACTGTTAAGACTTTACATTTTAGTTCTTTCCTTGATTTTTGTGCATTTATGTATCGTGAGCTTTTTCACATTTTTTTAATACATATGAAATCTTTAAATTTTAAGCCACAAAATTTTGATTAATTTCAGGTTTTTTAATGGATTTTCCTTATTTTCTAATTAGCTCAATGTCATGACACTTGTAATGGACGTTGGGAAATAAATAAAAAAAAATCAACCAGTATGATTGTGCTATTAGACCGTCATGTGTACGTGCTTTTTCGATAGCTAGAGAGAGAGTAGCCAAATAGCTTGAATAAAGGAAAGAAATGAAAAGACTGACAATCTTACTTGAACTTGAAGAGGGCAAAAAATGGAATTTGTTGTTTCAATGAGTTGGTAAATGTCAGGCTGGTTAGTAGACGAAATTTTGGATTTTTTGAGATTGAGAAATTTTTTCTTTATCTTTTGATAATGAATTGTAGTTTTTTTGGGAGAGGCATGCATTAACATGAATTGTTGCATTCCTGATATTACTCTACAACCATAAAGTTTCTTCAAATCTTGAACTTGAAAATAAAAAAAGGATTTTTATTTATTTTCGGATCGATATGGAACTCATTAAAAAGATTTGATCTCAATTTTTATAGAGTCAAATTAGTATTTAAAAGATTTTTGTCCTAGCAACAAGTTTAAGGTCCCTTCTTTCAGATTGATAGAACAACGCGGGAAATTCAATAAAGCTTCAAAATTGTATTGGTTGGTAAACAATAAAGAACATTCTTGAGTTTCTTAGTAATTCAAATCACACTCTCCTGAATAACTCATAAATTTCCAGACGCATAAAAACTATAAATAAGAGAACTAGAGAAACTATTTTGAATATATTTATATCCATTCAAAAACCATATGGTATGTGCCTCTAATATTTTCTTTATTGATTTCTCTCAATTTCACAAATGACTAAGGGATTGAAAGTAGAAAATTGAAATCTTCGGCTGGCTCAAAAAAAAAATCAAACATTTCATTTTATTGGTAATTTATGGTTCGATCTAGATCTTGCTAAATGTGACTTAGTATATACATCCTTACTTAAATTTATGTGGGATTGAAGTTTCAGGAGAGTCTCTAATAAGAAAATTTGCAAAATATCTCTTTACGCACATTCATGAAATACATTCTAAGAAGCATGTAGGTGTTGATTCATAGTTGAAGACTGAAATCAAAACTTGAAAGACATGAAGAAAAAGTGCGTAAATCTTTTGCATTGAATAATTTGATTTCTCTGTAGTTGCTGCATGTGAATACTTTACGAGAGATTCGAGACTAGTCGAAGAAGGATGTTATCTGATCGTCAGTCGAGAATCCTATTAATGAAAAATGCATTATATGTTCACTTGTCATACCAACGAACCAAAGTAACAATGTAGCAATCCAAACCAGGCTAACTCTCTACCAACAAGTAAGTCGCAAATATTAAGTAAATTGTGCGTATTGTACTACAATATCAAAGAAAGTGCCATTACATCTTCGCTTAGCAGATTACTCCAAATAATGAATTTTGAAATGTGCGTGAAATTATTCGCAAAACATTTCCCAAAATAAAAGAAAAAGAATTTAGCATAATTTCATCAAAATTATTATGGCTGCGGAACGAGACTCACGAAAAGTGAGAGTGTTAATATAAATTTACATCATTTCTCCATTTATCTCATTTCATTTTGATCACTATTTTAACAATCTCTTGTTCCATAAAGATAAAGTTTTTGTGTGGATAAAGTAAAGCTTATCTTTTGACAATATATTGTTTAAAACAATCAGAGATTCTTAAAAGACATAACATTTCCTATTTAATTTTATAAATTTTTTTCATTAACTTTAAATTGTCAAACATGTCCAACTACTTTCAAGGTTTATTTATTGTCTTTATATACAATATATCTTGAGCTGGATGTATTTATTATATAGGTAGTATATACAGCCATTTCTTTTAACAAAGAGAAAGTTTTCTTAAATGTGTTTGGATTTCATCATTCGTATTGCAGCACATTCAAGATTGAGTAATATCATTTCCATTAGTAGATAAAAGTCAATGCATAATGCAGCATTTTTACAAATTCTTGCATATTTCCATCACTTTCATTTGATGATCATCGTAGTATGAAAACTAGAATCATCAAGTTGCTCGCTTTTCAATGGACAATTCTGGTTTGTCTTCTTAGTTTCTATGTGGCGAAACAAAAGATTTCATAATATTGAAATTGAAAGTAAAACTGTATAGCTTTCTCTGTGGAAAGAAAGACTGGTTTTTTTTTACATTTACGAATTTCGGAAATAAATAAAAACTATGAAGCTTGAAAATTTCGTCACGGAAGTATATTTTTTTTTCTTTTCTTATGTACATGATGCAAAGTATATAGGCAGCATTTGGGTGTACAAGAGAGGTAAGTAAGCGAGTTTATGTGTACGTCCCTTATAATTTACTTTTCTAATTTACGATTAACGTTACCATTCAAGTACGCATGATGCTGTCTCCATAATTGTTGCACTTGATACTGCGTCCAACGGCTATTATCTTCATTAGATCCATTATTATCATTTGAATTATTTGTTGTACCATTTGTGTTATTGCCGATATTTTGTATATTCGTCTGGTGCTGAGTATTATTATTGTTGTTATTATGGAGAGCTTGTAAAAGTTGTGTCGTTGGTGGCAAAGACTGAGAACTTTGATTTGAACTTCCGATATGTATGCCGTTGTTTTGATTGTTGTTGCTATTATGTGTAGTAAGTTGATGTAAATTGTGTGCAACTTGTAGGGGCAATAAAGGAGGTTGCATAGTCAAAAGTTGGTTATTTGTGCCATTATTATTATTATTGTTATTGTTCGAATGAATTAGAGATGTTGTATTTGGCGATCCAATAATCATTGACACCGGCGGAAGCTGCTGATATTCCATAATTTGTCGTTGAAAAATTTTAAATTAATTTTTTTTTTCTAATTTTTTTTTTTTTGATTTTGTCGTTATCCAAAATTAAATTCACAAAAATATTAAACCAAAAGGTATCCGAATGTAGTATTAAGTCTTTCTCAGCTATCCTCATTAAACTTTAGCACAAAAATCATTTTTAATTTCTTTCTTTTATTCTTCATTTAAAAGCTTTTCATAATGTCTCTCTTTTTTTTTATTTTAAAAAAAGAATAAGTCTCTCAATCTCACAACATTAGGCAGCTCCTTCTTATGGATTATTAGCTTGATCTTTCTTATTTGAAATAAATTTTAATTACATTTCTTTTCTCATTTGCATCATGATTTTTGAGGTTGAAATTGAGATGAGAAACTATTGCTATTGATGTGATTCTATACACAGTATTTATATACAAACAAAATAAGAATAATCTAAAGTAATAAAATTTGACCTTGTATATTTGTATATGCTATTCCATGCGTTTCAATATGAATATTTTTTTTTTGTTTTGAATACATGTAGATGTATAGATTCTATCATTCAGTTCTAATACTTTGCAAATTTCATGTGTTGAGTATACATTCAAAAACAATAGCTTCCAACATTCTCAATTTGCCTCATCTATGTATTTTTTGAGCAATTAAAATTGTCATTTATATTATTTTTTGATTAAATCTTTTCACAGGTTGAAAATCGCACATAAATAAATCACTTTTAATTGTTGCTGCTGTTGCTGCTTAAATTCTTCTTCCCAATAACTTATTCACTTATCAATTTTTTTTTTTTTATTTCTATCTTTTCTGATCAAAAATGATTAGATTCTATAGAAGCTTTTACAAAAAAAAAGTCACTTAACGGCACAACTGCAAAATTCACATCTAACTCGAACGCAAATTCTCCCGATAGTGAATGTTGCGTTTACATTCAACCGGAATCAAAAATGAAATGCAAAGCAGCACTAGGAAGAGAAGTTTTTGAAACTTTTTACTTCCCACCATTGCGACTTTTTTTCTTTCATTTCTTTTTCGTTGCTTGTTGAAAGAAATGGTTTGAAAATGAATCAAATTTTTCTTTCTTTTCCTTCTTGTACAAATGTATTTTTCAGTTTTGTAGTCACAGTATACGAAAATTTAATGATGATGGAAAAAAAAAAGTTTGTATGGATCCTCTCTTTACACTCAACCAACTCGACTGTTTCACTGTTTTCTATACACAAATTTTTCAGTGGTATGTGTGTGAGAGCAATTTAAAAAGCTTCTCATGTATAATTCGAATGATTTTTTTTTCATTTCCATAGGTATATACATCTCTAGGTATTTAAAAAATTATTTGATAACAAAACTGGATGAGAAAAAAAAATTTGTATACTCAGATCAATTCTGACTGATGTAAAATTAGTCATGCAATTCTGTTGCTAAAAGCTTCTCTCTCGTGCAGTAGTAGCAGCAGATTTCAATTCTATTTCTCAGCACATGAATCTCGAAAGTCCATTAGTCCATATACAATATATGTATTTGATGCTGAGACTATTCCTTTCAATATACGAAAGGTAGGTATTTGAAAAATATTCATCCAATAAAATCCACCAAATTATTCGTACAGAAACTGGTTTTTATTAAATTTCACTTTTTAATAAAAATGAAAACGAAAGTTTTTTTCATGTACCCACACCAATACAAAGAAATAATTTTGGAATTATGACACAATATGTTTTGTGAATCTTATACAAGAATTTGAAGAAAACTGTCTGACTATTTGCTATTAGAGGTAATAGCATTTATGCTCTCACTGATAATATGAATCTATTCCTTTGAGATTTGCATGAAACGACGAAATTCATACATTTAATATTATTATTATTTTTTATTAAACTAATGTTTGTAATCCATTTCGTATTCACGTGTATTCATATTCTCATTTGATTTATTAAATGTTCATTTCAATTACCCGAGCGACATTCAACAGCCTTATTGCAGCCATTCGACGGTCACAAGGCAGTGCCTACTGCCAACTGCCTTGAGTGAAGGCGAATCAATAATCACCATACGACTGCCTTATCGCCTTGATGGCAACTCCTGACCTCCATATTTCCGCGCGCAAGGCTGTCTTGAAACTGCCACCGACTTCTGACCGACTTGCCTTGTAATCGCCTAGATGTTGACGAGGTGGTGCTTACAAGGCAGTTATTATGGCAGCAAAAGACTGTTATAATTCTGTTATAATTTTTGATTTTTTTTTGAAAATTAAATGTTCGTTAGCTCATTTGGTTTTGTACTATAATTAATAAGGAAATGAGATTCAAAAGTTAAAGTCTTATCACGACTTCAGTCTTGAAAGGAGCACGAATCAGTGAAAGTGCCATGCCACAAAAGATATTATTTAAAATATCTTAAGAAAAGTATGCAAACATTTCTTGAACTTATATTAGTCATTTCTGATTTTACTTGTGAAGTATGTTGCAGCAATGCTGAAATGGGTGGCAGTCATATGACAGCCTTGTAACTGCCTGAGCAAGGCAGAAATTTTAGAAAAAAACATTTGTTTTGGTGGCAGTCATATGGTAGCAACAAGGCAATGTAATATAAGGCAGTGCCTTGAAATCGACTTGTTCAAGGCAAGGCAGTTTGGAGGCAATCACACAACTGCCATCGCCACAAATTGTCGCTCGGGTTAATTTATTAATGCCATTTCTTTCTCTATTTACGATTAAATTTTATTAAGTTCATTTGGACAATTCTTAAAGGTTTTAATGGAAATCGATATTTCCATTCAACAGCTTTCTTTCGTCAGGAATTAGTAAGTTGCGTAGGGAGCTTAAAATGTGGTTTTGACATTGATTTTTCTAAAGTTTTTATAGAATCGAGGAAATTTTTTCATCTTAAGCAGATGTAAGCGGTTGAAATAGCACTTTTAAAATCTTTTTCCTAAAGCTAGTTAAATTTTAAATTTCAAAATGATTATCAAGAGTGCTACACTGAATTAATGATTTAAAAAAATTGCATTTTAATAGATTCATTTTTTAGGTTTTCCAATAAGTAATTGATGGGTTCAAAATTGTATTCTGGTTCAAGTCGGGAATGCCCAAGACAAAACGGGTATTCCTGAATCTTATGTATTGTAGGAAATTATTCTGTTAAGAAATACTGAAGCTTTGCATGCTTACTGAAAGTTCGTTTTTAAAAATGTGAGTTATTATTTGATAAATAGAGTTATAGTCATATGTCTTTATGATACACGTAAATGCTTTAATTCTCTTAATTTAATTATACAATTTTATTTCAAATGCAATGAAAGTAAATAAAGTATGTAGCCGTTGAAGAAAGCTATTTGAAGAATTTTCTCAATTTCTAAAATCATTATCATGTATCTTTTACCCAAATGCATTCATGTCCTTCAAATACAACCTTTTTTCTTGTGTGAAAATGAGATAAGATTCAACCTTTTAAATTTATTTTAATCTTCACAGTTGTCTAAACTTTAGATTTTTTAAGGTAAAGACAATAAAAACTTAATTTTTACTTTTTAATATTTAACATAATTAAAAATATTTGAAATCAATAAAGTACTTTAAAAAGAATTTTCATATTGACGTGTGCTATGACACATGTTGAGTCGAGTAGCATTGAATTTGGATTAGCTTCAAAATCAAATAATTTTAAAATTCCTCCTTATTAGCAATCAGATTCAATATATATATCCAAATACAATCGCATGTACTTTTAAAAAGAACAACAATAATTCTTTATACCATCCTTATAAATTTATGTATACAAAATCATCAAAGCAAAATTCCCTAGTGTCCACTTATGTCATAAGATCAACTTTATAAAGGTAATGTTTCCACATTGGATTCTATTAAACTTCAATAATTGCCCATAAAATGCTCGTTAAAGTCCCAAAAGTTTGATTGAATTTATGAAAATCAAAAATTTGATTCTTAATCAGTTAATTCGCATGAGGATTTGATCATTTAGAAGTAAACGAACAATGTATTCATTTTATAGTAATAACTTTATGAATTAAATATGAACATCAATTTACATATTATTATAGAAAGATAAAAAATAATTCTTATCGCCAAACCTTGATAGTAAACTCTTTTGAAGTGTTGTGATTGCATCTGATGCGCTAATTGTGAATGATTTTCAATAATAGCCTGTGAAATGGACGAGCTTGAAGACGGCATAAGAGATTCATTTTGTTGAGATGATGAGTTTGATGCCAACACGATTCCATAATGATTATCATTATAAAATCTTTGATAAGAGTTTCCTGTAAAATTCCACTGTGATGAATGTTGATTCGGAGGTTGATTAGAATTATGGATATAGGTTTTGTTTTTATTTTCACTATTATTTCTAATTATTTGCTCATGACTATTCATATCTTGATTTTGTCTCGATTGATTCATGCCTTGATTATGATCTGAATTCATCCAATGATTGATATTTTTAGTAGTTTCATTTTCAGTTGTGTTATGATAATAGTGATTAGTTGATGGAGGTGAAATATTTGTTGAAATGTCTTGACTAGCATAGTAATCCCCACTGTTACAATTATTCGTTTCTGATCCCATTTTCATTTATGTTTTGATTTATTTATTTTTTTGTGTTTAAAACTTCGCATAGCTTTTTTCTCTTAACTTTTAAAGAAACAAAAGGAGAAGCATTTGCATTAAAACTTGAACTGTTAAAATCTTTTAATTCTATCAATTTTTTATGCTATAAAATAAAGCTTCACAAATTTATAGCATAAAATTGTTAGAATATTTCTTTTTTTTATATTCTTTAACAACACTTAGCTTTTGATATAATATGAATTTTATATTAACCCATTAATTATATTCACACTCCATAAAACAATTTATCTCTGTTCTGTTTGTTTTTCTTTGTTACTTTTTTGCCTTTATTTTATTTATTTTTATTGAAAAATTCATTTATCCAAAATGATGATTTGCAACTTAATCAACTCACGATCACCGTTTATAATATAATAAAAAGAGATATGAAAAATTCTTAACATTTCCTTTCCACACAGTACGTGCTACCGTTGTATATCATTTCATGAAACTGACTGAGCATTCTGTAGGGAGGAGTTTTGTCACGCGGAATTCGTTGTGAATCGTCACACAGTCCTGGAGTATCAGCAGTATACTAATACTAATAGGAAGCTCAAGTAAATCTTAACAACAAATATTTTATTTCAATAGTCACGTGGCAAACAATGAGTGAGTGCGAATCTCTCTTTATACTTTCATAGCACAGAAAATAATAAAATATTAATTCAATTAAATCATTTTTTTTTATTCTCTTCTACAACTTTAAAACCTGACAAAACAATCAGTTTTTGATACTATTAATTATAGAGTTTCAGTCTATTCATCCAGCATAATTATGAAGTCTTTTTTTTCCATTTTTTTTCTTGTTTCTTTTTTTTCTGTGTGAAGTATCGCAAGGATAACGAAACGAAAATAAATGAATCACGTGTATTCAACATGTGAGGATACAGTCGTATTGCTGCGTATGCTGTGCTGTGATACACATTATGGAAAACGTATGTATACACTGTTTTTGTCCTTTTCTAAATATAAAAAATTTTCCATGAAAATTTCAGCAATTTTGTGTTTTTTATTAAGCATAGATATAGCTTCTCTAAAGGAAGGATTTTTCAGCATGATTTTTAATGATTTTTCCGTAGGTTCCAAAAATGAATTTTTCACGTTCTATTATTAATCGAATGCTGTGGAGCAGACTCAAATTTTGCTTTGTTCTGAACATTTGAAAGAAAAATTCTCAACTGAACTCAACTTGTGTAAAGGTGCAGATCAACGTGACTTGATGCTGTGCCTCGTGATTATCAATGAATTTTCAGGATGGGTTCGTATCATATTTATAATAAAAATATTGGTGCTTGAATTTTTTTTTGTTTTATATCCAACCAATAATATCCATTTCTCATGCTTTAAACTCAAATTGGCAAATTTAATTATTATTTTCAATTTCTTTGAAAACCTCAAACAAAAGTAAAAAAGGCTTCAATATTGATGATTTTCTTGTAAAATAAATTTTATTAGGTTGGTTGGATACTGATATGAAACTTAATCCCCAGCACATTTTGAAAACACTTATCAGTTGTCATAGATACAAATGTGATAATCTTAAGTATTTGATTTGTATTTTTTCACAAAAACGTGGTATTTATCACTATTTATAGAAAGTAAAGGCAACGGTTGAAATTTTCGTTTCATGTCACTTTAGAGCTGCATGTAAAGCAATGTGTGACTTTGACTATTGGGAAGTCCTAATTAAAAATTAAAATTGATATTGAATACCCAAACCTAAGGCATTATTTAATTATGACGTCTTACATTTCTTGCGAGATTAAGAATTTAAGACTTTGCCACAGAATTTGAAGCTTGAACTTTGTTTTCCCATAGACGTCATTTGGATGTGTAATTCAATCAGTGTCAGTGATTGCACTTTGATGAAAGTTTCTTCTTTATATCCAAAAAGAATGAAAACCTCGCTTTTAAATAATTTTGATTCCTCATATGAATAAGAAATGTTAAAATCCAGCTAATAATTATAAACAAAAAATTCATTCAAACTGAACCTCAAAAAAATTTATTATGAAAATAATCACAGTTCTGTTTTTTTGCGAGCGCGAAAAAATATTTCGACACTCAAACGAGTCATGTGATTTATTTCTTAAGTCATTTTAATCATGTACCTGGTAGTACACACCGTAAACCGGCATTTTGTCAGGAATAATTAAGTGATTATGCGAGTTTGTCGCGTTTTAAGAACATCGTAAACAAGTTTTTGAAAAAAAAACACAATTTTTTTTTTAATTTTCAATACAAACAATTTGATTTTCGATTTCATGATTTTTGATCCCAATTAATAAGCCAATTTATTTTTGTTTTTTGACATAAAGGAGGAAATTTTAGACGTTTTCAGCTTTAAAAACAAAATGTGTCTATAAATAGGATCGAATTTTGATCTTTTGAAAAACAAACCTACGTTTAACTTGTAGCATCCAATTCTAGTAAGAAATAATTTCTTTAGAATTCCAAAAATTATTACAGATGACTAACGACTGATTTAAACTTTTTATTAGTTTACAACTTATTCGATCTTAAACAATCAACTAGCCAGAAGTGTAATTAAGAGGATCGGTTATTAGACTTTCAAAAGTTTCACTGGTAGAACAAGTTGTCGATCAGAGATTTATTTACAAATTAAAATTAAATTCTCATTTTTGATTAACGTCATTTGTGAACAACCTTTGAGATTTCGTTGATTGTATTCAAATAAAAGATTTGACTTTTAATCAAATTATTTTTGTTCGTGTAAATTTATTCGTAAAGATTATTTTATTCGTTTGTTTTTTAAAAATCTATTTATTTATCTATTTACCACACCTTGCATTTGGGCTTGAATAAGCCAAGTTCGTTTGAATTCACAAAAAACTAGGTTCAAAAGTTGAACATCCTTAACCCCGGTTCACTGGCTATTTTCTTAAATATAAACTACACTATAATTTATCACACATGCCAGTTTTAATATGAATTAGTTCTAATAGCCGCATCAAAAGCTCTGTTGCAGCAGAAAATTATAGATACAAATAAAAATTCATAATAATAAAAGTAAAACGAGGAAAATTATTTTCATTCATTATTTAAAGGTATAGTCAGTCATTCTAATACAAATGCGAACGAAGTATAATAAAAACATACTTAGTGAAAAAAAGAAAATATTCTCCGATGACGTATTCTAACCTTAGTAAGTATTTTTTGACGATTATAGCAAAGTATTTAAATGTATGCATTGGCAGAGTAGACATTCTTCTAATATAGTAACAAAGCGATTAGATAAAAAAATTGCTTGCAAAATTTCTATTTTAAAAATTAAAATTTAAAGAAACGAAGGTAGATAGAATCGAGTAAAGCTAAGAGAGAGCATTTTTCGTACTATGTATATTTTTATTCGAGGAAAATCGATAAAATACAATAAAACAATATTCTAGTACGTACTATGAAAGGGAGAATTTCATATTTTTTTTTTGCTTTTCGTTCATCAGCAAAAATATATATGTATAGACAGAAATATGTGTATATATATTTAAACGCTAATTTTTCAATTGAACTTTTCTCTATACTAAACATTTTCTTTCATCGTATGACGTTAAAATTATTGTTACTGATCTATGTTTTCTATCTGCCTACATTGAAGATTTCAAAGTGTAAAAATATCTGATGTTCGTGTGTGCGTCAAAAGCAAGATCACATGAGTTAAAATGAAATGAAAAAAAAAATCAAAGTATCGATTTTTGCTATAGAGTATTTGGCTTATATAGCTTTTGATTTTTATTTTAATTGTACATTTCATTTAGAATACTACACACTTAAATTAATGACAATTAATGAGATAATGTAAACTATATATTTATTATTTTTTTTTAAGTATGAGTATGTAGCACATGGAAGTTATCATCATAGAGTTGATGCTTACCATTCGTTCCACTGATCAATGGATAGTTATCCCGTGCTCCTCCAATTAATGACTTTAATCCTGATTCAATTAAATTCGGTGAAGACGTTCTGTCGCTCATGTTGTTTTATGTTTTGTGTGTTTTTAAAGTTTTTTATTCTCTTAGTTTTCTTAATTTTTCAATTGTTTTTGTAAAACTTTTAATAATAATTAATATAACTCGTTATCAACTAGTTAACAATACTTAGCATTTAGTCTTAATTGATTTCAAATTTCTAATAGCACTATATGGTGGATAACTTTTCATAAAAGTAATCCAATAATTTTCTCACTATTAAGTTATTATTTTGTATTTTTAATTTTCTTCTTTTATTATTTTTTTTTGTTGAGAATTATAATCAATCTTATAAGGTATATTACTAACAATTTATTGCACTTTTGTTCTAAATGAGCTGTCAGGTCTTAACACAGTTTCTTTAAATCAACAACAACAATTAGTATAGTTTAGTTAAAAGATAGAGAAAAGTCTGTCACAACCGAAATATTTTCCTTTTAAACTTTTCTCTTCTATTTTTTTACTAAGAGAAGTTTTCCATCAAAAAAAAATTTTTTTTTGGGAAAAAAAATCACAATTAATTTTAATTGGACAATTTTAGATTGATTGATTCTGTATTATTGCTTCCAAGCAATCCGGAAAGTCAATGATGCTTAGTTTAGAAAGATATTAAAGTAAAACTATGTGCAATATATGAAATATTTACAATTATTTTTATGAAATTATCGATGGAAAATTCTGAAAATTCACTCAGTATTGCACATAATGAAAAGCTAGTACTGCATTTTAATATTTTTTCCTTCTAAACATTTTTCGTACAAAAATATCAATTGATTTGGTGTTGATTCCACTTCACTAAGTTTAAAATAAGTTGTTCAATGCTTCTTGAATATTCAGTCAGGTTCTTTTACTCTAATTATCTATTCTTTAAATCAAAACTTCAAGGAATTATTTTAACAAGTCACATGAACAAATTTTTAATGGTTCGCATTTGTGCTTCTTGCGGCAGTTTTTAATCTCACGATTTAATTTATAATCGCCACAATTTCTTATTAGGTTCGGTGGTACTTTGCCTATGTTTCTTTATTGTTGTTGTCCATTGATAAATTTTGAGATGATTTTATGCTGAACAACATGCTTTTAATATGAGTTTTAGGAATATTTTCAAATTTTTCTTATTAGAATCGATTCTTATAAGTTAAAGTCATCGTGAATCCTGTCCAAACTTCCAATAAGAATAATTTTCAATCAACAATAATTCTTCAAGTCTTACAAAGTGTTGGAAAATTCAATAAATATTTTACATTATATGCCGACTTTATCTCCACACATTTAAGGTTTCATCCCACAATTCGTCGTTTGGCCGCTATCAGTGTACTAGATTATTAGTAAAGTACGTGAATCAACATCAAACAAACAACTTTTCCTTGATAGCACTTTGTAAATATTTTTTTGATATGTTTATGATTAAGTTTTAAAGATTATGAAATATTTAATTAGATGTAACACAATAATTTTTATGCATGCTTATTCTGCTATTTTTCTATAAGTCTATTATGTTATGTCTGTCTTGCTATCTTCGTTTCAAATAAGACTCGTGTTTCTTTTCTTTTGGTTTCAAATTACCGACGATTATCAAGAAATATAATCAACTGCTATATGCAAATATTATGAGCTCGTGCTCTTTGCTTTATTAAAAACACTGTGATTAAAAGATTACTTCATTTTATTGTAAATCAATGATTTAATGTCATGTACAAAAAAATTATTAATAAAATGCACTTTTTCATGAAAATGAATTCTTGTCTCTTTGGTTTTTTAACTTCTATCGTCTTTTAATCCTTCATACCCATAAAACTCTAAATGAATTGTCATCAGTTTCCACATGTTTGTCCTTTGAATTCTTTATTCGCTCCAAATCGTTTCTTTTCAATGCTTGCAGTTCATTGCTTTTGGAAAATCGATTCTCTACTAAGGTATCTGAAGGCACAGGTAATCCAATTTCGTGAAATGAGCTCATTGACGAAAAACCGCTTTCGTCTTCAGTCGCAGACGATCTTTTGGATGATTTATGGAAATTTACATTTTTCTTAACTTCTGTAGAATTTGATATTAGGGTAACATTCTCAAAATTTGATTTCGTTGAATTAGGCGAGTCATTAGTACTACCAAAAGATATTTGTAACTCATTTTCAAAGGGCGATGAGGATGAGCAGTCAGAGAGTTGTGGAAAAGTTTCATTATTGTTGATTTTATCGTGTGGTGATTGTGACAACAGTGGTTCGTGGGTGCATAAAAAGTTTTGCACTGTTCGATGTAATCGAAAAGCCTCTTTTGATAACTTTTGGATATCTATTTGATCGGTTGTTAAATCTAAGTTTAATAAATTCTCTTCTATTTTATTTTCACTATTCTTCTTCGGTCTTCGCCTACAATAAAAAAAAAATGTATGATCATAAATATCAGGTACATCATTTTTATATAAATAGTAATTACCATGTGAAATCTTTAAAGCTACTATAAGATAAATCGCTGAGAAATGTTCCAGACTTGTGTTTAACGCTATAGGGCGTGCTACAATTTAGGTTTGTACTACTTCGAGTTCTAATTCCATCTGCTTCGTTAATTTTTAAAAATGCTTCATTATATGACAACTTGTCCTTCTTTATGAATGATATACTTTTTGATCGCTCTATTTGTCCTTGTTCCTGCTGTTGATGCCATATATCAAAACTTGTATGACACTTTTCAATATACCTTGACACCTCTTCCAAAATTGCCCTGTACATTTGACGACTATTTTCCACCTACATATTTAAAATTCAATAAAAAAATAAAAAGAAGAATTAATTATTGATGAGTGTCAATATTTTTGTAAGAATCAGCAATAAAATTATATTATACCTGCTTTAATTGCCATTCTAAAGTCTCTATTTTCGTTAAAAGTACCGTGTTTTGTACTGAACTCTTGTCATGCTTTGTATCCATTCCTGTATTAAGCCGCCTATTTTCTTCAATCAGATTTTGACATTCCTTATGTAAACCAAAAATAAAAAATAAATAAAACAAATAAATTAATATTCTAGTAAATTATAATGTGAGCAGCATGTGCATATTTCTTTTATTATTGTAAAGCTTAAAAGCCATCATTGTCATACTTTCTCTATTTGGTTTCAACTATATTTCTGTCTGCTTTATCTAATAAGCTCATGATTTCAACAAAAAAGTGTCAGAGTCCATAGCATAATCAGAAATTTGCATTATAATTATGATAGAAACGCCTTGCTTCCATTGTAAAATTTCTTAAATGCCTGTCAGTTTTTTTCTTCTTGTTACAAAAATATTTTAAAGAATTTTTATTTTTGAGTAAATTTTTTACATAGTCAAATAAAACCAACAAAAATGATATTTTGAAATGTATAAATCTTTGCGACCGGATACACTACGACGACGACTTCAGACTTCATGCATCATAGCCCGTGCGGAAACTTCATTGTTGCCATTGTTTGAGTAGTATGTAATATATATTTAGAGCAATAAATGAAGTAAAATATTTCTGTTGATTTTTTGTATTTTATCATGAAGGTATTAAATTTCCTACTGTCACTTGTTGATTGCGGTTGAATAATTGTAATTGAATAGATCAATTAAAAATGCATGAAGATATATCTCAGTAGATATAGACTAGAGTATGAAATATGTTACATCAGCAAGGGAATTTGGTGGATTATTTAGAACATACCTACGTCAAGTAGTTAATTAAATTACCACACATACAATGACTCACCACGAATATTATGAGAGTGTTTTATGTTCTACATACAAAAGAAAGTAACATTTTTTCCTCTATTTAAGAGAACAATCATCATTTAAGGTGAATCACAATGTTCACACCGTTTCTAACTGTATGAAAATTTATGTATAAAAAGAGACTCAAATACTAGCGTGAAATGTAAAGTTGGTATTGTATGGAAATTTCAAAGAAAAATTCTATTATAGTAATTTAATGTAAAACACCGCACCGACAGGAAAATTCGAAAAAAAATCTTAATGTATGTGAAATTTTGGTTCATTATTCTTGAAAGGAAATGGTAATTAATTGAATTATCAACGTGTTTTCCACAGAACTTTATACAAAATTACCTTCTACACGTTTTTTCATTCAAAATTATTTTTCAATTCCCCTCCGACAAATATGCTTTATTGTAAGTCATTGGGAACATTGCTTAAATCATCATTATTAAATGTTCAACAGATTTTAAAAATTATAAATTTTGTCAAAGTTAATGATCGAAACTTTGTCGATATTTCAGATATTCATAAAAATAAGAAAGCAAATAATCCATTAAAAAAAAGTGTCTTAAACCATTCATGATAAAGCTCTAAATGTTATGAGAGGATAACAACGCAAATGCTTTTGTGAACAGAGAGATTAAAAATCAATAATGAAGATCAAATTAGTGCAAAATTTCCAGCAATTATCATCAATTGTTTTAAAAAATATTTTAACATAAATTGTAAAACTAAATCAACCGTTGAATTAAAATTCCAATTTATTCTGTCGCAGCCCTTCAAAAAAATTCCAATTTGCACATTTTGTTTTTCATTCAAACAAAAAATTGTCTTTCAATTAAATAATTTACCATTTTTTTTTTGTAAGTCATAAATGACAATGACCAACATTAGCTTAATTTTTTTACAAGTATTGATCATTTTATATTCCACATCAAAGTATCTATTATGAAAGCTCTTTTTGTTGCATAAAAATATACGGAAATTATATATCAATGTGAATATATGGTATTTAATCATTTTATGGTATTAGCAGTTATGAGAAGAAAAAAAAAATAACAACTATTTTAATGACTTCATACAAATAAAGATCATTCTTGTGACTCTATTAGTCTATGTCCAATTATAGGTAGCGAGAAACAAATAAAATTAAAATTAAAATCTTGACAGAAGAAATTAAAAACATTTTTGTATGCAACTGAAGAAAATTTTAGAAAGCTGAATATCGTGATTACAAAAGTGAAAATGCATTTAAGAATTAAAAGCTTTCGATAAAAAAAACGAGCAGCTCTATGATTTTGTTTCTATCTTTGCACATGCATTTAAATTTATATTTATTTTTTATTGGTTTAAGCATTTCATTTCATTCTTATTCTTTAAGAAGAGGAAGAATTTCTTAAAATATCACGTAAATATAAAATATTTTTCTAAAATATGCATAGATATGGAACTTTCTTCTTTTCATCTATTTTTAACATCATCATCATCATCATCAAGCAGCGAGAGACAATAAAAAGCAATTTTTTTACCTTTCTTAACCGTAGAATTTCTGCATCATTTGAAGAGTCAATAGCACAATTTCCATTTAAAACCTTTTTTTGGAAGAGAAAATAGTGAAATAAAAATCAATAGAAGACTTTATAAAGTAATTATAGCAAATGAAATTATAAGTGCAAGAAATAACACGATGTAGTCAGTCAATTCATTGTTTTGGATTGATCTTTATTTATTGATTAAGGTCGTGGAAGAGAAGATGATAAAGAGAAAAGAAATTGGGTCAAATTTATTTGACTTCTTACCTGATGTTTCTTTTTCGTTATACTCCACAATTGCTTCTCTTTATCTTCATCTGACTTATTGAATCCATTGTCACTTAAAAATTTATTGGTAAAATACTTTTCATTCACTTCAACATCATTTTTATCATCACTAAATTCACTACATTCAATTGCCACCAGCTGCCTTGGCTTATCAAATTCTATTATGTCTGTATTATCGGATAAAGAACGAGCAAAGGAACTTTTAAAATCGATTTCAATTCTTTCGCCGTTTATTTCACTCTTCTCAAAATCTTCACATGATTCCATTTTGATTTAGAAATTATTTTTTTTTCTTTTTTAAATTCTCTATGTTTTTTGCATATTTTTAAAATAACATCTAACACATCCGAACGATCAAATTCAACTCATTCAAGAAGTTCAGTAAATATAAAATAGAAGAGCATAACTCTCGTAGCTTTTTTTGCTCATTATTTGTTTTTTTCAGGTACGTTATGGAATGCATTTAACTAGATTTGCTTCATGAGCAGTTTGAGTTATGCTTGAGTATGAAAAATATGCTGATTTAATAAAATAAATCTTTAATTGATCCAGATTTCAACTGATTTACTTTTTATTTTTTCTTCTAACGTTCTTTTCGTTACAGCACGTGTTTTGAGTGATTGAAAAAATCATGATTTTCCAAATCCTACGTAAGAAAAATCTTACTAAAGTTTTTGTTTACGTAAAACGTTTTCATACAAAAATCAAAATCCTACGTAAATCTTAATTTGGTTTTATACTTTCATAGATATTCTAAATAAAGAAATAGGTTGTTAATTTAAATCAAATATTTTACCACCTTAGTGTGCTTTTCAGAAAATTTAAACTAATTTGATGCACTTTAGTAAAACATTTGAAAATTGAATATAAGGTGGAGAAATGTGACATTTAAAATTTAAATTCCGAGAAGCTGAGATTAAAACTGAAATATCTCATTAATTAAATCATGACGACGATAGCAATTTAAACGTAAAGGTATTCGCAAAAATTTAAAATTTCGTGTGATTGAAAAATCTCGGTGATATACGTAAGTAAGTGTAAAGACTAGAGCTAGAAAGTCATTAAAAAATCATCCCTGAAATTGCTCATAACAAATTAATAAGTCAACAGTTGCATATAAATAATTTTAAGATTTATGAATTTCATTTATAAAGTTTAGCGACACAAGCCTTTCATCTGAACTTAATGTAGATATAAAGTATGAAAAATACAAGTAATGCAAACAATAACATATAACAAGTGTAGCCTTTTCCTCGTTTACTTAATCTTAATACTTTGCCAATGGTATTTCCCATGAAAGACCCAGTTCTGCTCATGTCATCATCCATATCATTCAGTATCTTATCCTGATATCGTACCTCATTTCCTGAAACAAAAATTAAGGCAAGAATCTTTTTAGTCAACAGTTTTTATTGTGATTTGTAAATATTTACCTATATCAATTGTCAAACTTTTTAGACTTGAAATTTTCCCTTTTAATTCTTCAGCTAATCGATCATTTTCAGATTCTAAATCACCAGCATTTTGAGCCAACGGCTCATATCCATAATTTTGAGGCCTACGCATCATTCTATTTATTAATTATGTTAACAAAATCCCAAAAACTCGTCTTATTACTTTTTACTTTTTCATAATTTACAAATGACATCGACAAAAATATCGAAGCTTTTCAAACTGAGCAATTTCAAGTTTTTCCGTTATTTTTTAACAAAGCTTTTAAGAAAAAACGAAAAGTTAAATTTCTTTTTTATTTTTTAAAATTAAAGGAAAAGAATCAAATAATTGCAATTAAAGTAATAAAAATTACAATATTATCTTTGAGACAGGCGATGTTATTGAAAATAAAAATGGAAGAGATAAAAAAATTAACAGTCGACAAAGACTTGAATGCCCTGCGTACATGCTATGCTTAGTGATAAAGAAAATTTCAGTCTTATTAGAAAATCTTGATTATTTCTTTTTCGATTATTTCGGGAAAAATGTTAAAAAACGAAAAAGGTATGTCAAATTTCTACCGAAATTGTGTCTTATTATTTGAATATCATTTGGATTATGAAATTAAATTTATTTCAATTATATTAAAAATTAAAATTGAAATGTGCGAAAAGCTGAGAATTTTTTTTTTCGTTTGTATGTATTTCAATTTGCATATTTTTGTCCGTATTATATAGATATATATGTGACTTGTTGCTTCTCAAGGCCAAATTTGTGTTTTTAGTGTCTTCAAGTTTTCAAATTTTTTAATGTGATAACATGATAATAATAAAATGTCTACAACAAATAGAATCCTTAATAATCAGATAAAAAAAAAATTATGCGAAATTATAATCGACTGCTCTCTATATACATTTAAACATTTTCTTAACAAAAATTTATATAAATACGTAAATATATGTATTTGTAAATTAAAGAAAAAAAAATACTGTGTCCCATATTATGACATCATCATACATTTCGACTACTGCCTCAAACAAGTACATTTTATTGAAAAAGATGATAAATATTAAAACAAGTGCTTTACATGAAGAAATAAGAATTTTTTGCATTTCGTTCATTTTGGTGATAACAATTAAATTAAGTTGATGATAAAAAAATAATAAATTTTGAGTTCGGTAAAAAAAAAAGCAATTCGCACTACTTGTTGTTCATTAGAAATGAAAAGAGAATCATAAAAGAGAGAGAGAGAGAAAAAAAAATCGATCTAATAAGATTTGTTAGTGTAAATTGATTCGATTATACAATTGGATAAACTTGCTTTATGACGTTCTTTAAATACCAAAGTTGTTGCTGCTAAAATCATAACTTCTTTTATTAACTGACTCAAAAAACCAGTAAAATGTAACACGACATGATAACAACAAATAATAATAATTATAACCATCCACGGGTCATTAATTAAGCAATTATTCATTCAGTGAGACACACAGAGGTAAATGCTAAAATATATATGTTGATACCAGTTGACACGTCTAAAATAAACAAAAATCATGATGAAGATAAAAATATTATAAATCCTTTCACATCTTATAATCATTTCCGTATTCTTAACAATATTTCCGCTTGTGTTATTCAGTTTTCATCTATTTTGCACAATTTTATATCCAGGCAACATATCTTTCAAAAAATATTTGTGTATGTGTGTTAACAGCAGTCATCTTAAGATGCATGTACACATGACAAGCTTCTATTTGACTGTGTCTTGATTAGCAATGAGCTTCGACAAGAACTCTTTGTTTGTCAAAAACATTAGAATTTTATTACTTACTTTTCTTCCATTTTCTGTTTTAACATCAAGCCTCTTTCCAAACCATAAATGATTGTCATGTTTTCTAATGTCATTGCAGGCAGAAATGACAATTTTAAATTCCTTCGATCCAACTCCTTACTGTTGACTCAAGTGTTGGATGAGCTGATATGAACTTTAAATACAATATCCAATTATTTTTTTTTAATATTAGCAACAAATTTTTGTTAAGCTATTATAGATTTAGACTTTCCTTCTACCTTTTAATTTTTTTCAAAATTGCAAATCTTAAATTCGAAAAGTTATAAATGAAAAAAAAAAAAAAAAACATTTACAAAAACAGAATTAAAAAAGCACAAAAGTACGTCATAACATAGTCTATGCGCCAAACAAAATGAAAACAAGATTTATGAAGTAATGAACTTGAAATTTGAAGAGTTATTTCCTGAAAATTGTTTTACAAAAACCATCTAGCGTAAAGTTTTAAAAAATGGAATTAAATTCCCGATTTTTCTTTCCAAAACTCCAAATCAATATGATCTTAGATGAATTGAACTAGATATTAAAGTTTATCTGTAAACAAACAGAAAACACATAGCACAAAAAAAGGCAAAATAATAATTATGAATTTACTAATGCTGGTAATGTGACGAAAATAAACCAAAACTTTTTCACATCTTCTCTAATAATTTGAGTTTAACACTTAATTATAATTATAATCTGTCAACATTTATCACTGCCAGGTTGGAAAAACATTTGATCAGTAATTGATTTTTATCGATGTGAATGAGCTTACATGCTGTTTTGAGGCAAAGAATCAAAAGATGTTAATACACTAATTTTTCGTTATATAAATAGCAAAATTGTACAGCAATATTGAGTGAATATCTTTTTATAAACTTTTCTTCTGCTTTATTTTTCTTGAAGATTCAAACTGAAAAAAACCGATTCAAAAATAAAAAAGATGAGAAATTATTTTTAAACGAACACTAAATTTGTAAAAATTTTATAAATATTCTTTTGTAAGGCTAAGAGTTAAGCAGGAAAGTCTATAGACTACTTCTCAGTTACAGTTTAAATGTTTCAAGCGAAACACGGATTTCTCGATAAAATAATCGCAATTATTATATCTGTACGCAGAATAATATATAGAGAGATAAGAAAGTGTTGAGCAAATAAAGCAGCAATACAATTTTAATAGGCATTGTGAATTTATCAGAAAAGAAGTTTATGAAGTGAATTTTTCAAAAAAAAAAAAAATTATTTATCAAGTATTAATTATTATCATAGTGAAAAATTTGATAAGTCCAAAAAATGATAAAATTAATGAAAAAAAAATCTTCAAAAGAATTTAAAATCCTTAACAAAACAGTGACATCACATTTCACCAACCGTTCTGAGCTACTCACCAAAAACTGGTAATTTCTTTTGCCAAAAGATGTCTCCACATATATTACTTCATTTATGTTTTTTTGATCGTTCTTAATTTCCGCTTTAAAATATATCAAGGCATTGTTATGCTGTAGAATGAGATCATTATTGAGTAAAAGTTTTTTTTTCGAATGACGAAAAGTCCTTTTGAAAATTGACCAAGTGCCAGACAAAGAAAATTATATTTAGAATCTTAAACAAAAATGATTAATCACATTTTCAATCAGTGAAGTGCAATCATTCGATCAGTTGTTGATATAGTTCTTAATTCGGACCAAACATTTTTTTTTTGTTTTCAATCTTTGCAGGCGATGTTTTTCATTGGAAAATTTTAAATTGTAAGTAGCACCTGCAATAACTATATATCCTCTCATCTCTCCTTCTTATATACTCAATTCACAATCGTTATTTATGTCTGGTTTTATAAAGCCACATGGCACGCGTCTGTATCCATAAAAGAATTTTTTTACTCATTCTTGCACAAAATGTTATGAAAAATGAGCAGCATCAACTGTCTCTAAGACGAAGAAATTATAAATGTTGATGATGAATGCATGTTTGTGCTGTAAAAATCAAACTGAACAATTTCTCATATTTTCGTTTAATTCCTTTACAAAACAGTTAGTATCTTACAAATAATACAAGATCAATACATCTAAAATTAGAAAACACACGTGCTATATCATGATAACCCCTACATTATTCTCTGCTACGGCATCTTCGTCATCGTTTACAACAATATAAAGCATATAATGACAACAAAATAAAAGTATTCGGAGATTTAAAATCAGTTTGTGACAAGAAAATAAAGAAAAAAAAGTTTAAGGCAACAAATAATAATATAAAGAATGACATTTTCCCTGCTGTACTGTGCTGTAGAGTGACAATAAAATATCTTAAAACGTAGTTTTTTTGGAAAAATTGTTACAAACCTTTTCAAGCAGAGACAACGATCGTGATTCGAGAAAAAGAAATGGCGTTTTTTAATTGCTTAAAATTGAATCGCTGCCAAAAAAAAATCTTTTAAAGAAAATATGTGTATGTATATACACATGCATTGAATTGCTTATATATTATATATATCTCGGCAAATATAAATCGACACATACAAAATGGTAGTTTTTCATAACAAAAAAATAATATTAATAATGAATGGAAAATTGGCAAAATAAAAATTGTCTCATGAGTCTCACGGCATGAATCATTTTCGGTAAAGATTTGATTCACTTTTCTTCTGATCGAACGCACGCACAGCAGTAGATCATCATGATTTTAACATTAGTCGAGATTTATTTTCCATGTAATCAAGTTATTACACAGGCCAAAATAATTTTCTATCTAAGAATGCGTCCGTACGAATGCGTAAGGTATGTGATTAATTAAACGCGATGGTGTATGGAACAGGAAAAAGATGACATTATGTAAATCTTCCGAGAAAATATAAGAATTTACTTCAGAATATATCAGAATGTAAAAATGAGTTTTCATAAATTTCACACTTTTCTTCTACTGCTTCTACGGCTGTTTCGGTGTTTTCTATAAATAAATTGGAAGATTCAGATTCAGTCAGTCGGGCTTGGTACACACACAAGCATTTTTGTCGGGGATATAGAAGTAAATAAAGAAAATTATATAAGAAAAATTTTCTTTCTCTGAAAAATGTAAGTGCGATTGTTTAAATAAACTTTAAAATATAACATTCATCGTTAGACGTTGAGCGGTTCCTGTGTCCCATCGTAAAAATGTATTTAGTGTATTAAAAAAAAGAGATGGTTCAAATTGAAAGAAAAGTAAAAGCAACTCTTAAGTGAAAATAGATTTTTATAAATAATCAAAAAATTTATTTTTGGTCCAAACTGATTTAATAAAGTAAAGTATATTTTTTTCGTGGATATTTTTATATATGTAGTACGATAATTGTGCTTTTGTGTAATTTTTAAATTCGGAAAAAAATATTATAAATATCTCTGAAAGGAGTAGTGTAAATGTTCGAAGCATATAGTGCTAGACTTTCGATAGACAATTCTCTAATTATAATGAACAAACATTCAGATATATATGCATATAGGCGGTAATAATAGACATGATTTTATTTGCGTATCGAAGGTACTTTCTCATTTCTTTTTCTTTTTAATAAATTATGTACACATAAAGACGCACAAAATTTTTTAAAGAACAGCTCATCACATCCTAGACATGAGAACATCTGTTAGGAAAGTTGACACTCCTTTTTCAAAGTGTTTATGGATTTAAATTACCGGAAATATTTTCAAATGAAATCGCATTCTGGAGATCGTCGGCTGCGAAAAGAAATTTCAATTTTGTTCACAATTCCCTAGAATTAGTTTCTCTCTTGGTGATCTTTCACGTTATTCACATATTACTAATGAAATTTTTTTTTCTTACTCTTTACGTTGATCAAAATCATCAGCAATGATTTTTGTCTTATAAGAATTTTTCATCTTCTAGAACCTCCTAGGTTTTATTATTTTCTTTTAATTTTACAAGAGACTTTAAATTATTTTTTAAATCAAAATTTTGTGTACACGTTTTTTAATTTCATAAAAATGTGAAAAGTGATATCCACAGAATAATGGAATTATAAAAAAGTAAGCATTTGCCGAGCCTATACAAGCATTATCTAAAGTAGACAAAACCAAATAAGAATCTTAGGAAAGGTCTGACCTGAGTAGTCTCCGTGTGTTTAATTCTGAAAAGAAAAACTAGAAAGTGATAAACCAAAAGTGCAATAAAATAAATTGAGATTTTGAAAAAATTAGGTCCTAAATGCGCTGTTATTAGATCTGTGTCATTTAAGATTGGTTTCATTTCGGCATTTTGATAAACAAAACAGTTTTTGATAATGTATATATTATCCCAATTCTGGAACCTATTGTAGGTAACTGGAAAAAATTAGTGTTACAATTTTTCGGGCAACTGCGGATAACATAATTACAAACAGCTTAAGACATCCAAACTTCATTAATTATTCATTTGAGTTATAGACATCAGTAGCAACAGTATGAAGATGAATTTTAAAATCTAGGGGAAATATTTATTTTACTTATTTTGTTTTTGAACATGTGTACACGGAGAAAGAGAACAAGAAATCCTACACATTAATGTTTATACTGAAATGGTTAAGTAAAGGAAGAAAAAAAAAATCTTGAAATTTATGACGAATGTATGGATTATTTTTTCTTATGTTCATGATACGAACATAAAAATTAAAGCGTGAGTTCATCTCAATCTCATAATGAAAAGCAGAAAGTCGTCTACATCTGTTTAAAAGAAGAAGGGCCACGCGTATCTTGCAATTCATAATTCTTGCTTCCGCTATACGTTATTCCCTCATTTCTTAAGACACTAAGTGTCTTCCTTAATTTGAACACACGAAAGCGAGAAAAAGAGGGAAGTTATTGTGCATGCGGCATCGATATATTATAAATTTTGTCTGAATAAATTCCATAAAACTTCGACTCATCTTTAAAGTACTTCAAATGCATTTGACTATGTATTTTATATAAAAGCAAGAATCAAGCTAAAATGAAATTGTCACTCTGCATAAAAGCTTTAGCTTTTGACGCCAGGTGAAGAAAGGTACAAAAAAAAAAGAAAAAAATCGAATTGAAATAAATACAACAATTTTTGTTTCTATTATATATCATATACTAAGTATATAGTATGTATGCAGGGTATGAAAAATATAATTCTTCAATTAGGTTATTAAGTTGAAATAAAAGTAATGTAGGAGATCATGACTTAAAAATGCATCCATGGAGCTGATAAAATATTTGAGTCCCATGGACGGAACAGGCATTAAGAATGACGATAAAGAGAAAAATCACTGTATCTCCCATACAGAGATATAAATTCAAGGAGGATATGTTGTTGTTGTTGTTAATTTTTCATCATCATTCTTTGCTTTGATTTACTACTTTAGCATTATTGTGAGCTATGCAAAGGAATTCATCTCATTTAATTCTCATTTCTCAATAGTTTTTCCTTTTTGTTTTGAACATTATGACACTAATATATAATGGTAGATGTATAAAGAAGTATGAATAGGAAAAAATATCTCACTTGATGTGCAAAGAGAGTTGCGCCTTTCAGTAGAAAAAAAAAGTCTCTCTGAGCATATAAAAGTTTTATAAGGGTGGAAAGTATAGTCATCTCTTTCCTTATATTGAATTTTTCCTATACAAAAATGTTCTCTATTCACTGAATTGACGTAAAAGCAGAAACTGTAAAGAAGAAAAATGTGTTCTTTCGTTTTTTTTTGTGATAACCACAATTCTCATATGTTCATTCAGTCGTTATTTGTTTGCTGTGACTGATGTACTTCTGTCTTGACGCAATTTTTGTAAGCAGAAGTTAATAAGTGAAACATCCAAATGTTATTTAAATCACGTTACAAAAGAATATAATGAATAATATTTTTATAATGATATATATTTATTATCAAGTATAGCTGATACACAAACACAGAGATATATATATAAAATTATTTTATTCTTAAAGAACAAAAAAAAATGAAAAGTTTAAATGAAATGATTAGTTAAATACTGCTTCATAGCTGTGATCTAAAATAGAATTAAAACAAAAAATATACACATTGATTAAGAACGAAATGGATAAATAAATTTAGTGAATTAAATGTACATATAAAAATAAAAGGATTCATCGGTAAATAATTTAACTCTATACTCAAGTATAGACAGAGAAGAGCGAGAGAAAAATCAAGGAAAATATAGATTTTTCAAAACAAAAAAATCAATACTAATTGAGAAGAAAATGAAATAAAATAAAAACTGAATGTTAGTGAATGAAACTACTGTTGTTCATAATACGGAGGAAATCTTTAAAGCATATATGCTAGTTGTTGTCACATGAAATGAGAAAATATTGATACACGTTTTATTTTAATTTTTAACCATTATAAGAATTTAAAATAAAAGATTTAAACGTGACTTTTGTGTAACGTGTGTTTTAAACACTTTTATGCTGAAGCATTTTATGCTTATTAGGAACTCTTCACATACACACATCACTCAAACTCACCGTGAAGGTATTTTATTATGAATTTTTTTTTTCTCTATCGATAATTCAAATTCACAATTTCTTATCAAAAAAATAACAACTTATCATTTTTTTTTGGCAACGTCACTGATTATTGGTACATACTCATAACTTAAATTTTTTATACTTTTTTTTTTGTTTTCATTCTTACTGTACATACACATGTGCACACTTAAAGACCTGAAAGCTGTCGAGCTTAAAAGTATTTTGTTTGATTAATGAAAAAACTCCATTTTTCAATTTTTGTTAAGGTAGCTCTAAGTTTTAGTATGACCTCTACGTCATTGTATTCATACGAAAAATTATCTGATGGAAATGGAATTTTGACAATTTTGTTAATACAGTAGAATTACGCGCCTTATTATTTTAATAAATTTTTGATAATTCTTTATTTAAACATTTTTCTGTATTTTGGATTACTAAAGGATATTTAAAGAATTCTTTGAAATTTAGGGTTGAACCTAATTAGACACATTTTTAATAATTATCCCAGTACTTATTCGATAGATATTTCCTATCGCAAAAAAAAAACAAATGTACTTTAAAGATTTTTAAAAATTATTCTTGAGTCCATAATCATTTATCGTAAAGCACTTGATAATTCCAATCGTAAAAATGATTTTGGAAAGCATACACACATTGACATTTAAGTAGCTAAGAGAATAATATTCGATAAATTAACATTTTTAATATTTCCATGTCAAAAAGTCACAGAAAATCTCGAAATTCGCGAACTGAAATTAAAAATTTGTATAATGATGCCTGGCTGTGTTTACAAGCTTTTCGTTTTTAATTTCCATAATTTAGTTTGACAACTATATTTGAGGAAGTCATCAAAATATTATTAAAGTAAAGCTTCCATTCATGCAGAAAATTTAAGAATTTAAAGTTTTAAATTCAATTTTCCTCGTAATTAAATTTTCCACATAAAAAAAATTAGTGGAAATACCCATTTTTATTGATTTTTCACATATTTTCAATGCCGCACGCAGTTTGTTATTTTTTCTCTCTTTCTTATGTACAGCAGTATATACATAAAATACATGTATAAATAGCCCTTATTCGCCTACTCTTCTACCCTCATAAATATAGAGAAAGTAGAAAGAAACATTCATACATACACACAAAATAAGATATAAAAAGCTCTGTGCACGTTTTCAATATCTATTTTTATACAGATGAACTTTTGAAGTTTTCAAACAATCACAAACCTCTAAAAGTATTGCATTTTTTATTGAAAGCTTTCTGAAAAATCGCAAAAGTATATATACATCACTTCAACTTAATCTTTTATTACCGAGACTAACTTTCTTTTTTCAATAATGAATATTTTATTACTTGAATAAGATGAAAATGACGCAAGTACTTCCTTTAGGAGACAGATGGATGACGTAGATGAACGGAATTATAAATTATATCCTTCATTATACATTTATGATTGTTCCTATAGCTTCTCTCTTTTTTTCTCATATTTTCCTTTTTCCTTCTTCATTCAGTCATTTATTTATTTATTTATTTATTCCTTGCTTTTTCTAAGCATTCTCAAGTATATAGACATGTATATTATACACATGTATTCAACTCATGTGTACGTGAATTTCAAGTATTAAATTCATTTATTTTCATGCGAAAGCTTTTCTAGGAGTCATTGCACAAGTTTTTTCTTTTATAAGGTAGTAAAATAATGTTTTGTATAAAAAATATTAGAAATGAATGGCATTGAGTAGACCTTGAAATTAATGCAGTGGTTATTAGTAAAACCAAAGGACAAGGATATGAACTTTGTAAGGTTTTTTTCGCATAATTTTCTTGACAATTTTTTTTCCCTATATACCTAGTTCAGTCTTATTACATAACAAATCGTAAATATCCTACTACATGCTGATGACTTTTTTCTGTATTGTTATAATTTTTTTAAAACAATTTTTTTGGAAAGCGCTAAAACGTGAAGAGTGTTCTTGATATTTGGAATAATTTCATTGAAAGTATTGATTCATAATACAACGGGACTATATGCATACAACCAAAATACATCCTTGATACTAAAGTATTCACATTAGTACTGCAAGTTCATACAAATTCGACAATAACCTTTAAAAAAAAATAGATTACAGAAACATTAAAGTGTCACAATGTATATTAATGATTCTTAATTTTACTCTTTTAATTTTAGGATTTACATAAAGTAATCAAATTGAATTTGTTTACGAAAGAGCATTTGTTTTGAGAAGAAGACCAACACTGAACAAGAATTATTTTATAAAACAACCGGCTTGTACGTAATCATTTTGATGATATAGAAAGCAAGGAACAACGCACTTTTTTTTCGGGGAGAGAACGCGTTACGACATCTTGGATTGAAAGGAGCGCAGCAAGGTTTATTAAAAAAAAGGAAAAATATTAGACTTACGAAATTTGGAAACAGTTTTTATTTTTGGTGACAGCATAAATTTGTGAATATTTAAAAACTGAACATTTAATTGTGCCATTATGGGTAGGAAAAAAATTCAAATTTCCCGCATCACAGATGAACGAAATAGACAAGTAAGAGTGCTATTGAGTCATGAGCCGAAAAGTTTTTGAAATTCAATGAAATTTTTAACCATTTTGCAGGTCACATTTAATAAGAGAAAATTTGGTGTCATGAAAAAAGCATACGAGCTATCAGTTTTGTGTGATTGTGAAATAGCATTAATTATTTTCTCCAGCAGTAACAAATTATATCAATATGCAAGTACAGATATGGATAAAGTTTTACTTAAGTATACAGAATACAATGAACCACATGAATCGCTAACCAATAAGAATATAATTGAGGTAAATTTTCATCATTAAATTAAATCCATTTTTAAAAAAATGGAAATCACTGTGCCTTTTTTAATCATTTATAGAAGGAAAATAAGAATGGAACAATGTCACCGGATTCACCCGAACCTGAGGAAAGCTACACATTAACACCTCGGACAGAAGCAAAATATAATAAAATTGATGAAGATTTTCAAATGATGATGCAAAGAAATCAACTGTCATCAAATCGCACAATGGGCAGCGCCGCAAATAGTTATTCTCTACCAGTTTCAGTTCCTGTCTCGTACAATGATGGAAATTTACTTCAAGCGAGTCCTCAAATGGCACATCAAAATATCAGTCCTCGTCCTTCAAGTTCTGAAACTGATTCAGGTAATTTTTCCATAAGTTTTGTTGGAAATGCTTCTTGTTATTCATTTAGTGTTTTCCTATAAAATTCTAGCTTTTCCAAATACAATGCTTGAAATGTCAAATGGATATCCGTCATCACCACTCGGTCCATCACCTAGTCCTAGTCCTGGGCTTATTGGTCACCATAATAACAAATGTAAGAAAATCAATGACTTTATTCAACTTTTGTAGTCAATCATCTGAATTGTCAATTTCATTTCTACAGCACATCACCTAATACATAGTAAACAACATTCGCCATCTAATCGAAGTACAAATCTTAGAGTTGTTATACCTTCAACTCCAACATCATCATCTAATCTGACATCAGATGATTTAAATTATTCAGAGGTAAGAGTTCCTTGTCTCCGTTCAATAAAAATACATTACATAAAAAAAATTTATGTAAAATATAATATATAGCATGCTCGACTAGTCACCACATTAAATACTCCTGTTATTGCTCTACAGACTCCCATTGTACCGAGTTTAAATTCGTATCCTGTAAGTTCATTTGGTGCTCAAGATTTTTCTATGACGTCATCCGACCTAAACATGATAACTTCGTGGAACTCATCGCACCAAAATTTAAGTGCATCATTACACAACAGGTATGTACTTCACAATAATCTTTGAAAGCTTTCGACTGTTATTGATCAGCCATCTCCTGTTTCAATTGGACGTTTTTAGTGGAATACCTCATTTGGCTGTCTCAAATAGTACGCCACCGCCTTCTTCATCACCTATACCAGTAAAAATAAAAGCCGAACCGATATCACCTCCCCGTGATCAAATGCTTAGTCACCAGCAACAGTCATTAAGTGCATCATCGATAATTGGTGGAAATCATGGAGGTTCTTTAGGTAGCACTTTAAATCATTCTCATTTAATGAATTCACGGCCATCCTCAACTGGTCATTTAACTCCTACTACACTCGGTTAGTACTTATTTTTTTGCCTTTACTAGTCCGGAGAAAATAAGTTTAAAAAATGTTTTACATCCTACGCATTTCTAGGTTCATCAACAACGCCACATTCACCAATCAGTCACAATCACAATCAGTCAATTGGTGGTTTATCGTCACATTTACCAGACTACGAAAATGCATCACATGCAAAGCGACCGCGGATTTCTGAGGGATGGGCCACATAGCCAAACAACATAGGTGCTGTTAATAATAATTATTTGAATGTCAATCAATTTCAACAAAATTGTATGAACAATGGTAAGACTTTACTCAACAGCAACAACAATAATAACAACATCAATTCAATAAATCTATCATCAGTATCATCTGATGTTAACAATATCTATTATCATCGACATAATATTTCAAATAGTGTCATAAAGATGAGTGAACAATACAATAATTGCATGTGTTAAGTTCATTTCATGAAATGAATATGAAACGATTACATCACAAGGATATATAGAAGAAATTCAATGCAAGAAAGAATGAAAAACGTAACTATGGTTTATGTTGGAAAAAGGTGCAATTGATTTAAATGAAAACAAAATATGGAAATATTGATTCATTCAGATGAAGAGAAATAGTCATTTTCACATTTATTATTTTACATTACTTTAAATTTCCATATAAATGGATTATATAGTAACTATGTGCAAATATAAAATTTAAGTTTAATTGTCTAAAAAATGGATTTTTAAATGAAAGAATATAGTGCCATTCAGATGGTATTCGGAGAAGAAAAAAAATGAAAAATATCACCGTAGATAATTGATTCAGTTATGCGAATACGTACATTTGAATTATTGCATAAAATGCAACTTCACACATTTTTTTCTTTTGTGTATAAAGATGATGATACCATATACTAATGGGTTTTCTTCGAATTCCTAATTTGATGTTAACTTGTTGACGTAGATTTGAGTTCAAAAAATATTTTTGATCATTTAAATTTGAGTTTGCAACGTAGTCTAGAATAAAATATAGATTTATTACAAAAATAAAAAAAAATAAAGGGCGATAACATCTTGAATGTGAAAAGCTTAAAGAGATAATTAATTAGACAAAAAAAAAGCACGATTAAAAAAAGAGCATAAACATGATCGATATTAAAATTAAATTGTAGGTGTAATAAAAAATATTGAAAAATATAAAGGAACTTCCGCCCCTAGCCAAAGTATAAATCTTAAAAAAAAACATACAATTTAGGATGTTATTGGATAGTGCACACAAAACCATACTAATGCTCTAAACTTTCCGAGCCGCCATACTTCATGATTTCACATAACATAAAGTGATGAAATTTGTAATATTAAAAGAATACATGTCTAATGAGAAAAATGTATGAAAAAAAAATCGAGGATATGTGCAATGTGTACTTACTTGAAAAAAAATATATAAAAGAAAAAAAAATTGTGAAAATGATTATATATAAAGATATATATCTATATATTTAATGTTATTTACGGAAAAATTGGGTACAAATGTATTAGAAATATTAAAAAAATGAAAAAAAAAATGATTTTTGATAAATGATGAATTAAAATTACAAAATGTGAACCTTGAGTGCAGAAAAAAATTTAAGAAACAATGTTATAATCATTAGAAAATTTAAAAAAGAATTTACAGCGCATTTTCTCCGTCAAATGATCACAAAATTACGATATAACTTTCAATTCTTATTTTGGAAATCGCAAAAAAATAGAGCCCAATAAGTACTCAAGTTTCATGGTAACCAGGGAATTTGTCTACTTTTATGGGATGAGTTTACATCAATTTGCTGCCAATAAATTTTGTGAAACATAGAAAAATTGTATAGAAATCAGGATAAAATATCTCTGGGAGTAGAAGCTGTGACAGACGGAATAATGTGTGAGAAATAAAGACACAAACCTGAAAATGCGCTTAAATTACAATTGAAGGAAGATTGGAGATGAAAAAATTGTAATTTTAATATCTCAATATACATAATGAAAGCACATTGCATATGTGAGTCGAAAGAAAAATCAATATGTACTACGTTTTTACTGTCATATGTTCGATTTAATTCTTTCATCAATTACCATAATGTGTTAGTGTGTACAAATGTATGAATTTCGACAGGAGTGCTGAACATATATGTCAGAATCTTAGCATGTTGCTAACAATGAGGTGCACGCAAGTGAAAAGTACAGTAGAGTGAAGAAAAAAACAAGGATATTTTTTAAAAGCAATTTCCACTAACACTACGAAAGAAATTCTAATTAAATGCTCGTTATACCATTTTTTTCGTTAGCTTCAATTTGTTTGTTTCTTTTAGAATTTCAATTCAGTCTTTTTCTTCTTTAATGATAATACAATCTAATTAAGTTTTATTTTATAATTATTAGTAATTTGTAGATACTCAATTGAAAGCATTGAATGTGAAGATGCTTGTTAAGGTAGATGTGAAAAATAATTTTTTGTCGATATAGGTGGAATTGTGTGCCATTGTGTTTTGTTTTAACTTTACTTCATTTTTGATAATATTAAATAATATCAGTAATTTTACTTCTTTGAATTGATGATTGAAATTAAATTCATATTGAGTTAGATTTCATCATAATTAAGGTGTACATACTTAGAAGAATTTGATAGATTTTTCTCAAGAAAATACTCTGAAATCTGAAGAATATGTTGAGATATAAACTGAACAAAATATGTTAATACAAAGCAACTTTCCAAAATTTTGTGTACACAACCAAATTACCCCCCAAAAATCTGTCAAATTTTTTTAATGCTGACGCACCTTCCACATAATGATAATGAGTTTTTCTTTTTCGTTTTTATTGCAATGTGTGTATTTTCTTCTTTTTTTCTTCTTTCTTTAATTTATAGCTGATCATTATTACTACCTATTATAAATTTTATAGTTATTATTTGCTTTAATATTAAAACAACACCTCAGACTCAATTGTAATGTTAAAAATATAGAGAATAAATATCATCATATATACATGCATATATATAATGGTTTCACATATATGTAATGATAAAAAAAAAATAGTCAATAGATAAGGATCAATTCATTAAATTTAAAAAAGAAAGAAAAAAATTATGAGAAGAAAAAAAATCAATGTTCTCTAAGTCTTTACTGGATACTGTACTCTATTCATAAAAGAAATTAGAAATATGAAAGAATAAGAAAAGGATGTGGCTTAGTAAACACTAAGTTAGTATTCTCTATAATGTTCTGGTAGCTTTTATTTCCTTTTTATTTTAAAAAAATACTTCTTTTAAAAGAAAAAAGTAAAATTTTACCTTAAAAATTTAATTCTTTTCTTTTCTAATTGTCTAGAGATTATAAAATATTTAGTTATTATAATTTTAATATTGTTTAATAAAAAGTTTTGATTGAAAACTTATTTTTTATTTTATTTTATTATTCTTATCTTTTCTGATCTATTTTATTCCTTAAACTTATTATTTAAACTCCTGAGTGGCATTATTCGGATTATTTAATTTTTATATAAAATAATCAACTTAGTAAAACAATAGATTTATAGTGTCATTTGTAAGAAAAGCCTTTAAAAAAGTAAAAATTCTTGCTATTACTAGTTGAAACTTTATTTATTGCCATAGACAGCATTAAGAACCAGCTTTTAATAAGTTGCTAACAGGCTGAAAAGGGTTCATTCAAACAGAAATCTCAAATAATCATAGTACAATAACTTTTCATTGCTATGACATCAGAGCGAATCATAAGATGAGACTATAGATTTTCCTTTATATACGACACGTGAATTTAATCGCGTGGCAATCTTATAAATTGCTATCTAATGCCACTCGGGATATAAATAAAATACATCTTCTCTTCATATAAATATATAAAATATCTTCTCTTCTCTTGTAAAAAGCACAGAAAGTTTGAAACTTTAACCTGAGACCTAATCAATCACTACTTGTTAATTACCTCCATAAACCTTTTGTAGATGCCTTAATGAATTGTGCCTATTTTTATTGCGAAAATGGACGAACAAATTTTTATTTGAGGAAAACTTTACATTTCGTCAGTCATCATGTTTCCCCTTTTTCTGTTATTGCATTATGTTTTCGTTTGGTTTTCTCTAATGAAAATCCTAACAAAAAACTTCTTCAACTTTAATCACAAAATAATAATAATGTGAAGAATCATGGGGACAGGGTCATTAATTTTAAAAAAATTCGATATTACAAATAATTGTTTTGTGCCTAAAAACAACTTAAAATTTCCGATTGTCTCGAATTTTCCAAGTAGTAAGACATTAAAGTATGGAAAATGTTTCATTTTTCTTTCTTCTACTTTAATGATGGGACCATTTACAAATTATATTCCTTAACAACATTTTATGTTGAATCATTGAATTTAAAATTCAAATGTTCAGCAAGGAAAGTCAACTTTGTTACAAAATATTACATTTGATTGGCAGTTCTAAATTTCAGTGATACTCTGCTGTACAACTTTTGAGCTATTCAAATAAAATTTGAAGACATTTAGATAATTAAACTATTAAAATTTAATTAATAAAGATCAATGTTTCTCAAGCTATGCTACGCGACACACATTTCAATAAGATCCAGCTATGAATCTAGATGAGTGAAAGGTTTTACCAAAAGAATCTCACGAAGGAAAATAAGAAAAAAATTGCTGGTTTGTTGTGTCGCATTCTTGAAAGTTTTAGAACCACTGCTATAAGTATGTAAATGAACAAAAGTTGACTCTCCTTTAGAATCTCATTTATTTCGTATTTATTTCTCATAATCATGGAAAAAAAATCATATGAGAAAAAAATGAGCTGTTCACAAATGACGTCCATTGTAAATTTATATTTTTAGACCCTCTATAATCTCCAGTCACAAAATGAACATGTTTGAAGCTGATACTTAAGCTTTAGACTACCTCCCCTCCCTCCTAAATATTGTGCGTGATTTGTGAGCAGCCTTAAAAATAAATAAGAAATTGTGTAAAATAAGCTCAAAAATATGATAAAATTCAATTTCCCAAAAAACTTAAATTTCCTTTGAAACATTTCAAGAAAAAAAAGATGAAAAATTCGTTATGTTAAACATATTTTCAGGATCTATCGAATTCTTCCATCATAGTTAAAAGAATACTCAAGAAAAAAATATATATTTATGTTTAATGTTTAAAAAAAGAAATGTCAATTTATGATTTACATGAATGAATATGTCGAAAGTATGTACGATGTTATGTTGATTAAAGAAATTATAGAATTACTTGAATGAAATACCATATCACATTTTAAATTTAGGTATACATTAAATATAATAAAGCACGATTGGAAAAAAATATTAATTAAAAAATGATGATTCTATCAAAAGTTGTATTGAACATAAAATTTATTTAATGTTGAATTAATGTTGCTCCAAATGACTAAATTACATCTAATTGTTTATGGAAAAAAATTGAAGTCAGTCGTATTTTGATAATTGTTCGCCACTCGCCCTAAAAAGTGACCTCTCAATAATCAATTTTATACAAGATAAATGAAAGCCTTTCAATTCAAACTTACTTTAATTACACTACGACGAAAGAGAATTTACTGATTTGATATGTTTCTACAAAATACCATCACTGCTGTTCTAGTAGTACAAAAGCGAATTTTGTAAAATATAAAAATATATAGGATATATATCGACCTTTATAATATACATACATACAGCAGACATATATATATTCTGGAAGCGATTTTAAGGTAGAGTTTGAATTTGTAAGGATTAAAATACTATCTATAGTTTCTATGTAAATTGAAGACGTAAACTTAATACACATTGTAACTTAAAGAGAGAAAAAAATTATCTTGCAAATGTAATAAAAGTATTTTCTGTAAAAATAATTGAGTTTCAACTTGTTCTTTCACTTTCAGACTTTTGCATAAATAATTCACATTTTTATTCTAAAAATAATCATTATTGATTGCTACAGATTCATTAGCCTCACACGTGGTTACTTGTCGTCAGTTCATGCTTGCGTGAAAGAGCTATATATGGATACTATTAATGGATAATGAAGCTTTAATACACGATTTTATGGAACTGAAATTAAAAAAGTTGGTGACTTAAATAAACTACAAAATTGATCATGAAATCTTTATATTATTTAAAATCAGTCTGGCAAGTCAACGATTCCTATGCAATTTTACATAAACACCAATCAACAAAATTTGTGTAGCACGACACCTGATATTTTATTAGAGATGTTTCAAAGAAAAGCCGCATCTATTCAAAATAATTTTTATAAAATTATATTAGCGAAGTAGCGGAGACGTTTTATCATTTCTGATTCAGTCTTTTCTCACTTTTTTGTCCAAGAACTAAAATTACACGATTTCTGTCTGAAAACAATCTTAACAATAAATTTATTTCGAGACTCGATCTGCTTTTTTATTGTTTCGATTGTGTTAAAAATTCTTCATCAATATTTGATTAAGCTATTAATTATATAACTTTTGATTAGGCTACCTTTTATTTCATGTCTATATTTGTATAAAATTTTGCTAAGGCTTATAATGCCTATTGACGTAAGATTTTTGAGATTATAAGCGCTTCTAAATTGTTTACAAGGTTAACGTCACTGCTATCGAATTTCAATATTTGCGATATTGAGGAACAGAATCGTAAAATAAAAATACCTAATAAATTCAATGTAAATTGATCATCTCAATATCAGACTTAACATACATTATTTCTAGATCAAAAGTCAGAGCGTCAATAATAAAAAAAAACCAACAAATCCTAGACTTGTCTATTGCATCCGCTTTGAAGAATTTATTAACCAAATCTGCAGTAACCAAAAATTATTTTATTATCTTGAAATTGCCATTCTATCCAATAAATCTCTTAATCGTTATTTAAATGCGTCTTTAGGAATAGAGTCATGACATTATCATAAATTTCTTTAAACTGATCATAGAATCTTTAATTTATTAATTCTTGCTTCCTTTCAAAAAAAAGTTTCAATCATGATTGTAAATATGTGTCAAATCTACTAGATTACTACTGATTCACAAACAAGTGTGGTTCTGAAACTTTTGATTTGTGGCAGTAAAAAGAATGCAGTTTTGGGTCTGTTCATTTGAAAATCAGCTCTAGTTATCATATCATAGTTCCCTACCCTGGTTTTAACTAATTTAACAAGATACTATACAGCAAGATAATAAAGAAATTAATTCGTTCAGCAAAAATTGAGCCATAAGCACTAAAACAACCTTTGATTACTCTTAAAAGCAGTTTAAAGTGCTGTAAACAATCCTCAAGAAGAAATAATTTTGCCACATGATAGTCGTAAAATCTAGAGATTTGGCTGTCATTAAATTTTTATGCTTCTAGGTTAATTAATATGAACTGTTAATCTCTGATGTCCATGACAATATCAGGTGTGAGAAATATCAAGAGTAAGTTTTCAAATTAAAAATAATGTTTCACGGTAATATTTAAAATTTAAAAATAAAGATGATCTTTCTGCATAACAGACCGCCTTAGGAGATCCATATATGAGGATCCAATCGTATGAATCGATCTATTAAAATAACACTAATTTAAAAATTCTTTTAATAAAAAGAGAACAATTCTACCGGGAAAAATTAAGATGTTGATATAGATTAATTATCAAAATTTATCATAAAAATTTATTATTTCCTAATATACATAATTTTTGCCTCAAATCGATACGATTACATCATATCCCAAAAATATTAATGTCTTATTCATTCCATTGAATTATATGGTATGTGCAATAAAATCGGTATTTAGAAGCTAACTTGATTAAACTTGATTATACCATACGAAAGAAAATGAACGCCCATCTAAATAAATTTCTATATAGTTATTTATGTTTTATCTCTTGTAGACATTTGACCATCCTATAAAATCATGTTAAGGTGCGAAAATGTTCGGTTCTCCTTGCCAGAATTGAAAGAAAAAATATTTGTGAAATACAGAACGAATAAATCAAACAATCGGAGCAGGAGATATCAAAAAAGAAAGAAACCGGTAAAATGATCAGTTTTTGGGCCATCCGTGATCAAAGTGCATTTTTGTGACCCACTGTTGATTATTGGAAATTAGGTTGCAAATATTAGTAAGCGCAAAAATTTAAAATTTCGTAGTTTATTCGGAATATGATGGCAATTAAGGTTTCTAAGTTGAAAATATTTATCAATGGAACTGTGACTATTCTCACTTTACAAAAAATAAATTTAACCAGAAGACGACGAATAAAATCGAATTGGTTCTTGCATGGCAAATTAGCGCTGAATTAATTGCGAAAAAATTTATAAAATTTCTAGAATTTTTTCCTCTAAAATCTAGAGTTTAGACATTCATCATAAGAACCGACTAATCAAAGTAAAAACATAAATCCATTAGTTTCGCAAAATATCGCTAAAAAATGTTAATTCACTGAAATAATTTTGTGTTTTTCACAAAAATCTTGTACGATGACTTTTTAGTATTCAAAATGTTTATATTTAATTTTTATTTGTCTCTCCATTCATTCAACAACAGAACATAAATTAAATTTCATCTTAATTAATGCATGAATGACATGAAGTCTATTTTTATGTGTAACCGACATAAGGAAATATTTGAAATTGAGTATACATTCGAAAATGTCTTGCGCACACGTGTGTAATATTTTACGAGCGACTGTGTTTGAATGAATTTCTGTGGAACGAAGAAAATAGCTGCACTCAGTTAGTTATCATCAGAAAGTTGCACGGAAAACACGTATTTGAGAATTCCCTAACGAATGAATCGTGCGGTTATTCATTGATCTATTCAAAGGAATATTTTTTTTAACAATCTTATATGTAGACTTTTTTCGGGGATTTAAACAAAAATGCAGTGTGTATGAAGCCAGAATTTTTATCATCGTATCAATACACAATTAAAGAATGAAATGACACATACCCGGAAATAAAGCAATTGCAAAAAAAAAACGACAAGTGAAAAGAAAAATTCAAACTTTTCTCTCATGTGATTTAAGAATCAATTGAATTACTTAAAAAATATTTGAAGTAAAAAAGAGCAGACACAAGATGAGACACATGGCAGTGACCGATGAAATTTAATATGACAAAGGAAAGTTGATAACATCCATATATCAAATTTAAATAAAATACGATGTGCTAAAATTTTAATATACACTTTGCACTACACAAAAATACTTTTAGATGTGATTATGTAAAGAAATTAACGAAACGAAAAAAAAAGAAGTAAAAAATAATTAATATGTCATATTTAAAAAAAATTAAGACAACAAAAAAAGTATATATATATGAATATGTATCTTAAATCAATTGATTCTCGTTGCCATCGTCAATGATTACATGCAATTGAGATTGAATAAAAACAGCGAAAAACAAAAGTAGTTCATCTTAATGAAATTAATGGAAAATCATCAGAAAGAAATAAGAAGAAAAAAAGTGATTCTCGACAAAGTTGTTCAATGATCAAGAATAAAAGTATAAACAGTATATAAAAAAAAGAGTCTTAAAGTGCCAGAAAGATTTGTGACAAAATATTGTCATTGCAAGGAATAATAAAAAAAAAATAGCGAGGAGTAAAATGAAAATGTGCAAGAAAAAATATGCGTGACTATGCAAATGTATTTATGGAAAAAACTGTGAAGAAATCAAATATTGATGCCAAAAGTTAAAAGAAAATATTTAGTTATCGTGTTGGAATCTATAAAAGATGATGAAAAATAGTTTAAAAGGAAAAATAATTTTTTTTATTTTTACAAGAACACAGAAAGTAGTAAATAAACGCCTTTTAATGATTACTTAAAGTAAATAAAAGAAGTTTCGTTGCACATGTACATATAATTCATTTTTTGTTCATGAAAAAGTGGTTCCATTTGAGGGTGGCCCTAGCTTTGCTGGGAGCCATCGTTATTCATCTAATACTTTGGCCAATATACTGCTGTGCCGGTTCTCCTATAAGAAATTTACACTTTGCCAATAACGAAAATAAAATGAATTTATCTGCCGTGGATGACTCCCACCATCACCAAACAAATAATAGTAATAGAAATAGTTCTTACGAAATTAGTACAAATAATGTTGCACATAGTTATAAAAATTACCTGCATGTATCCCAATCAATGATGGACGAAAACAGCAATGAATCAATAATGGATAAAAATATTATTGATGTTGATAGATATATTCGTAACAATGAAAAGGAACACAACAATGATTCAAGAATAACCTCAAGTATTTATGATATTTTTCTTATAAATAGTGAACAAAAAATTAGAGAAACGCCAAGGACTTTAATGAGAAATGATCGAAGTGCCAATCAAAATCATTTGAATGGTAAACATAAAAAGTTAAATGGAACAAAACGGGTGAAAAATATTAATAATAGTAATAATCGGTTAAAAGTATCCACCTTGGATAGAAACGAAAGATCAGCAAACTTATCGCACATAACTGGAAGTGCACGGAAAATTCAATTGTACATAAAGAATCGCTTTCTTCAACTAATGCCTGACGGGACAGTGAATGGCTCGACTGATGATTCAAGTGACTATAGTAAGTTTCTATTTTTCTCTCTTGAAATGATAAATGCATTCAGTATTTACCAAGTCTTTCCAAAAAAAATTTCACAATCATGTAAATTTTTCTTATTTAAAATGCTGCTGCAGTTGCATTTTATTGGAATCAGTTTAAATAGTTGATAAGATAAAAAGCATCTGACAATTTATGAACCAAGAATAAAACAAGAGCGTTTAATTAAGTTATCTTTTAGAGAACGTAATTTTTTCGTCTTTAACTTTTGTGGAGCAACGTAAATAATTTTTTTTGATCTTGGTGCTATTTTTTGTGAACATGGCGTGATTTTTTTTCCTTAAAATTATTTATTTAATTTTTTGCACTATAACAGATGCGTAATTTTGACCTACTTGAAGCCTAGAGATCGCATTAGGTTTTTAAAAATTTAAATAAATATTTTGATAAGAAATGAAAATTAGATTTCCGCAAAACTCACAAAAAATCAATCATTGACAAAACAACAAATCTGGTTCCAAATGTAAGAAAAATAATGGTCAATTGATGCAAATATTATATGAGGTCATGGCTAGTGACTGTGTAACGAATGTAGGTTTTGCGAAAAAGTCATATGTAGACCTACAATCATTATTAATAGTGGGATCGGAGATCTTTTTTGCTTACAAAGCTTCAATTGCAGCAAAGCGTCTGTTATAATAATTCTTAAACACATGATCTCCCGACAAAAAAGTGAATAAGAATTTGTGTAAAAATTTCAACAGAGCCACTTCGGTAGACAAGTTTAAAAGTCATAAAAATTAATTTTATAAAATCTCTCCAGAAAAGCTGGACATTTATTTTAAAAAATCACTCTGAGTTATGAAAAATAAGAATGTTTATAGCCCTTCCAAAAAATATAACTTAATTATCAATAATTGGCTTACTTCATTCAAAATTTCTTCATTTATTTCTCTTTTGAGGAGTAACGAGCAAGTCGATTTTTTATTTAAAATAATGAAAATCGCTTATAAAGCGACAAGGCTCTGACATATTTGCTTCTTCCTTTTTTGTGGAGCATCATTCAGTATGTAAAAATCCATTCAGTTAAAAATGATGAAAAATTAACAAATGCCCGCAAGAATGAAGTAAGAGATAAATTTTGCAGTCAGAATCTGACGCTCTTTCGGCAGTATTTGTTTTTCACCACTGTACTCAAATATCTATATTTATCGATTAAACTGATGATGCTTTCGTTCTCATTGTACATAACTGATGTCTGTCTCAAAATGAAAAATGCAAAGTGTTGTTTAGTTTGGTTTATTCTCATTTTTTTTTGCATTTTCTAAATTTAACATTAATGCGGTAATTAGACTTTATATATTTATTTGAGTGAGATTTTTTGAGATTGCTTTTTTTTATGTGTGTTTTAGTAATGTGTAAAAAGGTGTACATACACAACATTATTTGTTCAGACATTACTCTTTTTGAAAAATTATTATTATTCTTTATTTTTGGTTTATCTCTTACTCAATTATTTAAAGGATCTTTATTATTTTTAGCACATTCCATATTAAAATCATTGAATACCATTTTTATGAAATCGAATGAATACAATCAATTCGTAAGAATTATTTTTGGCAACATGAAATATATTGTATTATGTTGGCGTATTCAACCTTAATGCAGCTATTTTTTATTTTTAAAAAAAATTTACATTTAAGTACAACCGGTAAAATTTATGAACAAATTCAATGATAATTGAAATGAAACAATGAAATGACTTAATCTTTGCCTCTACACAACATTCAATAATAAAACATGCCGGCTTATTTTTTGTGTTTTCAAACAAGGAATTTAAGACTCATATTTTATTTTGAAGATCTTTAGATAATTTTTTTGCTACAAATTTAAAGTTTTATTGACGAAAGTTATTTTTTTCCACTTCATACCCATTCTCGGGATGAGTTTTTCTAATGAGAATAAAAATTTTATGCATATGCGACTTTGTTGGAAAATTATTGGAGAAGAAATTAAAATTTAAAAGTCGTTAAGATTGTAAAATTGAAAAGATTATGATAATTTTTGGACATTAAATGAAGCATCAAAAATGTTTATTTAAATAAAAATGCGAAAAAGTAAGAAGAATTTTAGCATCACTCCTTAACATGACCACCGAGTCCAATTAAATTTTTATCAAACTCCAATCGCAATGATTGCAGAAATTTAAACACGTTTCGTAAATTAACTTCAAGATAAATTTAATTTATGTGTGGTCTCACTTTGACAGTTAGTTTGACTAATAAAATTCGAGAAAAAATATATTAAGTATATGTTGTTCCACAAGGGTGGTTGTAGGCGAATACTTTCGGCGATCATTCACAAATTATTCCATAGTATTTTCATTAAAACATGCATGAATCCCTTTTAGAGTGGCAATTTTTTAAATCCGACACACGAAAATAAATTATTTTACAAGCAATTACAACAGTTATAAGACTCCGTATTAAGTAGGATGCAAAGTGCGTTCATACCCACAATTTCGCTGTACGAGACTGAAAGAAATGTTAAGCAAATATTTCAAGTGCATTTTTTAAATTGATAACAACATTTTTCGTACAAGCGGAGCATGAGTGTGAAATTCTTTTATATTTATGAGGTTGGAAGAAATAAATTTCTCTTACTTAATAGCAAAAAGAATCATCAAGTTATGTGAAGTTTCATGTATTTTTCGGCACCAAAAAAGAGGTTGAATTCATTAAAATATTGATAGAAATTTCTTAGCAATGAATTTTATATTATATATTAGCTAAAATAAAAAATGCTAATGACTCGCCAACGACACCTTCCACATATATTTCTTTATTTTTAATTTTTTCTATGGCTATATTGAAATGTAAAAAAATTAACAGGAGGAAATATAAAGTGGATTTTTTGTGCAAAATTCTAATTTTTCAATAAATTTTTGTGAATAATTTCGTCCGCATCAACCTTTAAAAGATTTGCCGAAAAAATAAGGAACATGACTGCAATATTATTCTATTCTAGTCTCGCGTGGCATGTTGATCTTACAGATCAAAATTCTGGCATCCTGCTTTCGAATTTGCTATTATCCTAGCTGGAGTCTGGTTTATTTCTATTTTATAATATCTCTAGGTTAAAAATGATCTAGGTGATTGTAAATCATTGAACTCACATTAGATGAATTCGTATGAAAACATTGGTTTCCACAAAAATATAAAAAGGACATTGTGACTTAAAAATTTGCTAAATCAATCCTTACTTCAGCAGTTGATTTTTTAAATCTTTAATGATTTGATCCCTGACAGTTTTTTAAAAACTGAATTAAACCTGATTGAACCATAAATTTTTTAAAATTTTAAAAACATTTCTGACGCATTTAAAATTTGTAAAAAAAAATTTTAGAGCAATAAAATGTCATTTTAAAGCCGTTAGAAAGGTTAATCCTCTAAAATTATATAGTAAAAGTAAAATAAAATATTCAAGATTGTATAATTCGTTTGAGTATGATTTATTATCGTTAGTGTGAAAAGTTTTGACTTTAAAGTCAAAATAAAGGATTAAACGCCACAACATCCATTACTCACGAATGTTTAAAATTTGACGAGTCCAATGAATTTATGTTTTCAAAGAACCCATAAAATGAATTGCAAAAATATTGAATATTTCAACAAAAAAAATGAAAAAAAAAATTAGAGCATTTGCATAAATTTGAATGCTATTTAAAGTGAATGAATTCTAACTGGATATAAAATTAATACATTAACGATAAATATCACATTTCATGGATTATTAGTGATGTTTGGAAGTATAAACAACATAAATTCATACTTCTTTCAGTTCTTCTTCTCCTCTCTCATAAATATGTGAATAAAAAGATTATTAAATCATTTTTATTTGATTTTATAGTAATCTCACTAGAGATGTTTTAATACTAAATAAAATAAAATAAACAATACAAAATACAATACAAATTCCCCCTTTACATTTAGAATACTTCTTACATCTCTTTTTTACGCAATTCTTTTGTAAAATACATTAATGCGTAAGATCTTTATTAACAAGATGTTATAGCATGTTGCTCCGGTCATAATTCATTACAGAGAGATCAATCTTCATCTTCTCGGGGTGTTTCTTCTTCTTTACTCTGTGCAAAAAAAAAACGAAATTCATGCGGCAACGTAAAGGAAGAAATATTTTTCTCGTAATTTTAGCGATGAATATTACAATTATTATTTTTAAAACATTTAGATCACCTAATTTTAAAATTATCACGTAATAATGTTCTTCTTGATATTAAATAATATTCAGTTCTTTGCATATTTACGAGCGCATGCAACTTTAATATGTATACAAATAAATTATTACTTCCGATTCGTTTTCGCTTTTATGTCATTGTCCCCTTTATGTTCATTGTCATCTTTGATATTGCAAAAATTAAAAAAAGAGATAGAAAAGAGAGTAGGGAGGCTGTATTGCGTGCCACAAATTTCAAATGATATTAACAATGTTCCATCTATTCAATATAGTTAATTTAATTCATTGGATGATATCAAATCATAAGATTAATGATAAGCAGCAGTAGTAGTAGCTTAATGTAATTACCTTTCGTCGAGTTAAGCGTTGAATGATTTGTTGAAGAGAATATAAAATAAAAAAAAAATGTTTCATCCTCTCCTTTTTGACGTATACCACTGCAGACAGACAATTCACCAGACATATTTCGGTGCACTGAACACAAAACGTAATATCACATTGTGTATGAACATTACATGTAATCTGATAGCCTTAATTCATATAATTTTTACATCATTCAAATCACATCTGTCAAAGAATCAAGGCATTAAGGCTTGTGCAGTTTTCATTCATGATTTTAACATTTCTTACGTTTAGTAAACTATGTCAGAACTCATATTTGATAATAAAATAGAGAAAATTTTGCTAAATGCCTGCAAAGTGAATTGTTCAATGTCCTAAATAGTAAGAAAACACACATGTATATACTTCTAATGTGGCTTTTATTTTATTTAAGAGAGGAGGCAAGCAACGATTTGAAAGTATTGTATATAAGATCGAGAGAATAAAAAAACAAATACACAAAAAAGAAGAAGCCAGAAGAAAGAAGAAAAAAACTTATAAAAATAATTAACAAGTAGTGATTTTACAAACATTTAAATTTATAATTCAAATAAAGAATAAAATGATATGCATTATTTATATTCATGCAAAAAATGCTACAACAACAATTAAAGTTTCTGATTATGCATTAAATCTCCTTTCATATGGGCAATTTTACAAATGATTATTTTTAAGAATCTAATTACGCGTGACTTTCGCCAACGCTTGTGACATTTAGTTATCGACACATTTTGTTGTTTCTTCTTTTACAATACCATACATGTGAATAGATGTATCAATTTGATTTATCTTCATCAATCGATGATTTACCTAAAGTCGTATACCACATTTAACCTTTTTAGCGGTCAATTCAAGTTTATTGATATACCATATATGACACAATTCAACATAAAACTTGTAGACTAGATAAAAAGTTTCATCATGTTTGAAGAAAAACATCAAAAAATGATCATTTAAAAATTTAATGTCTTAGTCATTAAGGAGGCAATTAACTACTCTAATTCGCAAACTGCCTTGGTTGAGTAATGTTAAAACAATTTGACCCGAGTCACCCATCCTAGCTTAAAATTTCGGCAAAATGACTAATGCATCAGTAAAATTTACTAATTAAAGAAGTGGTAAATGAAACACGCACAAGGTGCAGTCTTAATTAATTTTTGACTCATATTGTAGCTTTCGAAAATCTCTTTTAAATTTTTAAAATCAAGATAATTAAAATTTAATAGTTTCACTCTTCTTTGTCTCCTTGAAAATCTCATGCAAAAACATTAATTCGATAAATTTCATAAAAAAGTTTGATATTTGTTTGTTAAATTAGCTGTGGTACAAATTTAATGCCGAAAAAGAAGCAGTGATCAAATCCATTAGATAGGCATCCCACTTTCTCGAGTAAGTTTTATTTCAGCGATCAACGCAAAATTAAATAATAATATTTTCATGCTTCATCTGCAAAAATTATCTTCATATCTGAAAAATACATTAAGATTTTTATATCAAGAGCATAAAATTTTAGATGTACAAACTGTGTTTGTTTTTATATTTATATTTTTATATTATGTCATTGTGCTATATTTGAGATTTTGAAATTTGCGATAGTCAATTTTCCTTTCATTCAAATGTGTGTCAATATAAATTGATAATTAAAGGATTTGAAATTTCATTTTATTTTATTAATTTTGTGTCTAAATCATCCCCAAATATAACATGAAAGTGGAATCGAAACGATATGGCTGCATATCATATAAATCTTCATGTTTCAAGAGATCGTTTACATTATCGATTTTCTATTACAAATTTAAATTTTGATATCGACTAATCTGATCACTTTCGTTCACCATACAAACATTTTTGTCCTTTAATTTTCATGTTCTCTGTCATATTTTAACTAAGAATTTTACTTTAAAAACTGGTTTTTACGGTCATCAAACTCGTGGTTTATTCACACGTGCTTTATGTATTCAAACAGAACATAAATTCAATTGAGGATTGAAACTGAATTTTCTATGAAAAGTTATGTCTGAAGAATTACCCACATATCTCTCTTAAAATGTAAATTTATATGCGTAATGCACGTACATAAATAAATAAAAGAAAAAAAAATTATGAAAGTAAACTAGTTCGGAGCATTCACAAAATAGCAACAAAAACAAACGCATTTAATAAATTCGCATTAATGTTTATGCATATTTTGCTTATGCATTTGTTAAATTTTTTTATGCTATTTTTTAGTGTTAAAAATATAATTTCAACGTTTTGTATTATCATTAAGCAAATCTTGTTGCAAGTCTTCCACGAAATTTTAAACTTGTTTCATTTTATCTGTTCTTTTGTTACATTTCTTACAGTCTTTTTATGATATTTCATACACAAGTTGCAACTTTAATTGTTAATGAATCGAATTTTTCTTGTTTTTCACTTGTTTTTAGCAATTTTACAACGGACAACAGTTAATGTTGGGCAAATTAAAATTCAAGGGGTAGCGACTTGCTTATTTCTATGCATGGATAGCTGTGGAATTACATATGGATCTGTAAGTACAACAATCATTTATTTTAATGAATAAATTTATTAATGTTCCTATTAGTGATATCAATTGCCATCAATAGAAACTTTATTGTCAGCCGACAGTAGCCTCTGGCGTTAATTTGAATTTATTGCGGGAAAACTTTGCTTTAACCATTCTTTATTCGTGGCGTTTAACATTTTTCTTTTTCATATAGTCTTTTAAGACTTCTTTCAATGTAGTGTTGAATTATATTTACTTTTTAACGAGGATCAATCCTTAATGATGTTTAACATGAAATGGAGAGTGGGGTTGGGGAGGTTTAGTATGGCAATCTTAATTTTTTCAATTATTAAAGTTATTTGAAAATTAAAATCTCATTTTTTTGTCGTACACTACTTTTGAAGAGGCCCAAGAAAAAGGCATCAAGATTTTGTCAGTTACACTTGGCTGTATGTTCTGTATTTTTTGTTTTTAAAAGTAATTGATGTTTCCTCTTTTTAAAAATCATTTCCAACTTTTTTCTGCATTAAATGTCTTAATTAAATTTGAATTTTTGGACCTTAAGATTTACTTTATTTCTTAATGACGAGGAAAAATTTACGTAATTTCGTTTTCGAATAATTCTGACCACGAAAAATTTCATTTTGGACAAATGAGAGCGAGTTGGCTGACAGCATATAACATAAATCTTTAGCAGGAGACATGCTAATTGCTTTTTATTTTCATTTTTATTTAAAAGGTTGAATTCACAGATGATTGCATATTCAATGAGTCTATGGAACAGCATCACTACAATACATACTCTTCAACACTGTACTCAAATGGAAAGCGTACATTTTATCTTGGTCTGAATCGACACGGACAGCCGCGAAAAATTCAAATTCCTTCGTCGAGACAACTTGGAAAACTATCGGAATATACCAAATCATTAACACAAACAGTAGCACAAGAAAAAGTTGATAAATTAATTACGCGTTTGTATGGTGCAAACCATTTAAGACATGGATTAAAGCAACTTTGTGATACCGGGAAAGTATTGCAGGACATTAAATTAAAAGGTGTAAAGAAAAAATCCAAGTGTAATGGATCTGCAAAAAATAAAAAGAAGAAGAATAATAACAATAGTAATAAAAGCAATAAGAAACGCAAGTGTCGTGATAATGAAGGAGATGGGGATCATTGTACGAAAATAAATTCAAACAACAATAATAATAGTATGAATGTAGATGATCCGACAAAAAATTATAATAGTCATAATATCTCAACTAATAATGCAAATAATAATAGTAATAGCAATAATTTAGGAAATAACAAGAAAAAAACATCAGTAACTAATAACCAACCGAAAAAATGTAATAATAACGATGACTGTAATAATAATAATAATAATCGAAAACTTACCAAAAAGAAATTAACAAAGAAGACCGGCCAAACGAAGAATAACTTGCACAGTAATGGAAAGCAAAATAAGAAGAAAGTTGCGAAAAATGTTACAACAACTCTGAAGCCAGAAGAAGAATATGTTGATCAAGATATTATCGATTCACTTATAGTATCTGAGGAGGAAGAAGAAGAGTATGGTGAAATCAATTCCTCAGCATTAGTAGGAGATTCAATGAATGCCATTGATGAGCACGATCAAAACGAATATAGTCTATGAATCTAATGGCTATTTTCATGTACAAAGTATAGTTTTTCTTAATTTAACTAAGAATAATGTTCTTTTACTATTATTTATACATGTAAATATTATTCAAGTCTTAAGTTTTAGATTATATTAATATGGGTGTAGGGTTAGCATTTTCAAATACTTACCTCATAATCAATATATTGTAATAATAATGAAGAAAAAAATATAATGTTCATCACATAAATCAATCGATAATAATGTGTAGAAATAAAATAACTCAGGTAAGATTTGTAACGCAATTTCATTTCTCTTTGAATTTCTTTAATTCTTCTTTTTTTTGCGATTCCAAAGACAACAAGAATAAGAAATTTTGTTAGAGACGAAAAATAAAAACATACAAAAAATGTTCTGGCAAATTAAAATATACATTCTTTTTCACATGTTTCTTGAAAGCTTATGAAAATATCACAAACATGTTGATTGCAGTGATGATAAGCTCTTTTTCAAAAACGTGCAAAGATATTAGTGCCATATTTCAAATAAATGTCGATAAATTATTAAATTCATCATGAGTAGTTAGCAATATCGATACACATATTTATGTTATAAGTATATAAGTTGATTATTTACAAAATGAAAAAAAAGAAAGAAAGAAGAAATGTTCACTAATACATTCACATTTTTACATAAAAAATGTACGTTGACATTTATTTAACAATTATTCTATAATAAAATATTCTTAAGCTTGTAGATATATTAGATTATGCAACAAGTTTTGTAATTTGCTTCTTTTATTTTTTAACCTATTTCCTCTAGTTTTTCAATTTTTCTTTCTCGTGACTAAATTATGTCAAAGAAAATTGATTTTTTTTGCAAATTTTTTTTAAATGATCATTTTTATATTACGAGAGCAGCTTCTAAAAACTATATGGACTATGTACAAATAGACTTTTTGAGAATAAAAAGAGTACCAGAACATTTGTATGACATTTTTGCATGAAACACGAATTATGATCGGGACTCGTCACAAAAACTCGGAGATTTTCCAAAAAGATTGTTTCAATATCGAATGTTAATACTGATTCTTAGCTTTGCTTTTTGCTTAGCTTTGAGATTACAAAAAGTTTAAATCTTGCAAACACATTTGATTCCGATTGAGACCAGAAATTTTCCATGGTATCTCAATCTTAATAACATGGCAAACTAATTTCATGAATGGATTAGAGTCGGTTCAATAACTCAAAAAATTATCTGATGATTCAGAAAATATTTGAAACTTGATAATCTGTTAATTAATAATAATTATTTGATAATGATTAAAATTTGAGAAACTAGGACATTAAAATAAGCTATAAGAATTGCGATTGTAAGAGATTCTGAGATTATTTTTTGTATGATAAAATGTTAGAATAAAGAGGAACACGGGAAAGTTGGTGAACGTAAAGTTTTTGCCGAGGCGCCGTTATTAATAATAGAAATGAAAGTCATTAAGAAGAAGGAAACAATTCTAATTTTTTACTAACACAATTAAAAATTCAAATTGCAACGATCGTTGGAAATATAGCAGCGAACGTATAAGTGCATACTATATATACATGAAGATATTAACATTTTTTATGTTAAGCATATTGCTCATACATTGTGTATCACTTTTTGCTAAGATTTATCTCAAAATGAAAAAGAAAAAAATAGACTAAAAATAAATCTAAAGCATTTAATAATGAATCTTAACCAATATTTTTTGTAATTTTTTGAAATAAAATCCTAGTCAAAAATAAAGTAACATTGTAATAAGTAAACAGTTATAAATATTATGATGATGATGATGATGATGAAAATATTAAGTAAATAAATTGTGACAATATGGAAATTTATTTCAAATTAAAAAGTATTAAACCTTATTAAATACATAATATATATTTTTTGCACATATTTACTCAATTTATAACGTTCTATTCCAGTTTTATAATTATTTTATATATTCGCTCAATTTGTTCCAATGTTTGCGATTTTTATCTCAACAGATGTTTTATTAATTTATTTATTTGTTTAAAAGGATGATGCATTCTTTATTAGAGTTTTTCCCACCAACCATGCCAGTGGATGCTGTGTATTTTGTTTCACATGGCATCTGATATGCTTCATCTCAATTATTTACGAATTTATAATGTGCGATTGAATGCATGTCATAAAGTGTCAGTTCGAATGGGTCAATTAAATTATAATATTTTACCACTATTCATTGACCTTACAAAAATAATTTGCAATCTGCTATATCAGAGGTGTATTAAGAGGAGACATAAAAGGCGTCAATGCCAAAGAAAGAGCCTAAAATGAAAATTGTTTAAATTTGCCTCTTGTTTTATTCGTTAATCCATGACATCATTTAATAAAACCTCAATTTCTATATCCTAATCTTATCTCATAATCAACTGAAATTAGTGACGAACTTTAGTTGCAGAACATCAGTTTCTGGCAGGTAACCAGGTATCTGAAATTTCATGATTTAAAGTACTATATTTCCAAAACCAAAAAGGTTAAGAATTTTAATTTTACAGAACATTGACAAATTACATAATAAGGTTTTCAGATACTAATGACTCGACCACACTCCGAGTGACTTTAAGTCTTTTATAAATTTACTATCACAATTAACATTTCAGCGAATACATAATATACATAAGATTTTTCTCCTCATTCGTCTCACAGAACATTACAATATTCACCCCATCCAATAAATTCACGCGAAGATAATGTGCAACGATCAAGTGCAAAATTTAATAACAAACCTATTAAGAAAATTATACATTTGCGAAATACACAAATTTGGCAAATGTATGCTTGCAGAGGTTATTGACCTAATTTTTTTTATAATCACTTTTTTGTTATCTTTTTATTTTAAAGAATGATTTCTTATGAAAAGTCTACATGCAAAAGTCGTTGTCATAGCTTTGATGTTTTTTTTTGTAATTTTAATTTTGCAAATTATGAAAGAAATCTGGCTGCTGAATGAATTCAAGAAACGCGTGTAAAGTTTTGCAATTTTGATTAACAATGTTTGACATTTTTGGCATTTCAATTGTGTGTAAAAATTTTTTAAAGTGGCAAATTTAGTTTCAGCTTCTTTGAAATATTATTGAGAGTCCCAAATTGACTCAATATCATTCAAGTATCATTATCTAATAACTAGAAATTTCTTTTCAGATTTGCACGTACTATTAACTTCATTCATCATCGAAGCAGAAATGTTTCTGAATCTTTTGATCATTAGTATAAATTGATACAGCACGAATAATCAATTCATAAATAGGAAAAATCAATAAATATAGTGTTAAACAATTAAACATTAAGCAACGTGTGAAAAGTTGATTTGAAAATTGATGAGAAGGAACGACTGAATGTATTAAGAAGATATGAGTAAATTGAAATTAATTGGGTTATAATTCGGGATTACGGAATTGTTTGTAAGCACGAAATCATGACGTGACCTTTTTATATACTGTGAAGACACTTTGATTACAAATCTCAATTAAATTCTCGCAATTCTTAAGATAAAGTGCATTAAATTGAATATTTTTTGTTCAAATTCTTTTTCGTTGGCCCGTCATGTCCTTATTTTAACCTATTAAAGCCATTGACAGTAATAAGTCATGTCTTAAATGAAATGAAGATACATTTTCCATATTTGGATGTGTTTTCAGGTCGTTAAAGCAATGCTCGGTAATTTATGAGTCTTAAATCTCGAGTTTAGTGCATTTTACCTTTTAAAAGAATTTCCTAATTTTATTTTTCCTGCTAAAATTTACTTGTTCCCAAAAGTTAAATGTGATACACATTCTACACAAAGTCACCATGCAAAAATCACAATTTATTTGATGCTTGTAGATTCCGGACATGGAGAGACTTTTCAGTTCTCAACATCTGATTGACAAGACACGTGCGATGAAAAAAACCTTGTTATTTCTGTGCCGACTGTGAAACTAGAAAATTTTTGAATGAAGACCTGCATAGCGAATTGGATTTCTCCGTTAACTTTAAAATAATTATTCTCGGTAAATTGACTGTAGAAAAGAAAATAAATAAAAAGCTGTTGAAAGCTTCAGTTTCTAATGCTTTCGTTTAGCTATTTCGTATGCAAATAAAAAACAAAAAGATTTTTCCGGATTAAAAAGTTATCCATTCATTCATTATTCATCTTTTATCACAGGCATGCAGATGGGTTTTTTTATAAGTTTTTATTGCTTTTTTATAGCTTATTGTCTAAAATAAAAAATTCTCGGTTTTAATCTTAAAGTCACAACAACTGACAATGATTGTAGCGCATTTTTTTGACCAAAAATAGATCAATTTTATGTCGAACATCCTTTAACTGTTGATTTTGTATGCATATATGGCTATTGTTTTATGATATTTTGATCGGTAGATGATAATAATTTTAACAGCTTCAGAATATCTTAATGAAAATGATATGATAATTTCCAGGTAATATTTTAGCTCTTAACAACTTTATCAATGATTTCAAGGATTTACCAGCTTGTATTAAAAATATATTGATTTAATTAATATAGTAAACATTAAAACTTGAATTGATGATTTGCGTGATGCCTACACATTCAAAATAGAGCAGTTTTTGTACATTTACGGAATAAAATGTAAAATGACAATAATGCGAGTACAAAAAACTGTGATATGACTCTATGTATTGTATGGTACATTGTTGTCATTTTTTTTAATGCTCGTGCTATTAGGATGAAGCGAATATTCAACGAAAATGTAGAACATTCAAAATAGTCTGATTCTCGAGTTATGTTGGAAACATCATACCTTTCAGTCAGTCAACGTGAACGTTCTAATGCATTTGTAGTACAAAACTGAAATGCACACAAAAATTATTCCTTAGAAATAAATTTAATTTTGTTTTTCGCAAAAAAAAAAATCTACTCAGTTTCTTTAATACATTTCTTGCGAGCATTATTTACATGTGAGAGAGGAAACGTAAATTAATTTTAATTATTTTATTATACAAAAACATGAGCGCGAAGTTAAAAGGCAATTTATTTTATTTAAACTTTGTATTTGTATAAAAGGAAACCCATTGGTAAATGAAAAATTATAATCGACAAGCATTTGCATATTACACAAAAAGTGACATCGAAAGAATTTTACAAGCTCAACCTTTTATGAGTTCATTTCGTGTTTAGAATTTATTTTATTATATTCACACCGTTTTCACGTGTGAATCTATTGGTTTTGTTCAGATTGAAAAATCAGTTTTTCGCATTTTGTGAGAAAACAAAGCAAAATTGGTTATAAAAGGTCAAGAAGAAAAGTTTGTGCCTGAAATTTTACATCATTTTCAAAAAACAGATTTCAAATTGGTTGCGGCATTGTTGAGAAAATCGCAAAATACGCTTTCTGTAAGCAAACAAGCAAGCAAGCAAGTTAATCAGCAAGAAATCTCAATAACGGGACATTGTAGAGACTTCTAGTTTTTTACATTTGATCCGTGCTGCTCTATAGAAGAGCTGTATTGTTTTTGGGCAAGGTAGGAACAGCCGTTGCTTCAGAAAAAGCAAAAAACTTTCCTTTCTTACGAATTTTTCAAATTAAAAGTTCACTGTGATTTTTTTTTTATTTTAAATTAAACTTTGGATGA